GGTGGAGGAGGACGATTAGGTTGACTGGTGCGAGACTGTGGGTTGGCTGCTGGGAGCTGAGTTCAGTTTGTATTGAGGTACGGAGTATCGTTGAGGGAGAGTGTGGTGATGGATGGGCATTCGAGACTTAGTCTCGGACATGAACCAGATGGAGTTCGGTGCAGAGATATCTTAAGTAGCTAGAAAGAGGCACTACATTTGGCTTTGCCGAAAGACGACTTGCTTTGTGTTACATTCTAAAAGGCGAGCCTTCGTCGGGCGGTCAGCGGGCATCTACATTGTCCTTCCTGCTTGACTCATCGACTGGCGTGTCTCTCTTTGTACACTATCTGTACATCTTTCCCCAGTCAACTCCTTCGTTCATGACGTGGAGAGCAGAGCCCTCCGTCTACCTCCCGCTGCGCTCGCGAATCTCTAGCTTCGTGCTACCTGGCTCCTGCATGCCCATTCTGAGGACGAATATCTCCTCTTGCCGAGTCTGCGGCGTGGGTCTGGCTGCCTGAGTGGATGAGCTGGCGTGAGATATGCAAGCTCATCCACATGCTCTTCTTGTCGGCTGCTTTGATTTCGGCTGTGCCTCGGATGGATCTCGAGCCGAAATGGCTGTTTGGCCCTTAGCTGCACATCAACAGTGCTTGATGACACCGCTCGGCATCAGACGTATATCGTCGGCTTTTCGCCGGCCTCTCACGCGGTTCGCCGTATTCAAAGGGTGTGAGATGAGCCGCTGGGTTGTTCTGGCATGCTGACTTGTGCATGTGCTCTTTGTGAAGATTCCAGTCAGTCAAAGACACGATATCTGTGCTGAAGCTCGACCAGTAGGTCGGTGCCTAGACGATTTTCTGTGACCATCAGCTCTCCGCGTGAACAGAATCGAGTGTAGCCCGCACCAAGGACAAGGGCAGCAAATTCTGCAACAAATTTGTTACACCGACTTCTGCTAAGAAGTGCGCAGCGATACCGCGTGAGATCACGTCTCCTTAGCCAGCACCATCTTCTCTCGTTCAGCCTGTCTCGGCATGCTGCCCTTCTTTGAATGCTTACGGACATTCTCTTCACGTCTTTTGATAGCCTTGAGCTCCTCACCCTTGATCTCTCCGGCTTTCTTGATCGTTTTGGGCAGGTGGCGATGGCGCTTGATTCGTCTGAGTTCCGGCATGTGCTCGTAGCGTCGCACGAGTGCTTGGTCGTACTCCAATTTCTGCCGTTGTCGGGCCGACTTGACGCCAGATCGGTCTGATGCGTTGACTCGCCACATTCTGACGTTCCCGTCATCGGAGCCAGATAGGACGTAGTTGTTGTCTGGGGTGAATCGAGCGGAGAAGACTCTCTGCATGCGTTTCGTGTGGTATACGTCTCGTGAGTGACCTCGACTCCGGCTCCATAGTCTGATTGTGCGGTCATAGCTGGCGCTAACGAGCTCTTCTCCGGTGGGACTGAACTCAACGTCCATGACGGCGGCTACATGGTCTTTCAGGACGTTGAGAGCCCGCTTCATGTTTCTCATGTCGAAGATGTAGATGTTGTGGTCTTCGTTGGCTACGGCGAAGTTGAATGCTTCCATGGGGTTCCAGGCCACAGCGTTCGAGGCGAGGGTCAAGATGGTCTTTGCGAGTGGAGAGGAAGTGCGTAGGTCGTAGAGGACAACAGCTCGGTCGAGTGCGGTCGAGGCTAGTACAGAGGTCTCTGTCTGGTTGAAGGATACGGCAGTGATGGTGTCGGTGGAGGTGGGCCACTGTAGGGTCTGGGTCGGGCCAGATGCCGATCTCGTTAGATCGTAGATGGATATATTGCTGCTAGAGACGGCGATGGCAGGTCGATCGCGGTGGTGTGAGATGTCTGTGAAGGCGCCCTGGCCAAGGTATGTGCCCATAGGTCGACCTTTCTCTTCACCATTATATGGATCCCAGATCTTGACCGTCTTGTCTGCGGCACATGACACAATCTTCCGGTCTGGCGTCCAACAAATGCCCTTGACAATATTGTCGTGTGCTTTGGCAGACCAGATCTGTTCTCGACCCGGCAGATCCCAGCATTTGATGACACCATCGCCACTACCACTGGCGAAACGCTCGAGAGAGCCAGGGTCCTTGGCCATGGAGTAAACTCCGTCCACATGGCCGTCTCCGAGTTGGGCGACAAAGGGCGCTGCGAACATCCTCTCCATCTTGACTGCATTCAATGCACGGTATATTCTCGGGCTCGTTCGAATGGGTGGTGTGCCGGATCAAGATTTCGCGGCTGCTTTGTGGCTGCCTCGCCCGGAGGCGGCGCCGGACGACTGAGCGTCTTGATCTTCATCTTCTGGCGTGTTGCTACCGCATGTTGTAGTGTGCCTTCACCAGCAGAAAGAAGAGTGGCCGCTCGCAACTTTTTTGATTTTGCGGGGAAAACTGACTCGGGTAGCTTGCCTCTTTTGGCCTATGACTACTCGCGTCCTTCGTGCCTGCCATGAGCATCTCAAGTAGAAATCCGTGATCACATTTCTTTTGCGCCGGACCTCATCAGCGTTTCTTGCTAGGCCACCCAACATTTGGACATTGATTACGTCCGATATGGCGCCGCCTCCGTCCAACGAGGACAAGATCGCAGAGGCGAAGAAGTTGTCAAAGGAAAGTCCCAAGAAGGCGGAATCACTATACAAGGAAGTTCTGTCAACACCACCCACCGCCAACGAGGCCTCATTACGGGACTTCGAGACTGCTCTCGGCGGGCTTGGGGAGTTATATCGGGATCAGAAGCGGCCGGATGACCTCGCAGATCTGGTCAAGCAAAGCCGGGGAGCGCTCTCATCGTATGCCAAAGCAAAGACAGCCAAACTAGGTACGCAGAGCATCATACGGAGGATGACGGGCTTGTATTGACGATGAGCAGTCCGGCAACTACTTGACTATTTCAACGGCATCCCAAACTCCCTCGAGACACAGATCACCACCACCAAATCATGTATAGAATGGGTACGTGCTGCCCAATGCCTCTTCTCGCTACAGGACTAACACTTTACAGGCCAACGAGCAAAAGCGTAGCTTCCTACGACAAAACCTTGAGACCCGCCTGGTATCGCTCTACATGGAGAAGCAGTCATACTACGATGCCCTGGCACTGATCAACACACTCCTCCGTGAGCTGAAGAGAATGGATGATAAGCTGGTTTTGGTTGAGGTCCAATTGCTCGAATCAAGAGTCTACCACGCCCTCACAAACCAACCCAAAGCAAGAGCTGCCCTCACGTCCGCAAGAACGTCCGCCGCATCAGTCTACACCCCTCCGCTACTACAAGCCGGCCTGGATCTACAGAGTGGAATGCTTCATGCTGAAGACAAGGATTTCAACACGGCTTTCTCCTACTTCATCGAAGCTCTGGAAGGCTACCACTCGCAGGATGACATACCGAAGGCTACCTCAGCACTCATGTACATGCTTCTTTGCAAGATCATGCTCAACCTAGTGGACGACGTGAATCAGCTGCTTGCATCGAAGCAGGCACAGAAATATGCTGGGACAAACCTGGAAGCAATGAAGGCCGTTGCACGAGCACACTCCAACAGATCACTGGATGAGTACGAGCAAGCACTCTCGAACTACAGATACGAGCTCGGCAGCGATGTCTTCATTCGAAATCACCTTCGCCGACTCTATGACGCTATGCTGGAAGCCAACTTGGTCAAAGTCATCGAGCCATTCTCCAGAGTCGAAATTGCTCACATCGCGAAAATGGTTGGTCTCGATACACAACAGGTGGAGCGAAAGTTGTCACAGATGATCCTCGACAAGGTCATTATTGGCGTGCTGGATCAGGGAACGGGATGTTTGATCGTCTATGATGAAGTAGAGCGGGATGCTGGCTACGACGCCGCATTGGAGACGATAGAGAAGCTGTCAAACGTGGTCGATGTGCTGTTCACAGGAAAGGCGGCGTCATTAGAATAGACAGACCGGCAGAGCGTGCCTGATAGATCTGACAACGACCGCATTGCTTTTGCACGCGGCGTCATGCAGCGAAACGCAGCATTGTCTGAGGTGCTGTAGACTGTCGGTGGCAGCTGCCCTCTGTCAGCGCTCTTTTCGTTCCAGTGTCAAGAACTGACCCACCGCTACTGTCCTTGGCAATAGTCGCTCCCGATCACTCCTTTCCATCTCATACTACATCATGACATCTGATCAACTTCACTTGCCGCGGGACTTCGATACTCTTGTCACCACCACTGGCAATGCTACACTCACCCCGCAGTCGACTGCAAGCTTGCCTTCACGACAGCCTGTCCCCTCGTATCGCCCGTTCGTTCGGAAAGAGGACGCTGGTCTTGGACGATAACGCGGAAGGACGAGCGCCTCTGATCAAAACCGTTCGGAAATGCCTCTCTGATGAACATCACATACTGGTCAGGCAGCAAATGGCGGCTTTTGAAAGCTACAATGGAATTGCCTCCCCAGGCGATGGTTTTGGCTAGTGCTTTCGTATATGCTGCCAAGCACAATCCATATGCACCTTTTGGCAGCTCATGAAGTGGGCGGAAGGCTATCGAAGACTAAGTAGTAAGAGTTTCATCGTTCACTCGAGCTATTACCCACGAGATTGCAGTCTTGTGAGCATGCAAGGCGCGGTCTGCGACGACATAGATGCCGACTTGTCGGCAGCAACACGCCCACATCGCAACCAGTAACTGCTGACGCGGCACAACGCCGCGATGATCCCGAACGTTGATCAAGATGCTACGGCTGCTCGAATCTTCCATCCGCTGGACAACAAAGCTCGCGAGATCAGGCTCGTCGTTCTCTTGCCAGCTACGGACTTCAACGCGAGAGTGCGATGCCGATTCAAGACCGCCAGCCTTATCGCGCGCCCGGATTTCGAAGCAATCTCGTGGTGTTGGGGTGACAGGACTGACACTGAGATCATTGACTTACAAGGCTGCGAGTGGGCTCTACGGACTCATTTGGCATCAGGACTGCGGCATATTCGCCACGCAAACCGTGAAAGGACAGTTTGGGTAGACGCCCTCAGCATCAACCAGGCCTCATCAGCGCAGGCTAAAACCGAGAAAGCCGAACAGATCCAGCTCATGAAATACATCTTCAGCACAGCGTCAAGAACTCTGATCTGGTTGGGAATCCCTTACGAAACCATGGAGCCGTTCTTAGCCTCCGTACTTCTTACAAGGCAAGTGCTGGAACCTCTTCTCCGAAATCAACCTGCTGAGACGGTTGGTCATATGAACAATTTCCTTTCGCTGACCTGTAAGTCTGGTCCGATATTGTCCGTACTTTTGTGCAGTACTGACATTGATACAAGGGTGGAGAAGATGCTGGGTATGCTGACTCGAGCCCCATCGATTCTTCCCGTTCGAGTTCGGTCGGACGAAGACTTGTGGCGGTTGCTGATGGACTATAGGTCATTCAAGAAGCAGTCTTGGCTCAGCTACCAATGGTCCAAATCGGACATTTCCAATTCCAGTTTTATCAACTTCTTGCCGTTTTTGCAGCGTTCTCGAAGTATGTCGCCTCAAATGTTGCTGAAGCACACCCTTTAGAATTCGAGAAACTGTCGTTATTATTGTTTGAGACAGTACACGCATTTTGGGGGCACAGTACCGCTTTTGGTCGGCTGCCTGCTTCCCATCGACACGCACTGGCTCTAGCTCAGATGGGCGACCACAGGTCCTGGACACTAGACCAGCAGACACAACCGTTTCTCGAGTTTGCAACGGTGCTTGCGCGTTGTCGGTTCTCTCAGGCCACAGATCCTCGCGACAAGGTGTGGAGCTTGCTCGGTTTGACAACCGATGTAGTTTCCAGGGAGCTAAGGCCGCGCTACGAGCCAAGCACTGTCGAGATATACATTGAGACCACGCGTTCACTAATATACTGCAGTGGCTCGACCTACATACTTTCGCAAGCGTTCCCAGACCAAACGAAAATGCCACAACTACCTTCGTGGGTACCAGATTGGACCCTGATGCCTGTCAATAGCGTATGGAATGACTGGCAACGAGTTGTCGCAGATCGCGAGCGCCAAGAAGGACTGTACGATGCGTGCTACCGACGTCGTGCCTGTCGACCGCCCTCGGGGGCTCAGTCTCCTCCACATGGCGTGCTTAGCATTGAAGCCGTTTGCTGGCTGTCAGTGACAGAAACGTACGGAGAAGTGAAACACAGTAGGAATCTTCGCGATTGGTGGCACAATATATCATCCTGGCGTCGGCAGTGGAACACGTGGCAGCCGGCAGAGCCAAAGTTTACGGGGCTGGAAGAAGTGCCTGCCTCGTGGCGGGCACTGAAACTCTTGAAAAGAAATGATATCCGAGAAATTGAGAGGAGGAATGCATCGATTCAAGCTCGAAATCGTCAACTGGAAGAGGGGTATGAGGAAATTTTGAAGCACATCCAGCGAAACCTGTGGGGACTGCTCATGCGAGGCACTATGCCGGAGAATATCATGGTCAAGTCTGGAAAGAAGCGCGACTCTCGCTCAATGCAGTCGCGCGCAGAAGACGATGGCCAGCTGGTACGACTGACTAAGGCTGTAGTGGAGGAATGCTGCGATCTGGGGCGGGACCTCGAGGAGACGTCGCCGTTGGGTACCTATCGCATTAATCTTGGTGCATTATTCAGACATGTTCAACGGACCACAACCGGCCAGCGTCTATGGCTCGGGCGTCTGCCGACTGGATATAACGGCCCACAATTGGGTAAAGATTTGCGCAGTCAATTCATGGGTATCGGTCCGTCGCACATAAAACCCGGGCATCTGATATACATATTGGCCGGAGGCACTCACCCAGTAGCCCTAAAACCTCACCAGTCGAGCGGGCCACCGGACCCACAAACATTCGGCTTTCTTGGGGAAGTCTATGTCGCAAATGATGTCGCCACCATGAAACGCGATCCGGAGGAAAACTTCAACTCAAGGGCGATGGGTGGCCTAGTCGCACAGTCGGTCGAGGATCCTGGGCCGAGTACAAATTACTACCCGGTCGCTGTAGGTGACCAGGTGTGGCGCTGGATCGATATCGCCTAGCTTCTGGACAGTTCTGACTTGCCGACGGCATTGGAATCTTCGAGAAGGCGCAACATGTAGGTGTGAGGACGTTGTGGCTCAGCTACAATCACGCCGACAAGCTAAGTATCTCCGTGTACGCCATTGTGCCCGAAGCGCGCTGGACTGCTCCACGAATGATGAATACGGCAGCCCTTCTGTTCATGGCTTACTCATGAGCAGTGAGAGGACAGTTTCCAGACAAGCCAGGACCTTCGCATATCTATCGATTTAACGGATGGGCACCTCAGAATCTCACGCATCGGTCTTTCGGCAGGAGCTCTTCATTCCGACCAGCAAGACCACGCCACGATCGCTACGACAGGCGCCGAGCACCACGGATGGGAGACTCAGCAGCGGATCTTTCACAGCAGATGTATGCCCTTGCGGCTCGTACACTCGCTCGTATGGCAGCTTGCCCTCCCTGGAGGCTGACTTTCGCATGGACGAGGTCCGTGCGTCTCGAGAAAGGCCTGTCCAGGCATGCGATCTCGAAGGGCTGAACCTTGCTGGCCAGCTTCTGTCTTTGCTCCGTTGACGAGCAAGCGAAAGCAAGCTAGGCGGATCGGACTGCTTTCCCGTCGCTGGTCGGCACAGCGAGGAGACGAATGGAATGGTATGGATTCAAATCGAGCTGCGGGAAAGAACATTGTGCGGGGGTCAATACAATGGCCCCTTCAATAGAGGCAGCTGGATAGGTTTCAGCATCATGCACGGCAAGCGGAAGCAAGGACGGACGAGGCGGGCGGTAAGGTGAAGACTTCTTCCCCAATGGCTGGAAATACGTCCGAATGACGTCCAGGCTATCAATGAAAACAAGATTCAATGCTTCCCGACGCATCACGTGAATGTGCCGTGAGATCTGGAAGGATCTTTCGGGTATGTAGGTCGAAGTCTATAGAACCGCTCAATCCAGCGACTCCGTCTAGTCCACAGGGCTTGAAAAGCGACCGAGAGCATGGCGTGAAGAGAATCTTCCCCGACATCTGGAGAACAGGTCTTTCTGTTGGACTCCAGGGTGTCATTGAAAAAAGGTGAAGAGATGGATGCTTCCCCAGCGCATCATCAGTTCTTCTGTGCAGGATCTTGTGGATCGCATGTATCTGATCTGTGAGACTGGTCAATGTAGCAGTATCTGCGTAGGAAGAGTGAAGAAGGTGCAGGAGAATAGAGCTGATGAGAAGATAAACATAAGGGAAGGTCGGATGACGCAAAAAGGACCGTCTTGCTTCCACCCGTCCCGCTTGGCGCATGCATTCCCGTGCCCTTGAAATTATGATCATGAATCGGAGGGGAAAGAACCATGTCCAAAAGCGGAACTTTAGTCACAGAGCTATGCTCGTGCTGACGTTAAGTACTTAGTACTCACGATGGCACATACGTCCTCACTGGAGAAGCGGAGGACTATGCCCAAGGCGTAACCAGAGTACCCTCGATGAGTCATGCATCTCGTTCGGTGCTGCATGGTGTTGGCCTGCTCCACGTAGATCATGCTCAAGGGGTTGCTGGGTTGACTTCGAAAGAAGCCGATGAGCCCTCAGTTCGGACGCTTGTGACCTCGTCGCACATGCGCACGAGAAGTGCCATGCCGCTGAGGTTGCTGTAGGTTCCGGTGCGAAGGAAGCGTGCGTCCTTGCGGACCATGTCCTAGGCGAGGAATGCATCACCTGTTGTGATGCACGTTGAAGAATTGTCACCTGCTGCTCGTGCCAAACGATCACTTGCCTCCATTGAGCTCATGAGCAATGCATCCGCTGGCAGCTGGACCATCCCCAAGGCTCAGCGTGGGATAATGCCGTTGATGGCACCATGCATCCAATGAAGGACCATGACCAACTGACATTTCTGTTCAAGGCACAGCTGAACATGTTGACATCGAAGACTTTGGCATAGAGTATAGGATCAGATACTCTGGTGCCTGAATTCACTCGATGAATGCATGCACTGCGTTCGCAGCCATGACCAAAGAGCTGCATCGCATACCTAGGCATTCCCCAGTTGGTGTCTCATGGCCGACACTCATTCCCTCAGAACCCACAGAGTCTGCCCCCACTCAGACTTTTATTCCCTCAGAACCCACAACATTGCGAACGATCCAATGATCCTTCAGAGCCACACTCTCATTCCCTCAGATCCCACAATTTCCGCAAACAAGACCACAACCGCACAGAGGCACAAGATGAGGACCACTTCACTCTGGTGGCTGCCAGACACTCGTAGCGAGTGAATACGTCCCCTATCATAGCTTGAAGCGACCGCAGTCCTGATGCGTCCCACTTGGAGGCAAGTTGATGATCGACGGCAGTCGTGCAAGTTGACAATTCTTCAACACCTACAGCATGGTTTTGACGGACCAGCCGAAGCCGGGTATGGCTTTCGCCGGTAGATAGAGAAGCGCAGTTGAGGTCGGAAGGGTCGGAAAATTGTGAAGAAGAACGTTAGCAACTTAGCTGATTCGGCCGCAATTGCGCGCGACCACGGCAAGGACGTCGTGAAAGCAGCGCATTGCCGCTCAGCCCTTCTGAAAGATGTCAGCGATGAGATCACGCCTCTGCGATGGCTACTTACGCTTCGCCGTGTCGTCTAAGATGTCTGAAGTTGACAAAGTCGTGCTCATAGTGAGAAGATAGAGGTCGAAGTTGACCTCGATGTTGGAGAAAATAAATAATGCGAACGCGTTCGAGCGCGGGGAAGATGTCTTGGCGAAGATCTGCCTGGAAGCTAGGCTAAATGCGGACTAGTCTACGATGACGGTGCGGAATGCTCTGGCGCTGCCAGTGAAGTGAACCAAGATCTACTACCAGTATTACATGCTTTTGGCCGCAAGCGTCAGCAGCGTGGGGCCATCAGGACTCGAATGGCAGCCGCTTCTGCGCCATCATCTCACAGAGGGAGATGAGCTCCGGCACCGAGAATTCCAGCATAAAACGTGGGGACATGGCTCCCGGACCCCTCATTAAGGTCTGCCAATTTGCGCCGACACGACCAAGCTCTCTGTGGATGCACAGGTGCAAGGCTGCAGGAGCCTCAACTGCGTGCCAGAAACTGCCGTACGTCGTCGTGTCTGGTAACAGGAAATGCACGATCTCTGAGGTGTCTGTCATGGCGATTGCATCTTCTTCCATAATCCGAGGTCGTTGCAGCATCAGACACGATAGTCCACCCAGGACACAGATGATCACCGTTTCCTCCTCGTTTGTTTGCTCTGTATGTCTCAGAGCAGAGAGATCAAAGCCATTGTTGGCATCTTGCGGCCTAAAGAAGGTCTTGAAACTACCATCTGGCATCTTGACGTGGTATGCGGTGGGAGGCTGTCGTATTATATTATGAGGCCTGCGGGATATCTGCCTCTTTGTGACCTGTGCATCTTCGAGTAAGCGTCGAACATGGTCGCTGCTGAAGTCGGGCAGGACGGCTGCCAGGGGATGCAGGCCGATAAAATACTTTTCCTCATGCGACGCGTCTAGCACTGGAGAAGCTTTAACGAACTGAGTGTAAGATTGAGATGTGACCTGCAAAGCCTTGGTTAGAGCTGCTACCGCATCCAGCTGTGATGTGAATCGCATCGAACCACATGTTTGATTTATGTGTTGCAGCGTTCGAGCGAAGACCTCCTCACAAGTCAGAGTATAACTGACGCTGAACGGGAGCTCGTGAGAGACTAGCCTGAGAGACCGTACACATAGTCTCGTGGATCCGAACAGCACTGCTGGTGGTATTTCAGACTCAGATCACCAAGGCTCTGATGCACGCTGGGCTTAGAGATCTCGAGTATGGGATGGCGAACAACCATATGGTAACCAGTGGAAATGACGCTCGGATCTCGCTGCTTGTTCAGCCACGAATAGTATCCAACATCTGTTGAATCAGAGCACGCTGCCCAGTATATTTTCTGCAGACGCTTACGCGTCAAGAGTTTCTGGCCATATATGACACACACCTTCTGCGCCAATCCTATTTCCTGAATGATCCATAGTCTCTGCCAGTAGTTGTTATAGACGATGCTCATGACTTGATTCGCCAGGTGCCAGGCTGCAGGATCTGGGTTTGACGATCTCATAAACTCTCCCCAATCCGTATCCAGTGAGATCGCAGCGATGCTCTGCGGGTGCGAACCAGTGGACGCGCTATTAAGGTACGTCTGTAGACTTGTTGCGCCAAGCCAGATCATCACTTTCGATGCTCCAGCAAAAATCTGGCCCATCATGGCGACTTGCTGTTCTTTTTCCGCGTTATCGCATTGATTAATGCAGATGCTGTCGATCCAGAGCCGCCGTGTTGCTAATCCATAGTCTCGCAAATGCTTTAAGCAACGCCAGATGTTACTCCGTACAGTATGAGCCTTACCATTGATAAGAACACAACATTCAGGTGTTTCGTCGCCCCAGATGTAGGATATAGCCTCATACCGGTTGCGGACCTCGTTGAGAGGATACTGTCGCTGTGTGAGACGGAGTGGCTTGTCTGGCCCTTCGGGCAAAATGTTGACTAGCCGTATATGCTCAGTCGAATGAAGCTGAAGACAACAGTTTTGACTGGTGGCATGCCGTGACAGCATTTTACGTCGACGAAGATGGTTGTACTCTGGTCTGTTCGACTGGGATGCTCGGAGGTACTTATCGCAAGGATGGCCAGAGATGGAGGCACTTCGGTCATACAGGTCTGGCACTTTGGTCAGAGTGGTGTGGGATTTTGTGACCGAGGCCAGGCGGTCGTGAGCCAGGGTCCCTGAGCAACGCCACCTATCAGAAAGAAGGTCGCTTAGAGTCAACTGCAGCATGAATGACGACCGTGATCCTCGGCGCTTAGTCGACCACCGCACCAAGTCCTGCGTAGACATAGCCTGGAGTCCTCGGATCGAATAGCTGCATTCAATGAGATGGAATTTCTGGCGAACGGCCAGAGGTACTGCCGCTCCTAGCACGTTCGCCAGTCTTCCAGTTGACTACTATCCGTGCAGCTAAGCTGGTGTAAAAGACGTTCTCGTCAAACGCTGCCAGTACTGGGTGGCACGCTGGTTTGTTGCTAGTGTTCGTCTTCATAGTGCCCGCCTCAGCATGCTTCCAATCATACGTGGTTGTAGCCTGCTCCCGGGCGAACAGACCACTGTTCATGCCTGCTGCATTCCCACTTCTATAGTAGGCGTCGTCTTGTTTGTGATTGCCGTTTTGACTATTGCGAGGTGTATAATCATTTTTCAGAACCTTATTTCCAACTGCATCTCCATCGCGCTGATGGTCCGCCTGGTCGGCATAGTCGTTCAGAGGTAGCAAATACAACAGCCGACTCTTCACCGCCGCAAGCATGCTGGGCGGTGCATACGCGAGGGCTTCTAACACTTCAACGGTTCGCCATAGATCCTGATGACATGGCCGCTTAGGAGCGATGGTGGCCATCAGATGAACACCATAGAAAGTGTAGTGCAAGAGGCCCGTTGTTGTCCAATGCTCCATTGCTGGAAATTTGGTCAGTATATGTGTAGGCGGAATATCGGTAACGGTATCGAGAGCGGAGGGCGCGCCTCCTGATGCTTGCTCGATGAGGTGTATAAAATCGTTGACAGCAGACAAGCCATAGCGCTCGAAAAGCGTGTTTGATGCCACGTTGATGAGAAGGACGGTAGCCAGCCATATCCGATCAAACTCGTCCTGTCTCGCGGTTGGGTTGGATCGGGGATCGCGGGTCAATGCTCGACGAATGCAAGGGTAGCGGTCGCTAGCTTTGAGCACCTTAGCGCGCTGGAGCTCTGCGCGAAATGATGTCTTCTGCGACTGGCAGCTCGTCTTATTGTGTCGATAAGAGAATCGCATGCGCGCTGCCCTTCAGACTCGGAATTGAACGGGCGAGGAACGCCGATGAGAACGCACGCAAGTAGACAGAACGGCTCTTGTGGGTGTGGCCACGACTGGTCCTTGCGAAGACGTCGAAAGCTCAGACAAGCTTGCAAATGCTTCTGCGCTGCAGCTCGCTCGCCGATGCGATATTCCACCAAAGCAGCGTAGGCTAATCCATACAAAATATCGCTGGAAATCATCGACGGTGTGACATCCTTCAGTCGGCGGGCCATCACACGGTATGTGAGGATTCGTCGTTCAAGAAGCAATGCATGCCGGTCAGAAGTCTCCTGGCGGTGTAGTCCAACCACTATCGCCCAGATGAGCACAATCTCATTGCTGGCCACGATCTCCAGTGTAGCATCGCGCATTGGACGCATGAAGGTGTTCATACTCGCAACATGATATTTAGTCGGCACGGCTTGAAGATCTGGCTCCGCCGTGGCGGTCAGCAATCGTGAGTGTTTGCATGCAAGCAAAACCGGGAGCAGGCGACGAGAAGGAACAACCTACAATTATGAAGATAATTGCCCGCGTCTGGTGAGAGATCCAGACCGACTACAACGAACGGGTCCAGAGCCCCTCGAGCGTTGGGAACTTGCGTGAAACGATTGAAACTCTGCAGGGCACGGTCTTTGTCGTGTCTGCGACGTTCTAACTCATGCTCTACCCGTCTCTGGTGAGAAACCCTCGCAGCATGCCGCTTGGCCGCAAGTGCCTCTTTTTGTAGACCATCCCGTTTAGACCGACGACCGTCATAATTCGTGGGTAGAAAATGGAAAATCTGACGGCTCGCCATCATTATTGGGTGACATAGCAAGGGTGCTACTCTCGCCACGCGTGGTTTATATGTGGCAGTTGTGATGAGCTAAGGGTACGGCTGTTGATGGTTAGTCATCGTTAAAGACAACAGGGGACTGCAGATCGTTGTTTCAGCCAATCGATGAGCTAGTCTGGTACTTCGTGCCTATCCAAGCGTGTTGCGTGAGTCAGGATATCGCAACGAACTGCTGCTACTATGAGGAAGAGTCTCGATCTAGATCTTCGAGGCGAATATGTAAGTGACCGCTCGCGCGATTTGACTCCCTGCCTAGGTAAGTAACGCCTCTTATGTCCGGCTGTCCAAGCTCTGGCCCCTACCAATTCAGGAGTTCTTCTTGTCTGAGCCATCACTAGCCAGGCTGTATCTTTCTCGAACCCACGACTCGACGCGTCTGTGCTTTGGATACAGGTATCGAGCATAGGGAAGCATGCTTTGCGTTCGATTGACGTTATTCGAGGCAGCACCCTTAAGTCCATTAACTTTCCGGCAACCATGACATAATACCACTCGACAGCATGTCCGGAAGTCGGATTTGCCTTTGTTCGGGAAGGCCTCCTACAATTAACGCATGTACCTGTCGATAATGATGAGGAAGGCTGACGACGTGGCTCGGCGAGAAACCGAGTGAGCTTGAGACTGAACTCAGACCTCAACGATGCCAGTTCCGGCTGCGTTGCGATCGGAGGGAACACGAGGCTCGATGTGAGAGTATATACTTGCAGGCTCTCGTGAGGTCTGAGCTACCGTAAGATCAGAGCCAAGACTATCAGCAAAGTAAACAACAATGACGAGAACAACAGCGGAAGCAGCATCTCCATCCTCAGAGAAAGCACCAGGCCCAACGAAGCAGCTATGCAACTGGATACCTTCAATATCGCTCGACCAGGTCCCTGATGAAGTGCAAACACGAGCCAAACATATTCTTCTGGACGGTATTGCAACGCTTCTGGTCGGAGCGCATCTTCCATGGTCTGAAACCGCCGTGCGCACAGTCTTCTCATTCGAGCCACCAGGATCTGGGGCATGCAATGTGTTCGGATGGGGCTCGGAGACGAAAATCACGCCGCTACAAGCAGCGCTTCTCAATTCGACATTCATCCAAGGCTTCGAGCTTGATGACTGGCACTCGGAGGCGCCGTTGCACAGCAATTCATTGCTCATTCCATCACTTCTGGCTGTGGCACAGCACGAGGCCTCTGTGTCAAGCAACAGCGGTGGACGACACATCACTTCCGGCAAGGACCTCCTACTTGCAGCCATAGTCGGGTATGAAATTGGTCCACGAGTCGGCCTTGCGCTCTACGGACCAAACATATTATCAACAGGCTGGCACTCAGGCACTGTGTTCGGACCACCCGCCGTGGCTGGTGCGGTGTCGAAGTTGCTTGGGTTGAACCCAGCTCAGATCGAAGACGCAATGGGCACCGCGTGCACACAAGCTTGCGGCCTCATGTCAGCACAGTTCGGAAGCGACGCGTGAGTCACCATCTGTTCATTTACATTGACCATGGACTAATTCTTTAGCAAACGAATGCAGCACGGGTTCGCGGCACGAAATGGACTGATGGGTGCCCTGCTTGCACGAGGTGGCTACAGCGGGATCAAAAATGTCTTCGAGGAGCCATATGGTGGCTTTCTGGAACAGTTCAGCAAAGGCAACGGCAAGACACCCAGCTTCTTACCTGACGAGATCGTTAAGAACCTGGAAGTGGACTGGAAGACGAAAGGCGTTAACATGAAGCCATATGCTTCAATGGCGGCGACTCACCCAACTGTGGACTGCGTACGGATCTTGCAAGAGCGGCACTCAGAGCGGTTCAAGGACAGCAATCTGGACGAAATTAAAAGCATCACACTCGAGATGGGCTCAGACGCTTTTCATCACGGCGGATTCCAGGCGACTCGTCCAACGACGGCGGTTGGAGCTCAGATGGCGTGTATGTATGTTGCTGCTACTCAATTGGTCGATCGCCAAGTTCTGCCACCACAATTTGCGAAGCAGTCGCTTGACCGCAACGAGATCTGGTCCCTAGTTGATAAGACAAGATGCGTACAGAATGATAACCTGGGCGACGGCAAATTCGCGCAACGAATGACAGTGGAGTTTGCTGATGGGGAGACCGCGACTGCAGAGGTCCAAAATGCCCGCGGCGTTGACCCTGAGCTGTCGAATGAGGAAGTAGTGACCAAGTGGAGGGACCTAACAAAAGATATACTCGACGAGGAGAGGCGGAAGAAGATCGAGGAGCTCGTGCTCGGGCTCGAAACTTGTGAGGATGTTGATGCACTTATCGAGCTGTTGACTCCTGTTGTGCCGTCAGTGCTGGCTTGACTATCGCACCGAAGGACAATATTCATTCATAATCATGCGATCGATTCTTTCTCAATTACAGACACTACGCGCCTGTTCTTTCTTCTTCGGGGAAGCCTGCACGAATTAGAAAAAGTTTGGCAGGCACCGACCACGCGCCTAGGGTTTTGTTTTGGTACCTCAGGGCATCGCTGCAACTGGCTTTCTTGAGCCCGCAGCATCATTGGCGGGAAGGAGAAGCGTGGTGTAACTTCAGCGGCTCGCATTCAAGCCTCTCCGAGTTTGGCTTGCTCACTCACTACAGGCTGACACACTGGCAGGCCCGGACGTATTCTGTGCTTGTAACCCGATTCTCCCTTTCTTTGTCCTGCACCAACCGCCATCTTTCTTGATCACTCACTTCCAGGCCTTCATCATCACAAAGTGAACTATATATTGAAATACTCGAGTCCTCGCAAACGTCATAACTCGGCGGTTGCTTGCGCCCAGCACCGACTTACAAACCGCTGCCCCACCACCTCGGACTGCGCGCTCCGCTTAGGCTGCCTGCGCATCATCCCCAGGAACAGATCTCTTGCTACTTCGTACATTCGATCCAAGCCTATTGATCCTGCGCAAAGCCAAGTCGAACCCTCCTTCCTCGTGCATCTGCGTGCGGCGGCGCGTTATACCTCTTTCCCCTCCGATATGGGTCAAAAGTGAGTACACCATCATGACATCTGGCCTCGGATCACAGCGGCTAATCACATTCTGCATCTGATAGACAGTCGAAACTCTCGGCGGCGCAACTCGAGGAATTGCAGCAAGCGACCAAATTCGACAAAAGAGAATTACAGGCATGGTACAAGGGCTTCTTGAAGGACTGCCCCTCGGGTAGGCTCACGAAGGCCGAGTTTCAGAAGATCTACAGGCAGTTCTTTCCTTATGGCGACCCGACGAGTTTCGCGGACTATGTGTTCAATGGTACGAGTTCTACACTTCGACGGTGCCCTTCGACGGCCAGTCGGCAGGATGGGCAGAACTGACGGAACATGAACAGTATTCGACGCCGACAAGAGCGGCGAGATCGACTTCAAAGAATTTATCGTTGCGCTGAGTGTGACGAGCAGAGGCAAGATGGAGGACAAGCTGGACTGGGCGTTTCAGTTGTACGATATCAATGGCGATGGGAAGATCAGTTATGAGGAGATGTTGGCGATTGTGACTGCAATATACAAGATGGTGCGTTCCGCGAGGATTCAGAGCTGTTACATGGGGGATGCTGACTGAGGTAACAGGTTGGATCGATGGTCAAATTGCCCGAGGATGAGGTATGCTCCAGCCATGCTCTTATTGGGAAGCACACTGACAACTTGAAGGACACACCAGAAAAGCGAGTGACCAAGATATTCGCCATGATGGATAAGGACCAAAACGCGTACCTCGATCGGGAGGAATTCCGAGAGGGCAGCAAGCGGGATGAGACGATCGTCTCAGCGCTCTCCTTGTACGATGGCTTGGTCTGACCGCCAACGCGAGGGGCGGATGGCGGAAAGCAGCACGTTCGAATCGAACAGCAACGTCACTTCAGCAAGGAGTCGCGGCGTATCAAAGGAGGCCAGTGGATGACATGAGAACACGATCATGGATGATGAATGTTTGGAGGCATCTTCTGGTGCTGGTCAGGATGGAGATGAGTCTCAATAGTCCGTTGGAAGTCTGTTGGGTCGAGTCAGCGACAATTGGGCACCCCATGGACAACAGCTTCGAGGCTGTCTGCAGTACAGAACGTTTGGACGATACGCCTAAGTGCTTCACTGCAGCACCCAGACTCTACCAGCTACATGGCCGAAAGGGGAAGAGCAGCCAGAGACAAGCTATTATGTTGGCTGCAGAAGGCGCAGTTGACCGGCTTGGAGGAATTTCTTAGTATAGCAGTGACGCGCCAAGCTCAGTCGCGACTGCCCTGGGATGGCCTCGATCTCCAAAAAAGTTCACGACCTCGTAACTGCAGTAGACAACATCAGATCAACAGGCATCTGTCATCTTCCATCGAACAATTGCATTTTGCCAGTGGCTCGTCAAACTTCTTTGCGAAGTTTCTTTGTTCACTGCCTCGACGACTGCTGTAACCATTGACCGCCTCCGCATGCACAAACGGCTATGCACAGGCTGTGATCTGCGCCCAAGCGCTCGTTCGTACGACGCCTGCCTACCCCAACACCTCCCATCTTCCAGCACAAAGCCGTCCGCTGTCCGACCATGCGAGTGCCCTCAATACTGACGGCGACCGCCCTTGTTGCCGGCTCCGCTCACGCCTTCTACCTGCCCGGCGTAGCCCCAACCTCCTTCGAGAAAGACCAGCGAGTCCCCCTGAACGTCAACTCGCTCACCCCATCGCTCTCCCATCAGGATGACCAGATCCACGCCGTAGTAGCATACGACTACTATCATTCCACATTCCGGTTCTGCAAACCCGAAAAGGGCCCGCAGTGGGTGCGCGAATCGCTAGGCAGCATCATCTTCGGCGATCGCATTCGTACATCGCCTTTCGAGCTGCATATGGGAAGGAACGAGACTTGCAAGTCGATATGCGATAGTCGTGCATTTGATGAGCAGGCGGCGAGGTTTGTGAGGTCGAGGATATCCGAGGGCTATCTGGTCAATATTCTGGTGGATGGGCTGCCTGGTGCGGAGCAGGTGAGGGATGGGTATACAGGGGAGGTGTACTCGAGTCCAGGGTTTCCGTTGGGAAGAGTGACCGAGCAGGGAGATGTGGTGCTGAACAATCACTGGGATATTGTGGTGGACTACCACAGGGCGGGACTAAGAGGAGGCCGATACCGTGTGGTTGGTGTACTGGTCCAGGCGCACTCTGATGCAGATGCGAGGAGGATAGATGGAGGAAAGGCGGAATGTGGCAACGGCAAGAGGGAGCTCCTTCTCAACGAGAATGGCGAAACAAAAGTCACCTACACCTACAGCGTCTACTGGAGGGAGAGCAAGACGGCATGGGCTACCAGGTGGGACAAGTACTTCCACGTCGAAGACCCGAAGATACACTGGTTCTCCTTGATCAACTCGACCATCTTCGTGGTGTTCCTGCTGGGCATGGTCAGCACAATCCTTCTCCGAGCGCTGAGAAAGGACATCGCCCGCTACAACAGGCTGGACAACATCAACCTGGACGACCTAAGTGGAACAAGCGCCGTCGGAGAGGATGACATCCAGGAAGATTCAGGCTGGAAGCTAGTCCACGGCGACGTCTTCCGCAGTCCCCGCCATGCACTCCTTCTAAGCGTCCTCCTCGGCAGCGGTGCCCAACTCTTTCTCATGGTAGGCTTCACCGTCCTGTTCGCCATGCTCGGCTTCCTGTCCCCCTCGAATCGCGGCTTCCTCACCACAGTCGGGCTCCTTCTGTACACCATCTTCGGCTTCGTCGGCGGCTACGTCTCCGCCCGCAGCTACAAGACCTTCGGCGGCGAGCTCTGGAAAGTCAACATGGCTACCACGCCCCTCCTCGTCCCCGGCACCGTCTTTGGCCTTTTCTTCCTCATGAACCTTATGGTCTGGGCCAAGGGCTCCTCCGGCGCAGTGCCACTGTCAACCATGCTCGCCCTCATCGGCATCTGGTTCGTCATCTCCGTGCCCCTCAGTCTTGGTGGTAGCTGGTTTGGCTTCAAGCAGCCCGCCATCGAGCCCCCGACTCGCGTCAATCAGATTCCTCGACAGATTCCGCAGGTCTCGCGAAGTCTGAGTTTATGGCCGAGCATCATGATGACAGGCGTACTGCCCTTCTGCGCCATCTTCGTCGAGCTGTACTTCATTATGACCAGCCTGTGGAGCAGTCGGATCTACTACATGTTCGGGTTCCTGTTCGTGGTGTATGGGCTGATGGTGCTGACGACCGCGTGCACGACGGTATTGCTGGTTTACTTTATGCTGTGCGCAGAGGACTACAGGTGGCAGTGGCGGGCGTTTGTGGGAAGTGGGATGACTGGCGTGTATGTATTTGTTAACGCCCTTGGGTTTTGGGCGATGAAGATCAGTTTTGGGGGCATGGTGGGAACGGTGCTGTACGTTGGTTATTGTGCTTTGATCGGAGGCTTGGTGGGATTGTTGTGTGGTAAGTGCACTCTGCCCATTTCCCCGTTTCCGGATCATCGGGTCTTTCGTCTTGGGTTGTTTGCTGACCTATGTATCACTACAGGCACGATCGGCTTCTTCGCCGCGTTCTTCTTCAGTATGAGGATTTACAAGTCGATCAAGATCGACTGAGGCATTGGCATCTTGTATTACAGACATTGCAAGCACCACATCGATAGATGTATTGCAGAAGTCTGCGGCATCTCTCCTTCTCTGTCTCTCCTGAACTAAGGGGCACACTTCAGGGCTTTCGTAATCCAGGTGCGTCGTTGTTGATGCTCGTTCGCGCCAGTACTTTTTACCATGGAGCATGAGCGACTCGCATTCACGGTCCCTATCTAGCTTCTTGGTATTGACTCGACCACCATCCACCCAACACGATCGCTATCGAATGAAAACCCCCCTGCAGTGTCCCTTCACACCTACTGCTTCGTAGAGCCAACGTACTTACAGTGCCATATCACCTATCCTCTCCTGGGTTGCATGCCACCTTCCCGATGACAAGCGAGCACGCCCAGCCATCAACTTCATCTCCTCGTGGCAGCGACTGGCGCGCTGTGCCCCTCCCTTTCCCTTCTGGCATTCCGATAATCCCTGACGCTGGAATAAAGAGGAAGCCGCGACCTACTTTCGACGACCGCTCATCCCAGCCAGTGCGTCCGTGGGTTTGGTCCTCGAGGAGTTCCCCGCCATTGTAGAGGTTCCACGACGCCTGGGACCTATTGTCGGTGGGAAATGGCTCTTTGAGGTGGGTCTTGCTTGTTCTGCTGCTGCTGCTCAGATCTCGTGCCCCAGTACCAACGCTGCATTGGTCGAGCGTGGGACAAGCTGCACGGCGGTTTCGAGCGCTACAGTCGATATAGTGGCATGACATTGTCCCCAAATTCGCGTGCTGCGCGTCTTGCTCGACCCAAAGCTCATGAATAAAATTCGAACCTTTCAGTCTTCAGCCGCGCAGAAGGCAGCCACCACCACGCCTAAAATTCAAGCCTATATCAATCACAATCAGCAAACGCCCACACCACGCACGCATCCGCACGGGTACAACTTACAGCCCTCGTTATCCTCCCAATCCTCCGAAACATCATAGTTCATGCAGCCTCCAGACGACTTGTAGTTCATGCATCCATTTTTGCTTTGGTAGTTCATGCACCCGTTGAATTCGCTGAATTGTGTGCCGCCGCCCACGTTCATGCCTGGCCAGAAAGGAAAGTTCAGCATATTTCTTCTTGTTGCACCGTGCACGTGCACGCATGCGGGACTTCATGCAACAAGGACCCCGGATGTGGTATGAGGCATAACGGTGAGATACAGAGCGGGAGAGTCAGACTCACAGCCATCCGTCTTCCCAAATTCGTAGCCGGCGCCGACGTTCATGCACCCATCTACATTGTCCTATGAAGCTAGTTAGAAAAGATGGTGTATTGGGCATAACACGGATCAAAGGAGATCTGATCCAAGTTTCCAGGAAAACCTACGCCGAAGTTCAAGCAACCCCCTTCTTGCTTCTGTCGTGCAAGGCGCTTTTGTCTCTGCTCCTCTGCTGACTCTGGCGACACGCCGTTGCCAGTCCTGTCCGACAGTGCAATGCCGGCTTGGCGGGCGTGAGCCTGGGCAGCAGCGTCGTCGATGATGGGGTCGTTGCTGTGCGCGGAGATGCTGGAGGAGCTGCGGCGGCCGGCGACTTCGTCGTAGGCGGGCGGGGCATCCATTCGAGGCGGTGAGGCGGGCGTGTTTGGAGAGGTCGGTGTCAGCGTTGGGGACGAGGAGGCCTTCTTGCCCATTGTTGCTGTTAGCACGGGCGAGCAGGGAGGTGAGTTGAGTGTCGTGAAAGTCCTGCGGTGGGATGGTGTCACGAGCGATGAAAGTCGGTAGCGTGGACAGGTCGATGCTGTTTGTGTCTTGTTCTACTGTGGAAGTGAGGTGGAGCTGGTTCTTCAACGTCGTGTATAACGCAATGTGCAGTAAATCAGCCAGTTACGCTATCAATGGTGGCGAGGTCTGGTATATACAGCTCCTGTTGTGGATGATGCAACTTCCTCTTTCTTTCTATAACACAAGAATAGACAGGACACTAGTTGACGCCGTTGAACCTCAGATGGCGGCAGACACGCCCATCTCAAGCTCAATGCCCCGCTCCGATCCAGCTGCAGCCAGTAAGCGAATACGTCCCCATCGACCCCCATGTCCAAGTTCCAGGCACCCTCGTTTCCAGCCAATCGTTCACACCGAAGCGGAGCTTGTGGCTGTCGAGTAGTGGAGCAGGAAAAGAAGTTGCCTGACCTTGGGATGCTTATCACAGTGGTTAATGGTAGGTCCATCGTCGGTCTCTGTCTTAGCACGGGACTTTTGGAAGACAGCTTCTTGAAGAGTCCTGGTTTGTCCTTGATCGAGAAGCGGCCGTGCCGCGTGCCTGCCTGATCTTGTCTCGGTCAAGTGAAACCACCGGAAGGCGCTGCAGCGTTCACCACCATCAGGACAAACAGTCTGTGGCCGGCAAAAGCTTTCAGTGTGGGTTTGAGGGCTATACTGCAAAGGCCTCCCTCGAAAGGCTATCGATACGAGAGGATGGAACGTATTTGAAATAAGTTGTGAGACTCTCGCCTTTAGCACAATCTATCAAGTTTTTCTTCTTTATCTTCGCTTCCGTAGAAGACACAATAATCTATCAATTACTTTAACGTCGTTCGAACCGACGACCTGCTCAACCACAATCATGCTCAGATCCCGTCCCATCTAGAAGGCCATACCAAGAACAAAGCAAATGCAAATTAGCCCTCAAAGCCCGCCCTGGCTCTGCTCAAACAATATCCTCCTTCCCCTTCTCACTCCTCCTCCCCGTCTTCCCCGTCGCCGCGCTCCTCGTCGTGCTGACCCTTCCGACCGGCCCACCATCCTCGCCCCCATGCGCCATCGGCACCGTCTCTCGCGTACTCTCAATCTGCTTGATATCCTTGCTCGCCGCCACTTCCTCACTCTGCTTCTTCGCACCCTTGGGAACCCGTCCCAGCCAGTAGAAGAACACCGCGCCTGCGATGTTTACCAGGACGTACACCCACATGAGCCCAAAGTCGCGCCACATGTTCTTCGGGTCGGCGCTGACGCCGGCCAGAAACTTGTTGGTGTCGGCCAAGGTGCAGAAGCTGCATTCTGTGGTGGAGTCGATGGTCGCGGGATCGAGTTGGCCGCCGGCGTAGTCTATGAATGCTTGCATGTATTGGCCACAGGTCTGGCCGGCGGGCGGGGCAAAGCTGAGGAACTCGTTGGCTGCGCATTGGACTGTGGTGTCGGCGACGGCGGTGGTGAGCATGCCTTCGACCAGGTAAGTGAAGGGTGAGACGCGATACATGAAGATCCAGAAGCCGGGAAGAGTTGTTGGGGATGCTAGAACACCACAGAAGATGAGGGCAAGGGAGAAGAGCAGATTGGCGATGCCACCACCCGCCTCAGCGCTGCCGATAGCGGCGATAACCATGTGCGCAAACGTTGAGGTGAAGATCAGGAAGACCAGGACCAGCAGGAACATGAGCGCGCCGCGCTCATGGACGGCGTCGGTGGGCTCAGCATTGCGGTAGACGCCGATTGGGTAGTACCAGGTGAAGAAGAGAATGATGGCGGAGAGGACGCCCCAGGGAATCTCGACGATGATATTGCTCATCATAAATGCCTGCCATGAGTATGCTTTCGATGGGCGTTCACGGACTTCGTAAAGAGCGCGCTGAGTGACGAACATTGGCATGATCTGTTGCACAAGCTGGCCGAAGATATTCATCAACATGAAGATACCGAACATTTGGTTCTGTAGGCCTTGGATTGAGTTGCTGGCATTGAAGAAAGAGAAGCCGATGAACAGACCAGAGGCGGTGATCAAGCCAAGTTTAGAGTAGATGTAAGACGCGTACGCCAGTACTGCTCGAAGACGCGCTTCAGAGTCTCCCAGAGTTGAACTGTGAAAGGCGCAGCGAATTCCTTGTATTGCGCTTTGTTGTCTTGGGTCTGTACACGAGTCATCATCTGCGAGCGTTCCTGTTGCATGTCGTCAAGCTCTTTGTGAACCGCAGCATACTCCGGGGAATTGCGCCAAGTATTGAACCAGTCGATATCTGTAAACGAGCCTGGCGCAGCACCGATGATCTCAAGCATCCATTCAGCTGGATTGGCCTCAGGCGGGCAAGGTTTAGCACCGTTGCGGACGAAGTAGTCGGTCAAAGTCTTCGAGGACTCCCCAACAGGACCAAAGTATACAGTCTTGCCGCCCTTCTGGAGGAAGAGGAGGCGATCAAAACGTTGGAATAGAACTGCGGAAGGCTGGTGGATGGTGCAGAGAATAGCCTGTCCATTGTTCTTCAGCTTTTCAAGCAGGTCGAGAATCGACCAGGACGTCTGAGAGTCGAGACCAGAAGTCGGCTCATCGAGGAAGAGCAGCAAAGCGGGTTTGGCAGCCAGCTCGACACCAATAGTCAAACGTTTCCGCTGTTCAACGTTGAGACCTTCGCCTGGAACCCCAACAACAGCATCGGCGTAATCCTCCATTTCGAGAAGCTTGATGACCTCGTCGACATATGCCAGCTTCTCGTCGCGTGAGACATGAGCAGGTTGACGTAGGATTGCGCTAAAGTTGAGGGCCTCGCGGACAGTTGATGTTTCCAGGTGAAGATCCTGCTGTTGCACATATCCGGTCTTGCGTTGAAACGAGCTGTCTCGTTGTTGGCCGTCTACAAGCATATCACCAGAGATGACACCCATGGTCACACGCGTCGCCAGGACGTCCAAAAGTGTAGTCTTACCAGCGCCTGATTCTCCCATAAGGGCTGTCAGGGTACCAGGCTTGACCCAGCCATCCACGTGGTCGAGGATGCGGCGCTCTTCCTTCTTGACCTTGATATCGTACACGACGTTCCTCCACTGGAAGATCGCAGTCTGCTTCTGTATGACATCCGAGATATCCTGCTTGTGGACGTGCTGCTTCTCCATGGTGACATGATTGCCACTGCCGCTCTCGTCATCGCTGAGTTTGCTTTTGGCTGCAGCTGGTATGTGGCCACGTCGGAAGACCAGAACCTCGCCTTTGGACTTCTTACTAGTTACGTACTCGGCAGCAACCAGATAAGTGCACATGAGCCCAATCAGAAAGCCGATGAGGATGCCGAAATTGCGCCAGCGATGAGACGCGTAGTAGGCGTATTGCGAATTGATGTACGCGTCACCAGATACGTATGGCTGTCCAGCAACTGAGCCGACTGTTGTACAGACATGATTGTCGGAGGCGACATTGCCATAAGCTGTCAAATCGCCCATATTCGATGGAACGAATGTCGAACAGGGAAATTGGCGGTTTGAGAACTCATTGACCATCAGTGCCTCAAAGCCATATGAGACGGGGTCAATATAGTTGATCCAACGCGACCAGCCAAGCATATACGTCGTTGGGATTGCAAATCCTGTGTAGATGACAATGGCCAAAATCATTACAGCAGCGGGTGCCAACGCCTGTGATAGGGTCCTCGAAACTGATCCAATTGTCCTGAAGAGCATGCTCATCACCAGGGTTAGGAAGAACGAGATGAGCAGGAAGAAAAAGAATGCTGCTGGTGTTCTTCGCAAATTGGTCATGAAGTATAGCGTCAGGTTGAAAAGAATAGCGTTGAGAATCTTGTATGGCATGTCCGTAAGCATTGAGGCGACGGCTTCTGCTGAGGGGTGATACAAGGCGTAGCGTTTGTGCTTCTCGACGATAGGCCGCTGAGCGTAGAGCGTGAGAATTTCGAGTGCAGAACCAAAGGCGTTCATTAGAACGGCGAAGAACAGAAGCGCCCCTCGGGAGAAGAAAGAATTGGTAGTGTCATCGAGGTTGTAGAAGACTGATGCGATGACCAGCGCCAGAACAACATTGAAGAACAGCTGAAAGGCAGTGATGCTGGGATCAGCAGCAAGCCGTCGGAAACCACGCCACAGTGTGAGCTGGACTTGCTGGTTGTACGACAGTGTGTACGGCGACTTTGGTCGCAGCTTCTTGGATTTCTGCAGCTGGCGAGACTTCTGAAATCGTTCGAGATGCTCACCGCCTATCAGGTGCTCTTGCTCATACTGCTCAATTTCTTTCATGAGTTCGGCATACTCCGGACTTGACTTCCATCGTGCTGCAAACTCGTCTGGCGTACGGGGCACCTTGTTCTCGAAACCAGGTCGGGTGATTCTCTCCTCCGCACTTGTCATGGACGTTAAGAAATCAGCCTCAGTTTGTCGATGTGGGCATTCAAAGCCCATGTTCTCGAAGAAAGCGCGGGCATTTTTGGTGCTTCCGAAATAAATCTGGCGACCCTCATATAGGACTAGAGCCTTGTCGAAAAGGTCATAGGCGGCCTGAGGTGCTTGGTAAATGGCGACTGCTGCCGTGACGTTCTGCAGTTCCGTCGACATACGAAGTGTGCGACAGAATTCAATGGCGTTGGCGCTATCGAGACCACGAGTCGAATTGTCCCAAGCTTGTAAGGGCGAACCGTTCAGGCAAGCCTCCGCGATTGTCACACGCTTACGCTCACCACCTGACACGCCACGGACGAAATCGTTTCCAACTTTTGTGTTGAGTGTGTGCCGGATGCCAAAGGTAGCCATGATCATGTCGCGCACATTCAAAGCATACTGCTTCTTCGAGATGCCACCAGGGATGTTTCTTGGTGCACGCGCTCTCGCAGCGAAGTAGAGCGTGTCGCCAACTGTCAATTGTGGGAAGTGGACGTCAACCTCGGCAGTATATATCGTCTCGCCGCGGAACTGCTTGTGCATCTGCTCGTAGCTGACACCTTGATAGTTGATGACGGATTCAGGGTCCACGTTAAAACCATGTGTCTCACCAGTAATGGTCTTGAGGAAGGTCGAACATCCTGAACCAGGAGGGCCAAGGACAACCAACATTTCACCAGCACGAACCAGACCGTCGAACTTCTGCAGAATGTCGATTCTCCGCTGGCCGGACCCCATCAGTTGGCGAATACCACCAATGACCTGCAGATAAACATTGCCGACAGACTTCTGAAAGTCGGTACCAGTGCCAAAACCATGAGCGCTGAGATTTCGAAATGAAAACCCAGCTGACCTCGCGAGATGGCGCTCTTCGCCTTCCTCCTGCAGCAGCTTCAGCATCGACTTGGTGAAAGCTCGCGCTCTGAAATTGTCCGAGTTGGGATCGAGTACCGAACCCTCCTCATACTGCCATGGATTCGAAGGTACGTTAGAATATGTCGACGCCCGCGTCATTTGCCGCGCAAGCGATTTGATCTGTTCGCTCTCATCTTCGGACGATTCGCTGATGTGCTTCTCCTCGTCAAAGGTTGGGGCAGTGACGTAGGATGTCTGGTGGCGGTCCATTGATGGTCGCCGTTGTGATGTATTTGAGAATCGTCGAGGCAGGTTGTCTGTGAATGATGCGCGGCGAACGTGTCCGGGAGATGGTGGAGGCTGTGTTGATCCAGGGCCTGAGGTCTCCATGGTCCGATCAGGCGATGTCACAAAGCCTCCCACTAGGGACATCGTGGACAGCGGCGATGTGTTTTGGTTTTATGTCGAAGTTGCCAAAGAGGCGAGATGGCCGGTAAGTGTGCTCTACGGTCGCGAAAGGTATCGATGAAGCTGACGAAAACAAAAGGCTGTGAACAATCACGTCTTGCCAATGTGAAGAGTCAAGGACCGCCGGAGTTTTGTGTTTTCCTCCAGCTACCTCATTCGACACGAGCGCGAGCCGGACGAAGTCTTGCGTCAACTTCCGCAAGGCAACAACGTGTCTAAGAATAAAGACAGCACGAGAACGAAATCGCAACGAGAACGAAGTCGTGTGCCAGAAGTCGCCGAAAGAATGGGAAGGTTGTGAACACGAACGATGGAGGCAAGAAGCGTGAACGAACGTCACCACCACAACGGACAGCGCGAAACTCTTCGTATTCTTTGAAGGAAAGAATCGGCGCACAATCGTAACGGTAGCAGTGACTCCCGCTGGGCAGGATTTGCGGACGATTCGTCCGACTGGAGTTCTTCCAAGACCAATACTCGATATGCGTCCACGCTCAGTGCTTGTTTGACACCCAAACTCCGTGTTGTGGGCTTCAAAAAGGAAAGGATTTGTTCATTATTTCGACCGGAAAAGTCAAAGTACGAGCGCTCGGATCTGGTGGCAGATTTCACAATTTGCTCCAAGAATTATGCTAACTTCACGTAACCGTAAACTACACCCAAAGGAGGCCTACCGCCACACACTGGAGTGCCCAGGAATCGATATCCGGCCGCCGCGTGTTGTGACTCCCTTGCCTCGCATGCACAACCGAGTACGCCAAGTCGCTCCTATCTGCTCGGCTTCCGGCGAGATAAAAACAGGCGTTTCTCGAATCCCTCCGATGTGCGCGTGCGCGTCAAGGCCAAGAGCTGAGGCTCAATTGCCTCAACTCCACGTACAGTATATCAGGCGCAACATCGAGTTACTACGTCGGGTCAGGTGCACACGAATGTGAGGCTCTGTTTGACTCACGGGATCCTGCATGGTTCGGACAATACCGCCTGTGTCAGCACCCAAAGTCGCGCAAGATGCGCCCGTGGGCACGGGGCTCGGTTTCCTTAAGCGGGCGCAGTGGACTTCTGCTGTGGGGTTGTAATCACGGAATTCTTAAGCCCGGGTGTCCAGTGGTCGACCGGTCGTTCTTTAGGCATTGCTAGAAGGGGTGGTGCTTAAGCGAATGCGAGCCTTTGATAACGGGCGCTCGTTCGTAGGGAAAGATTTTGTGCATAAGGGTTAAGGTTCCGAAGGGCATGAATACCTCCGAATGTGATGTGCTCAGGAACGGCGCAGTCGTTTGTGTTCGTGTACTCGGCCCCTTATTATACAAGATGGTGAGTTTGTGACGATCACGTCGAGGTGTTCTGCCTACCCACCCATTGGAAGTTGGCAGCCTGAATCAATGTTTCAGTGCACGTGTGCGCGCAACGGCTCCAGCACTACTAACTTCGCACGAGTGTTCGGCTTCAGGGCTCTGAGCTCAAGGTAGTCTGATACGGGCTGTTGCTCCTAGTCTCACGTCCAGTGACACCGATCGCTCTCACGACTTACGCAGTATTATACCAGCCATCGCACTTCCTATGCTCGAGGTCACCACGTGGTCGTTCATGCGAGAACCTGGGGAACCTGGTAAACGCCGCCCATCCGCGAACAGGGCGCATCGTTCCAGAAATCTGGAATGCCAAGTGTAAGATTTCGCAACGCACACACGCATTCAAAGGAGATGCACAGGAGACCGGGTGACAAGACGCAGGACGTCCCTGAGGTCTTACTCGATTCGACCACTGGCGAGATTTGTGTTGAGCCATCGCCGTGTGTGCGAGCCATTGAGCATACCTACCTTGGGAGCTGACACGCTGTAAGTTCCTGAGCTGACCACCCGAGACATACGGTCTTCAGGAAGCAGCGTCTCACCCCACCAGGTAGCACCAAATGCTATCAAAAGCATGGCAAGGGTTAAAGACTTGCTCGATGCCGAGGCCAGCAGTGAGAAAGCAGAAGGAGAGAATATTGGGCAAGGGACGTACTTATGACCCTTCGACGAAGTGAAGAACGTAGGCAACCACAATCTATCGCTCTAATGACTCGATTGGGGAGTATTCACCTAAGTTAATCGGTGCATGATCCAGATCCGGTCACTCAAGTCAGTCGGGCGTCATACTTGACTCTGTACATTGACTGGGCATCTGTTTCAGCGCGGAGGCCTGGCGACGCTGTCCGGAGGATTCGACTCGTCTGCCTTGCTATGCTCAGACCTTCCGCACCCCCGGGGTATGCCCTGCGCTACAGGTGTCTCTCGTTCGGCAACAAAATAATCTGGCATGTTCAGGCACAAGGCAGCCGCGATTCTTCCATGAGAGGAATGTAGACACTGAAAATGATGGACCGCTGCATTCACGTCCGTAGAACAGAATGCCGCGGTGAGTAATGTGCCACAGGAGTGTACTCTTCTTCGCATAAAAATAGATTCTCTTCCTAGGATGCATTTTCGTGATGAAAATTGGGATGAGACTCAGAGTGTGACGAAGGTTGTTGTTTCGATACGGAAAGGAAAGGAGGAGATGAGAAGTCCTGCAGACCGATGCACGACCGTATGCTGCACTGCGTGTGTCGCGGGAGAAGGGAAGGGACAGGAGGTTCTGGGATTGGAATCGTGCCGTCGTTGCTGCATTGTATCTGCGGACTGAAGCCGAACATGGGTATCATGACCGTGTCACTTTCGGTGCGCTACCAGACAAGCGACATGAAACTTTTCGAGCAGGCAAATTTACTCTTCGGGGACTGCGACAATGTTAGCATCCTGGTCCTAGTCCTGTGTGATGTGTGGTGCTCACTATCAATCTCTCCAGCCTTGACATCATCGCTGATTGCCTTAGGACTCCGACCATCAACCTGGCAACCGACTGAGAAGCAGGTGCCGAGGATCTCAAGCACGGTTCCCTTGAGCTCGCGGGCGAGCGACTTGTTGGCTCCGCGCATAGTGCGGGCGATGTCGATGACCTCGTCCAAGGGAATGGACTTTGAGTGCTTGATGTTCTTCTCCTTCTTGCGGTCTCGGGGAGGTTCCTTGAGAGCGCGGATGACGAGTGAGGAAGCGGAGGGAACGACTGAGACGGCAGCTTGTCGGTTCTGGATGGTCAAGCGAACAGTGACGCGGAGACCTTTCTGTAGTGTGATCAGAACATGCCGTGTCTTAGAAGAGCTGTGAACGTACCCAGTCGCCAGTGGCCTTTGCGATATCTTCACCGACCTTCTTGGGCGAGAGACCTAGGGGACCGATCTTGGGAGCGAGAGTGGCAGATGCACCCACTTCACCGCCAGTGGCGCGAAGATGGCTGTTCTCGTGGTCAGCATGCTGTTCATGAGCTTTGCTGGAATCTGCTGTACTTACATGATCTTGATCTCATTGGGGTCTAACTTGGGAGCTGGACACACACAAATTAGCCTGGCTGAAGCCGCTCAAGAGGACGATACTTACGCATGGCTAGTGCGAAAGGTAGTCTGTCTCACTCGAGGTTTTTAGGATTGACGATGAGGATGGTCTCGAACGAGGAAGCAGGTTGGTGCTTTCCAAAAAAGCTCACTCGAAATTTGGAGTGGGCGTTCCTTGGCACAAGTCTTGGCAAAAGGGCTGCCATGGAAGGGAGTGTCTCAATCTCGAACCACCAACAGCCACACAATCTACACGATCGAAACCTCTCGAAGCAACAGGAATCCTGTGTCTAGTTGACGCGACGCATTGCTATGGATATGCCTGTGGAACATGGTCTGCTCATGGTCTACGATCGGCTTGACACTATCTTGATTATGGATACCTACCAAAGCCGCACTCTTGGATCTACAGTACCCTACCAGATCGCCTCTGCGCCGAGCTGAAGATGCTGCACTTTTGCTTACCCCTAACTTGACCCAGATACTGCAAGCCTTAGAAGCGTTAGTATAACGGAGTTCAGCAGAGAACGGGCCGACTTACTTCATGAGATGGTCCATAAATGTCTGTAGTGAGACATCGTCTGTGAAAATTGTCTGAGCAGTCTGCTGTACACCACCATAGCCTCCACTGTTCGCATGAGTCGTTGACGGATTCAGCTTCGACAGCAGGAAGCGAGCCTGGGACCCCCCTGCATCGCAAATGATGAATCGAGGTAGCGGGAACCGGTCTTGCACGAGCTCGCGCGCATCTTCTTTGGGCGCGTCAAGCACAGTCTTGAAGTTCTCGTATCCTTCCTGGTCTTGATAGCCGGCTTTTCGCCACTCTGCCATCGTCTCACCGTGGAAGATGAGGATTTGGAAGAAGGTGTCGAGAAGGAGAACAGTCTGAGGTTGTATCGATGCAGAGTCGAGGAGAACAGGAATGCCGCCTTCTTGATCCAGGGCATATGAGTCCAGTGTAGGTTGGATCATGATGAGAGAGTCGCCAACATATTCGTGATTCAGCACATGTCGATAGAAGGCTGTCTCATCTGGGGAATTGTTGAAGACCTGCAAGAACTGTGATCTTCGGAGGTGAAACATAAATTGAGGGTACAATGTGAAATTCTTGTCAAGCCGGAACGAAGTAGGGTCATCCTTTCTGTAGTCGGCGAACCTCGTACAGAGCCGGATGAGCATGCGATCAACCCATCTCAGCACATCCGGGCCTTCGTCAACCTCGGCCTTGAAGACGGCAATTCGTGCCATTAGCACAGCTGCTGCTTCTTGGTCGAACGACTGAGCCAAAGCCGGGTCGCCGGTCGGACCACTGAGATTGCGTGCGACTGTGGTAACTCGCAGATGGAACTGGCCAGAGGAATGCTGGTAGTATGTGAGGAACTGCATGATACCTCGCTGTGGACCCTGCGCTGCTGGCGCTGGTCCGCCTTGGCCGGCAATCTCGAAGTATACGCCGTAGCTTGAAGTGGGATTGATGCCACACATTTTCCAGGAGCTCGTACCTCCAATACCGCATTCCGTTTCGCCTACGCAGCTTGACTTCTTGTTGAGCGACACCGCGTGGCCGATGAGACCAGTAATCTTTAGCTCTTTGGTCGTGATGACTTCAAGAGACGCATTGAACCCCATCAACAGGTTGTCTTGGTCGTCCTTCTCGAAGACTCTGATGAATGATTGCTTGAATTGGGAGGAAGTGAAACTATCGGTAAGGATTATATGCCCACCGGTGCTATTCGCAAGACCCTTCATTTCAAGCAGACCAACTTGATCGAGACATCCGGCAAAGATGTCGATGATGTGACCATTGTGCGCTGTTCGCTTCGATAGATTGTCGTAGTACTTGAGCGCTTTCTTGAAGTGCTTGACGTTGTCTCGGTCAATATCATGGTGAGAGCGAATAGGCTCACGCAGCTCAGCGCCAACGACAATTCCAGGACCTTCGGTGGCAGGGCCGCCGGCAAAGAGCATGATGCGGGCACCAGCATTCTGGAAACTCGTCTCAAGTAATCCCACGGCAACGTTGACGGCAACACCTGTGCATCGTAGTGCTCTCTTGTCGTTCGCGACGGGCCAGGGATCCCTCTGCATTTGCTCAATGGCATTCGTGATCTGAAATTCGGCTTGTTGGACCGGGAGGAGGAATCGAGATGCTGCACCCATCGGAGGTGGGCGGCCTTGTTGTGGTGGCTGATTGGGTCGAAGTCCAGGTGCAGCCAGGCCTAGCATCTCTTGTATCTGCTTGGCGGCGTACTCTTTGCTGCCACGGAAGACGTATCCCTTCTGGCATTCACCGTAGCCGAGTTCGTGAACCGTGACGTTGGTTCCGAATGTGATGAGACCGACCAGGGCATTGGGTGGTAGTAGAGACAGACTCATGACCAGGGTGTCCTTGAGCGCCTGCAGAGACTCCTCCTCCTGACATGTATCAACAACGAAGAGGAAGATTGGCGGAGAGGGTGCGGGACGAGCCAGCTGGTACTCGACTGTGGTGTTCATGCTGTGCATCTCTGGGGGCACATTCTCGGAGCTGATATCGGCATAGTGGCGTGGCAGAGCATTGCGCTGCAAGCAGAAGGGACAGATCCATATCTTTGCTCGGACGTCAACGGTGGAGAAGGGATTGAGGACTGCTCGGCATGGCGGTTTGCAGACAACGGGCTCGTATGTGAGCAGCGGCTTGCCCAGCTCCTTCAAGGGCGTAATCAGGGCACTGATGGGAACGACCAGTCTGTTGGCCTCCATCTTTGAGCCGGCGATAACGTTCCACGACATCCGCACGCCATCTCGCTCCTCCACCTCGTTCCAGCTGTCTTTGAGCTGGTCATATTGACCCTGCTCCATTGTGTCGCGCGGTGAGTGGTGGTGGGGGTCGTCGAGAAGGTCAAATAACACAGCGATTCGAATTTAGTCAGTATCGCATCCTGCCGACAATGAGGCGCGGCAACTACGGAGAGGTGATATTCGCACAGCCAGCAGTGGCAATGGTTCGAGCGCCTCCTGCCTTGTGTTGTTTGTATTGAGTTGCTGCCACTGTGTCCTTGAGCTGGAATCGCAGGCGCACATTGAACCAGCGGAATGTAACCCTAACCCTTACTGGAGGGAGACCACCCCTCTGTTGAAGCCGCGAAACATTTAGGAAATACGACAATTGACACCGTGGTCACAGCACTTCCTTTCAACTCAAGCGTCTGGCGTGGCGAGAGTAAGATGTCTGAGCACTGATCGCGGACGTCTCAGTATCTCGAAGTCCGCCCGGCAGCAGACTCGAAGAGCCATTGTGCGGCCACCATGGCTTCTCCTTCGATGCTCACAAAGGTAGGTAGACGCTATTGCGTGCACTTCGGACCACCCCACTGACCCGGACGCAGTTCGAAAGTAAGTCTTCTCGAGCGAAGGGCATCGCATTCCACCCCAAGAGGCCATGGATTCTAGTCAGCTTGCACAGCAGTACCATACAACTATGGGACTACCGCATGGGCACGTTGATCGACCGCTTCGAGGAACACGATGGCCCCGTCAGAGGCATCGATTTCCACAAGACTCAGCCTATGTTCGTGTCTGGCGGCGATGACTACAAGATCAAAGTCTGGTCATTACAGTCTCGAAGATGCTTGTTCACACTGAACGGTCATTTGGACTACGTCCGCACCGTCTTCTTCCACCACGAATATCCCTGGATTCTATCCGCCTCCGACGACCAAACACTCCGCATATGGAATTGGCAGAATCGGCAACTCATTTGTACCATGACCGGCCACAATCACTATGCCATGTGCGCACAATTTCATCCTAAAGAAGACCTCATTGTCTCAGCCAGTCTAGATCAGAGTGTGAGGGTATGGGACATTTCAGGGCTCCGCAAGAAGCACTATTCTCCCTCAGCTATGAGCTTTGAAGATCAGATGGCCCGTCAGAACCAACAACAAGCCGACATGTTCGGTAACACCGATGCCGTCGTCAAGTTTGTTCTTGAAGGCCATGATCGTGGCGTCAACTGGGTGGCCTTCCATCCTACACTTCCCCTGATTGTGTCGGCCGGAGACGATCGACTTGTCAAACTATGGAGGATGAGTGAGACAAAAGCCTGGGAAGTCGACACATGCAGAGGTCACTTCCAGAATGCCTCTGCCTGTCTCTTCCATCCGCATCAAGACTTGATCCTTTCAGTCGGCGAGGACAAGACAGTACGAGTCTGGGACCTGAACAAGCGAACGTCCGTCCAGTCTTTCAAGCGGGAGAATGATAGATTCTGGGTCATCGCTGCTCACCCAGAGATCAACCTGTTTGCAGCAGGTCACGACAATGGGGTCATGGTCTTCAAGCTTGAAAGAGAGCGACCTGCCTCTTCCATTAGCCAGAATACCCTATTCTACATCACCAAGGACAAGCACGTTAAGTCATACGACTTCTCCAAAAACGTCGAATCTGGCTCCCTCCTCAACCTCCGCAAATTCGGTAGTCCGTGGGTGCCACCGCGGACTTTGTCGTACAATCCAGCCGAGCGGTCTGTTCTCGTCACCTCGCCTGCCGATAGCGGCTCATACGAACTGGTGGGGTTGTCGAAGGATGCTGCAGGTGGATCCGATCCTACGGACGTCAAAAGAGGGACAGGCAACTCGGCCGTCTTCGTCGCTCGCAACCGTTTCGCGGTCTTCAGCACTTCCTCTCTCCTCGTAGAGATCAAAGATTTGAGCAACTCGACCACGAAGTCTTTCAAGGCTCCTCACGGCACAACCGATATCAGCTTTGGCGGTACCGGCTGTCTGCTGTTGATTTCTCCCACCAACGTCGTTCTCTATGAGATTCAGCAAAAGAAGCAGCTTGCCGAATTGGCTGTGACGGGAGTCAAGTATGTCTCATGGTCAAACGACGGACTCTCCTGCGCTCTACTCAGCAAGCATAATGTCACAATTGTCAACAAGAATCTCGAGCAAATTAGCACACTTCACGAGACGATCCGGATCAAGAGCGCGACCTGGGACGATTCAGGAGTGCTGCTCTACTCTACACTCAATCACATCAAGTACACACTACCCAACGGCGATAATGGCATTGTCCGTACACTTGAGCACACCGTGTACCTCGTCAAGGTGAAAGGCCGTAATGTCTACTGCCTCGATCGCGCTGCGAAGCCAAAGGTTCTGCCTATTGACCCCACCGAGTACCGCTTCAAGCTGGCGTTGGTCAAGCGCAACTACGACGAGATGCTTCAGATCATTAAGAACTCGAGTCTTGTTGGTCAGAGCATCATCTCATACCTGCAAAAGAAGGGCTATCCCGAGATCGCTCTTCAATTCGTGCAAGATCCTCAGACTAGGTTCGAGCTAGCTATCGAATGTGGCAACCTGGAAGTCGCGACGGAGATGGCTAAGGAGCTTGATCGACCAAAGATCTGGCAACGACTTAGTTCCGAAGCGCTCATGCACGGCAATCACCAGACAGTCGAGATGACTTACCAGAAGCTGCGCAGTTTTGATAAGCTGTCTTTCTTATATTTGTGTACGGGTGACGAGGAGAAGCTACAGCGGATGGCAAAGATCGCTGAGCATCGCAACGACTTCACTGCTCGATTCCAGAATGCTTTGTACTTAGGAGATGTGGAAAGCCGCATACAGATGTTCAAAGAGATCGATCTGTACCCGCTAGCATATCTCACAGCCAAGGCCAATGGCTTGACCGAGGAATGCGAGTCAGTCCTGGAAATGAGCGGTCTCACAGAGGAGGAAATATCAGTACCATCAGTCGGTCAGGCATTGAAAACGCCAGCTCCCATAGTCCAGACACACAAGAGCAACTGGCCGGTGAAAGAAGCAGCACATTCGTCATTCGAAAGAGCGCTACTTGGCGAGTTCTCTGGCGAGCCCGTCGACGATGGTGAGGTCGACCTTCTCAACGAGGAAGCACCTGTCGTGACCGCGAAGGACGGTGGCGCTGTCGATGACGATGACGAAGGCGACGGTTGGGACATGGGAGACGAAATTCCTGTTGACACTGCTGGGACAGATTCCGATTTTGTCAACGTCGACAATCCAGATGCGCCGGCCGATGCTACTGGTCCTGGCACTTCAGAAGCAGACATGTGGGCGAGAAATTCCCCACTTGCTGCAGACCACGTTGCCGCAGGTTCATTCGACACAGCGATGCAGGCTTTGAACCGCCAAATTGGCGCAGTGAACTTTGAGCCCCTGAAACCACGCTTCCTGGAGATCTTTACTGCATCGAAGACGTATCTGCCTGCCAACGCTGGTCTCCCATCCATCGTCAACTATATACGCCGCAATGTCGACGAGACGGACAGTCGGAAATGCCTGCCTGTCATCCCGCGCGACCTCGAGTCGCTCACCACCACTGATCTGCAAGAAGGCTATACGGCTATGCGTACAAATAAGCTCGAGACTGGTGTCGTGACCTTCAAGAACATCTTACAGTCCCTCATTGTCAACGTCGTTGGCTCGGAGGCACAGGTTGCTGAGGCAAAGGATCTGATCGCCAAAGCTGTCGAGTATGCCCTGGCGATGTCTGTGGAGCTCGAGCGACGGAGACTGGCTGCCGCTGCAGGCGACTCGCCATCTGAAGACCAGTTGAAGCGCCAGCTCGAGCTGTCCGCGTACTTCACCGTTCCCAAGCTCGATGTCTCCCACCGCCAGCTCGCTCTCATGGCCGCCATGCGCCTGGCTCTCACAAACAAGCAACACAAAAGCGCTCTTTCCTTCGCCAATCGTGTCCTAGCCAATGGAGGCGCTCCCAAACTCGTCGAACAGGTAAGTTGTAACCACCCTCCAGAGCCCGCCCCAGCTAACTTTTCCTTCCAGGCCAAGAAAGTCAAGGCCCAGTCCGAACGGGCTGGCAGCACCGACAAGTTGGACATCGAGTATGACCCATTCGCCGACTTCGACGTCTGCGCCGCAAGCTACACGCCGATCTATGGTGGTACCCCATCCGTCAGCTGCCCCTTTGACGGTGCGAAGTACCACGAAAGCTATAAAGGGCAGGTTTGCCGAGTATGCGAGGTTTGCGAGGTGGGCAAAGACGGTAGTGGATTGCGGCTGTGGGTGCCGCAACGGTGAACAGTGTTTCGAGGCATGGAGGCCGCCCCGGGGGGGGTTCACGACTCATCATAGCCGGTTCATCCGACTGTTGAGGTCGGTGGCCGCACAGAAGTCCAGGCCGGATCCAAAATGGCATACGAAGGCCGCCCTGGGGCTAAAAAAGCAGAATAGAGAGATATCCATATGGTCCTGATGGTGGCCAGACGACTGAATGCGGTTTAGGTGGTTCAGCTACCCAGCCCACAGGGCCCTCCCCAGCTTGAAAATCTACGGTGAACCTTGCCTATCTACCAAGCTGTTCAGTCAAAGAATCAGCGTTTTGCTCCAGGCCCTATTTATTATGCCTACGCGCCATATTTTCTGCAGCGACCTCCCTGGTAAGCAGATCGCTGCCAGTTGATTTTGCGACTTGACGCTTAAGTGAGGCTCAAGTGATGCTCCCACCAAATTTCCCGGCTCGATCTGCAAGACAGTTCCAGCCATCAAAGCCCGCCCTGGCCTGGAACCTCGGGACTTGATGAAGAAATGGCGAAATTAAATTAATGCCCGAAACAGCCTGCCTACCGCCTGATGCTCGTGTCACGCCCAACAAAAGAGGCTCGCAGCGAAAACAGAAAGACTCGTCATCCGGTCTCACCTGTAACCCGTCTAATCCGGTTGACAGGGTTCAACAGTCGTGGAAGGTGCTGCCGGTTGAGATAGCTGCCGCTCGTGGCACCTCCGGGGACTGCCGATGAGAAGGGACGATCGATCGCTGTGCTCTTGCTGCCGTTGCCTGCTTGGCAGATACAGAGTGGGAAGGTGTGGATGTGCTTTGATGGAGTCATCCGCTCTTGCCTCGCGGGACCAGGCCTGTGTCAACCGGTCTCAGTCGAAGCCTTGGCCAAGCCGGATGACATCTAGGTGGAGGAGAGATCGGCGACGCGCAGTCGTCGTCGGTCACGTGCGGCCTCGTGATGGAGTGCAGATACCAAGGAGCGATTAATCCATCTGCGCTTCTGCTGTCCTTGCGTGCAATGGGGATGGGAGGGACACTTTCGGTATCCAAAAGTCAGCGTCAACCGGTCTTGAGTCGGACATTGAGCAAGCCGGACGACCAGGGAGTAGGTGGAAAATTCGATGGTAGTCATCCGGTCTTACCAGTCCACAAAACATTTATCTCGACTGTCCATAGCCACCCTGACACCTCCTGACTACCGCGCACAGGACACAAAGAAGCCAGCGGCTCTAATCATCGGGACGCGCTGCGTAACATGAGTGCCTGGTGACCTGATTTGCGCAGCTCAAAGAGCCCTATCGTGGAGTCTCCTCAGATCCACTGAAAGACGGAACACGAACAGGCCATATATATATTCGTGGCTCGGAACACACCTGACCGAGATGAGGCCACAGAGGCCACGCAATGGCTATCGAAAAGGTATCTCATCATGATCATATTCTGTCTGCGTGGATGTACTTCTATATGTGCTATGCAATAGCCCAACGCATACACACGCCTTCGTCATTGTGCAAAAATGCTCTCTCTTCCGTCCCTCACCCTCAGACCTCTCCAAACCTCGCACCATAGCTGCGAAAATGTTAGCCCTGAATCTGAGAGAATTCCTCTGCTCTCCAGGTCGGTCCCCTTCTACAGCCTCGATCCTCGTGAGACCACCAGATCAAGGATCCGCCACGGCCGCATCGGAATCCTCGTTCTGGACAATCACGAAGTTTGCTGAACTTGCCACTCATGTTGTCAAGCCTTGTCGCAGAATTTCTTCAGGATCATGACGCCTATTGCCCCCATGAATCTGTCGCACTCTTTGCTGACCACTGGCCTCCGTTTGTTCTGAAAGTAGTAACACTCGCCGGATGATCTTGATCACGGCATGCCTAGTGTGAGCTTCTGCTTTGCTCTGAGTCGCTGCTCTGGCAATGGAGTCGGTGAACCTTGCACGGTCGCGCGTGCGCTAGTTGTGATCCATCATCGGGAAGCCAGCCTGAGCAATGGCTCGATACGGCGTGCCATGGGAAGGTAGTTGAGACCTTCGCGTCGTGTTGACGGCGTAGCTGCTCAAGGATCCCTTCCTCTTCGATGCAGCGGACGTGTGAATAGTATGATCCATAGAATCATGTCTTCTCGGAAGACCCTGTCATCAAGCAGGTAAGACACGCGCATGCGCCGGTTCTTCACCCTCATCGATTGTCATATGATGCGTACCACCCGTCCGCGGCGTATTGTCCCCTGTTCCATCATCATCGCCACCATCTTCAGCGTCATCCTCTCCAACACCATCACCAGTCTGCATCGCATCGTCGCTATCGTTGTCGATGAGAAACTCGCTCTCCTCCGGTTTAATCTTTTGACTGCCGCCCTCTGAGCTGGGCGCCGCGTTCTGCTGCTGGCTCAAGGGAGATTTGTTGGGTTTCCGCTCGCTTGTTGGTATCGCTTGTCCTCCTATTATCTTCGGTTTAGTGTCGTTACTGCTGTTGAGATTGCCGGCTATGCTACTGTTGGCGTTCGCTTGAGTGGCACCGGTGTGGCCAGGCGAAGTGGCGGATTTGTCAGACGTGCCTGTCTTTGTGCGTGGAGAGACGCGGCCGTTCTGTAGATATGTTAGCAGGAAACACCAGAAATCCTAGGAGGGACAACACTCACCTGCTTCGCCCACCTCAACCCACAAGAATTACACAGATCCCTCTGTCCACTTGGCCCGCGCCGCCACTCCGGCGTCACCCTCGTATGGCAATTCGCACAATCCTTCTCCAGCTGTCCCAGTCCCTTCCTCCGCTTCCGCTTCTTCTTCCGCGTGACCAGACTCTGTAGCTCTTCCGCGAGCAAGCGGTTTTGCCGCTCCATTTGCCGCAGCTCAAATTGCCAGCTCGTGCTGCGGGTCGTCTTGAGCTCGTCGAAAATGTTGTCTTCGGAGGCGAGCGCCTCGTCTTGATTGCCGAGGGTCAGGCCGTTGCTGCCGGCTTGTGTGATGACGCCGGGGTCGCTGAGGCCACTTGGTGTACCGGGCGGAAGCAGCTCGTTAGAGGAAGTGGCCATTGCTTGTTGCGAAGACAGGCGCGCGGGTGTGCCGGAGCCTTCAGAAAAGCCGGTGGTGGAGGATGCGCCGTGCGATTTGTGCGATAGAAGCATCGCGCGTGTCATCTTCAGTAGACGGGTTTGCGCGAGGAGGAAGGTGGGCTTGCGGCCTCTCTTTGCATCGCCAGGGTAGATTGTGGTTTGCGCTTGGAGGACTTGGCCGCGCCTGTTCTGCAGGTCGTGCTTGAAGGTAGCTTTTTCGCCTGTCCGAGCGCTTTCGAGAGCCTTCTGGAGCTCTCGCCGTGATTCGGGTCGCATCAGGGATTGCAGGCTGACACCAACCATGTCGTCTGGGAGGCGATCAAGCATAGCTCGCGAGTTCGAGGAGATGTGCAGGAACATGCCAGATGTGGATAGCTTACTCCAGAGCTCGCTGTCACCAATGCCACCATCGTTGGAAAGCTCTTGACGATCGAGTGCGTAGACTGGCCTTTCTCTTCCAACCATAATCATGCACTTCCTGCCCTTGCCTTGTTCGGTGTGCAGACAACCATGTGCTTCAAACCACGTGTACCCCGAACGCTTTCGCCGTATTCTATACACAACGTTGACTGCTGCGCCGCCTGCGGAGTCTTTCAGTTCGCGCGTGACCGGGACAATGTCGCTAGGATGGCAGACAGATGATAGAGGCGTGCCAACGAGATCTGCCGGATCGTACTCCAAGACTGTACGACTTGATGGTGACAAGTAGAGGAAGAGACCTTTCAGTGATAACACATGCACCACGTCGTCGGTGTTTTCCAGCAAGACTTTGTCCCAAATTCTTTTGGACAGTTCTGACTCGCCGTTGCCAATCGTGCTAAGCACTTGCGAGACCTCGTCGCGAGGGATCGTTTGGCCGAGATCGGTAATACCGCTGCTCGGATCTGGGGGTGGTGGTAATGCATATGCTGGCAAAGAACTTCTGTTGTAGTTGATTGCATACGTGCCGTCGGGATTCTTGCCGGAGACCGATCCTGGCTGCTCGACCAGATCAACCTGAAATCCGACGAAGTAGCGGAACTCCTCGGTGTCCCACGTTATCGGAATCATCGTTAGTAAATTCATGAACGGTTGTCCGCCTTTTCGGTAATTAATGAGACTCAGTTGTGCTTCCGCCCTTTTGTTGATTTGGTTCTTCAAATACAGCACCGATTGGTCATCCACGTACTTCCTCTTGATGCCGGACTGTACCTTGCCGTCCGGAGCTTGCAAGAATCGACAATTTCGACCAAGAATCTCGTAGCGAGTGTAGCCTGTCAGCCTTTCGAACATGTCGGAGCAGTATACTATTGGCAGGTCGTGCTGGTCAATATCGCATACCACGAATGCGCATGATAGATCTACGGGACCGATATTGATTTCTGGTTTTCTTCGCGTCGCAACTCTCATGAGCACTCCCAGCATATCGAATCCTGTGGTTGAATAGGCGTTGGCAAATTTGGAGTAGGCAGGGTCGTTTGGTCCCTGCATCATCGGCATCTGGCTGAGTTGTCCCATGGTCATTTCCTGCATATTGGATGGGAAGGAGGTCCGGTCCATCGACATTCGTCTGGCAGGCGGCGGACCCATGGACATAGGTGACTGCATGCCTTGTGCTGTGTCTGAGCCAGATGATGCGTGGCGCATAGAGATTGGGCCGGGACCATTGGCACAGATCCGACTCTTCGCGCGCTTTTCTGCTTGAGAAAGTTGTGTGGCATCGGACCACCGGACTGAGGTGTCTTATGGCCCATAGAGTGATGAGGACTTGCATTTGATCCTCCGCCAGGATCTGGATTCGAAGGTGTCGAGTAGTTCATGTTGAAGTTGGCGGCAACGGGTGAGTCTGTGTATAATGATTGCTGCATTGCGGCACTGACGTCCATTGGCGTCGCATTGCCCGCCATTTGGTCAAAGCCCATCGACAGGTCCATACCCGTGCCCATGTACTCGTTTGGATCGCCCGTCATGTTGCCTACCATCTGGGGAGAAAATGAGTTCATGTCGTTGTAGTTCGTGTTCATCTGCGAGAACTGGGTATGAAGCGCGAGGTTTTCTTTCGAGCGCACTCTTCGCGGATCCATCTTGTGATGCGTCGACGGTATTCCGGACATGTTGGACATGCTAGATAGCTGCTGTTGGGACATCGGGGGAGGGGCAGGATTGGGGTCGAATTGGAAGTCGGCGAGATCGCTTGTGCCGAATTCCATCATTGACTGACGACGACTTCCACTCCGATCAGGCGCATTGGGTCTGTAAAGGTCTGGGTTGTATGCACTTGACCGACGCATGAGCTCCTCATGGTTATGCGACATGATCTGATCTAGCGTTTGCGCCTGGGCCATCCCGTCAAGATTGCTCATCGAAGCATCCTGCGGATAGCCGGTGGTCGGATCGATCTGACCATACGGCTGGCCGTACATATCCTGCATCCCGTCCATCGTGTCTGCAGTGACCAATGTATTATAAGTCTAGTAGATCTTGTAATCTCGAGGCGCTGGATCGACGTTGCGCGATATGCCAATGCAAAGGTGGTTCGGCTGTTGAAAGCGGTGCGCTGTGAAATCAAGCGAACCGAAAGGCTGCATTGTCGAAAGCTGTCGCAGAGCTTCTGACGCAGTGAAGGGCGACAAAATGCTCACCTCGACACGAACGCGTGATTGATATCGCGCGAATACGTATTGTAGAAGGAAAGGCGTAGAGCGCGAGCTGAACGATAAGGTGAAATCAGTAGAGCAAAATGCAGCCGCACCCGACAACGTATGACATGGGAGATGCAGATGGCAGATGTGGCAGATGGGGGAGGCGAGGGAACGAGATGGGCCTGCCCGCTGTGGCGATTATTGGCAGTATGGGACGGCAGGACGGGTGCTGCACTGCAGGTCTTCCCCTTGGAGCGCGCTCGACGCTCACATTGGTGAAATGAAGCCTAAACTCAGTTAACCTTAGGCACATCTTCCACGCTCGTAGCAAGCCGGCCCATGGATGGCCCGCTTAGAGCACCATGGCACCGGGCACTTCTGATGGCGAGCTCGAGCGCGTATAATTCGTCACTGCCATGATTGTAAGACGTAGGCGGCGGTCAATAGCCTCCACTGGGAAGCCACTGGGAAGGGAGCGCCACAAGCTTAGCACTGTCAGTACCCGAGGGACACCCTAGCTCGCCGAAATCCGATAACAATGCAGGTCGCCGAGAGACCCCTTACTCAGGGCTCTATTGGTGAAGTTGAGAATCCCATGGTTCAAATCATGGGCGGCAGTAGCGCAATCTCCAGGGCCCCAAAATTCCACTCTTCTCCTGCCGGAATGCCCTTGTCTCGGGCTGACACAGATTCATCGAAACCGTTGTCATCTGATATCATCATGCAATACGCCTCTTCCGGAGCGATGACTAGGATGCGGCGAACATCACCAAAGTCATCTTCTGAGGAAGCGACGTTGCGACATGCAAGAGAGATAGAATGAAAGAAATGGCATTGTCTTGAATTGTAGGAAGGTAAGTGGTGCGGTGGGGCGGCCTGCTTTTGTGGACAGATAGACTTTGGCCAATTTTGGAAAGCTGAAGAAGTCTCGTAGACGATGGCAATCGCAAAGTACTTCAAGTCGCTGATCATATCCAGTCAGGATTGCGACATCGAGGGACGTGCTATGAGTGCGGTGGACAGGCAGCGGCAGCATCCAGCACTCCGACCCCATGATGTTCACTGCGAAGTGATCAAGGTGGGGAAGATCGTCGCAACGAGTGCTTTCATTTCATTTTACTACAGATACGTGCGACCTCGTCGCTGCAGCGTTAAGCGCCGCCGTTAGAAGCACGAATAGAGCTGATGGGTGCTGTGCTTATACATGCAGCGGAACTTGCTGCACCTGCTGCTGCTCCATGGGCGCAGAAGTCGCAGGTACAGGCTCAGCTTTCGGCAGAGCAGGCTTGTCCTCAGCAGCCGCAGGCTTAGTAACCCGAGGTCGTCGATTGATCTTACCACCACGCGAGCCTGGGCCGGTTTTTGGCCGTTCGGAATCAGCATTCGAGGTAGCGTTTGCATCACGCGCTGCCGCACCGGCAGTAGCACGAGCACCTCGACCACCACGCGAGCCTGGGCCACCACCTCTTCCACGTCCACGACCGCCGCGTGGGTTCTTGACGGTGCCATCGGCTCTGAAATGGTGTCAGCATGCTGTAGCAATGGCAAAAATGTGGAAGGGACATACCTCTCGATGGTGGCCTTCTCGCCGTCGGGCACCAGCGGTCCGCAGTAGACGAAGAAGCCCTCTTTGCTTGTTGCAGCTTGCGCCTCCCAGACTTGCTCACTGTCATCCACAAAGTCATCATCTAGATCGTATTCTTCCACCTTCTTTCGTCGTGTCACCTTCTTCTTTGGCTCAGCATCGGTGCCGCTTGCACCTTCTGCCAGGCCATTTGTCCCACCCATGGCGACGTCACCATCATTGTCCGTGTCCCGGTCGATGTCGACACTTGCGGCGTCGTCATCGCCACTTTCTCCGGCAGAGTTAGCCTTGCTGCCTGAGGCCGATCTCTCAAGTGCGGCGCCTGCCGCTGCAACTCGCTCCAGTCGAGCCTTCTGAGCGGCTTGTCGGGGATAGAGCGCTGCGAAGCCATACTTCTCCTCTGCGGTGCGAGCAAAATTGATGATCTGATTCTTGGGATTCTTCAAGTCGACGCGTAATACAATGTTCGGCCCAGTCGTAGCTGTATCATTCTTGTCAAATAGACTCAGCGGATCTCCTCCACCGAAAACAGTGGCTGACAGTAGTCCATTGCCTGCCGGCAACGGTGGAGGTTTCTCTTTTGCTCGAGCGGGCTTCGGAGATGCAGCGCGTGTAGGTGGCTTAGGAGGCTCCTTACTGACAGACGCTTTTCTCGACGTTGATGCCTCGTTGGCCCCGTCAACCTCCATCACTGCGTTCAAATTCTGCACTGCAGGTACTTTTTCGCGTGGCTCAGCGTGGACGGGTTGTGGTTCTGACGGCGTTGAGAAGAGTCGCAATGGTGACGGAGCGGTAGTCAGCGGCACCGTAGGCTCGATCAGGCTCGATATTGGAGATGCGCCAGAACGTGATACTGGTCGAGGAGGAGTGTGTGTAATTTGTGGGGTCGGTGTAGGCTGCACGGATTCCTGGACCGTGATAGAGCCTCGGATAGGGTCATACATTGAAGTGGTACGCGATTGTGGTTGAGGCACGGGTGGTTGGTAGTGCATCTGAGGTGAATGATGTGAAAGACCGTTTTGGGAAGTCTTGGCGGCTTCACTCGGGTGGGGAGGTTGGCCGGGGCCTGCATGTTGTGATGAAAATGTGTAGGGCTCGACCAATCGGGAGGCCTGTAGGCCTACAGAGGGCGGCACCTCTTGTATTGTACTCCGATCGTCAGTATGCTCAGTTTTGGGCTTCTTTCGAGAACTAGGAGCTGATCCGTTAGAGGCTCGTGGCTTTCGAGCAGGTTTGGCAGTGTCTGAGTCGGTCTTTGGTTTGGTGACTTTTGGCTTGCGTGGCTTCTTCGCCGGCCCAGGGTCTTGGCGGGCCCCCGAGGTTTGGAAGGTGCTCATGTAGGGATTTTGTACAGAATTGTTAGCGTTGCCGTTGTTCATGATGTTGCTCAGGCTGGCTGGAGGGGGTTCGGTGTCGCTGCCAGGCACGCTGGAGAGGTCGATCGACGAACTACGTTCAGCGGCCTCCATTTTGACCCTTAGCACGACTCTCACGTGTAACCTTCGACCTGCATCGGCTGAGGATGAAATGAGTCGACGTCGACGGCAACAAGTCGATGTTATGGATTGCAGCGACAGGTGTCCGACGATGAATGCGATGTAGGAGTATGGTAGGTATGGTGTATTGTAATTGGCGAATATGAGGTTCGGGTTGTCGAATATGAGGTATGGTAGTTTCATACACCAGTCCTAACAACACCACAATGAAAAACACAGATTGTGAATAATGCAACAAGTGGTGATACTAGCAGCCTATTTTGGCCGGAATCGAAGGGCTGGTGCTCAAACGAGATTGATGCAACATCAGAAGACTGGTTGGAGATGACGTGCAACCAGCAATTGATGAAGAACGTTGAAATATTGACAATCGAGCAAGAAGAAAGAGAAGAGTGAAGAGAAGAGTATGAAGGCGGCAAAGGATATTAAGTCGAAAGCTCGGGCGACGCAAGTGCCATTGATTTGCAAAGAAGAAGGGCAAGGAGACAGGCAAGGAACAAGAGGATAGAAGAGATTATTCGCAGCTTCAGCGACACACCAAGCCAGGCAGTTGCGTAGAAAAGACACGCAGCCAGCGGCGAAACCGAGCCACAAGTTGAAAGATCGGACCAGCACCTGGGCAGCAAAATTCCAGCCAGGGAGGGGGCGGCCAGAGCACAGAAACCGCAATACCGAACTCGTACCGCGCGGGTTAAGCAAAAGCATCACGATCATGCACATAGCGTCGGAGAAAGAAAGCCAGCAGCCAGAGCCTCAGGCCTTTGCACTGCTGGAAAATGGATGTTGCACAGGAGGACATATCGAAAAGATCGCACTAGGGATAACAGCACCTGCAGCATCGAGCTCCACTGTCACCGGTTTGGCTTAGCTTCTCTTATGCTTATTCTGCGTGGCGGAACTTCTGGAACTTCTCCAGAATTTCGACATGCCGACGGAAGGGGTTCAACACAGAAGAGCACAGCACGCGAGCCTCTCTGGTGATGAGCTTCCACGATTGCAGCGACACTCAGACGAGTCAAGTCTATGTATGTGTTGGCGAGCCAAAGGGTGGACGGCGGCAAACGGGAGGATCTGGGTCCATTGGCTATGACCGTTTTCGTGCCAAGACAATCGCCTTCGGTGAGATGGGCGGTCATCATGGCAAGATCGGGAGAAATTCATAGTTGATGGACATGAGTCATGGCCAGGCTCTCGATATCGCAACATGGCAATCCACGAACCTGTAGGCGCATGCTTCCTGGACGCCAGAGTAATGGCATCGTGGAACAGATCTTATTGAAGATCTGCAGCCAGGGCAGTAATATCTCCCATTGGTCGGTAAAGCTAGCGCATCCGGTCACCGAAACCTTGGCACGTGCTATGCCTGAGAATAAATTTGGCGCATGCGAGCCGCCACTTCACCCTACGGACCAAACACCTGGTCACTGATGGCACTCACAGGCCAGCGATTCGAGCTTGATCTCGACGCTGATAACTTCACGTTCAACAATGTTGATGGGAGCGGCCCGAATGATTCGTTCAGCATAAAAGACGTCCAGGAACATGAATCGTCCGAGGCTCCTGCTCCACCTGCGCCCAGGGCGACCAAGCAGGGCTTTCCAGAGCATAAGCAGCGAAAGGTTGTCTCGAGATTCAGACAGGCACAGCAGAAATCTCAAAGCCCTACGGTCGCTCAGCGGCCTCCCAGGCAGTCAGATGCTGCGCTAGCGCATGCGGTGACACGCCGGGACGGTGTGGACATCACAACGGATCAGAAGACCGAAATCGGTAAGGAGAATGACCGTCGAATCGCCACCATGTCGGAAGATGAGATCAGAGAAGCGCAGGAAGAGATAATGGCCACCTTGAGCCCTGCCCTGGTCGAGCGACTGATGAAGCGTAGGCGTGACAACACTGAAAGCGTCTCAACGTCAGAAGCCACGACGGCGTCAGCGCAAGATGCGGACAATTCCACTTCAAAACCGCAAGCACCATCTTTACATGCGGACGAGTCAGCGGGCAACAAGCCCGAGGAGGATGACACAGCTCATAAGACCGCTGCGCAAGCTCAACCCGCCTCAGATGCTTCACCAGACTCAAATGCGCTATCAGATACAGACGCCACACGACCAGCACAAGGCCTCCAACCCCAAACACAATCCACGTCCTCAGTACATTTTCCCATGCCGCCCAGGCCCGCATCCGACTACCGTCCCCTCGACCCCTCCTCCAACACCTTCCTCTCCGACCTAAAATCAACCTACTTCCCCGAACTAGCCCACACCCCCTCCCCAACATCCCTCACCTGGCTCCAGCCAGAGTCCGCCGAAGACTCCCTCAGCCACTCCCCCTACTCCCCTCTCCTGGCCTCCTACCCCGCTCCAGCATCCGCTTCTCCTTCCGCGGCGCCCTTATCGCCCCCGAATCCTCCCTCAACATCCCCACACATTTGGGCCTACACCACCACGGCGAAGCCCCTTCCTCTGCTGGGTACACCATCCCCGAACTTACGCTGCTGGCGCGCTCGACGCTGCCAAACCAGCGGTGCGTTGCGTATCAGACGGTTGGACGGATCCTCTACCGGTTGGGTAAAGAAGAGTTCGGACCGCGGGGCTCAGAGCTGTACGAGGCGTTGTGGGCGCTGATTGAGCAAGAACGAGTGCTGGAAGTAATCATGGCGGAAGCGAACCGCAAAAGTGGGCATGTGAGTGCGAAGGCATATGCGACGGAGGCGCTGTGGCTGTGGCGGAAGGGTTGTGGCGGGGAGAGAGGGTTGAGGAGGGAAGGGGAACGGGTTGCGAAATGATGGCGAACGCAGACGATGCAGGTAATCAATGTCTATGTCAAGGTTCGAGGTCATGTTTCGCAGGGCGGGATCTTGGAAAGAGCTCGCCTCATCAAGTAGCTGCAGATGCTATCGTGACATGGCAAGATGAGTTTTCGGTGCACAGCTGTGCTGGGAAGAAGGAAGAAAGAGAAGAAGCCTCGAGGGCAAGACGATCTACTTATAGCCTTCCAACGAAGTGAGGACCGAGGCGAACCGAGAGCAGTCACTAGCACTGCCTGGGTCAGGAGTAGTCACTGCTCGTTGAACGATTCAGAACTATGTGACGGACGAATTCGCCGTCGTACATTGAATGCGTTGGAGCGCAGGTGAGGCATATTTGAGGTCCCTGTGGCAGAGGGAAACTACGACACTGTTGAATTGGGGTATGAAAGATGAGCGAGTGGTCAGATACCGACCTCTCTGGCCGTGAAGAACGGAAAGTCCTTCCACACATCTTCCGAACCCTCACGCCTCAAGCCAAGTCACAAAGACAGGTATCATATCTGCCTAAGCGTCCTCCCACGTGTAGATAGACCTGCAGCACCACCATAGCCACCCATCTGAGCTGGCATCTAGTCCGGGTGCCTCGGTTGACCGTTAGGCAACGAAGGCTTAGCATGTCATCAAGGTCTGAACCCGACGGAGGGTGCACAGCCCCACGCGCTCGTCGTCCTCCTCTTCGCAATGGGGAATGCCTGGCACTTCGAAAAGCAGCGTTTGTCAACGAATCAACACGCGAGCCAGTGACCGCAGAGGGTCACAGGACAATGGCGAGCAGCGACTTCCTCGGCCAAAGCTGTCGATGGACTCAAGCATGGATACGGACCATGCCCTAGCCGGCGCCACAGAACACTTGGCTGAGGTGCCAACAGGTGTTATTGATGGTTCGTCGACAGGGCTCCATGTGGAGACGCCAACAGATCTCCCTAGCAAAGTATCAAGACACCCAGGGAGCCGTGCACGGTCGACATCACACATCAGTCTGTTAGACAGGGCTGACGTGCTAAGTACCCCTGCTTCAATGGACTGGCGCGAGCCGGTGATATCGGCCATTCAGCTTGTGCGAGAGGAGCAACGAGCGACAATTCGAGATTGCCTTGAAGGTCTTGTGCAACGACTTCGTCCAGAACAGAGCCAGCAACTGAAGAATCGACGGTCAGAAGTCGAATTCTTGCAGCGTACCTTCGAGGAGATCGTTTCCGATATTGACAATGGTCTATTCAACCATAGAGTTCGGCGAACTAGATGCGACATGATCGTGAATGCACTCACGAGTTACCGAAAAGAGCTGTGTGAGCAGCAAGACAATGGGCCAGATGCTGCGGAACTTTCCTCTCACGGCACCGCAGATTATTACTGGAGCCCAATATATCTGCGGGAAGGCGCGAGAGAGGCCGATACCGTCATCGCAGAGATGAAGAGATTCGTGACTGCTGAAGTTGCGTGCCAACCATCGGCTGTGCCCGCGCCAGGCTGAAATCGATAGCGGGTACACTCGGATAGTGAGGGCCTGAAACGATTGACCGAGATCACAGCACAGAAAAGCAACTTAGAACCGAGCACGTGGATTGCGCCTGCCATGGCCTTATAGAGCTCCTGCTGTATCTCCATCTTAACGAGTTCTGTCCTCAGAGCTCATTCACTCTGCCTCGTGCTTCAGCTTTGCCACGTAGTCGACCAGACGCTTCTTGATAACAACACCGATGAGCTTTCCAGAGTTAGGATCATCCTCCGAACCGACTCTGACCTCTTCCGTGATCATCAGATAGCGCAGGCCCAGCTGCGAGAACATCGCAACAGCATATTCCATAGGCGCCTCCGCAGTCAGCGTCAAGGGCGTTCTGTCGACGAACGGACTGAGGTCAGTGTCGACGCTGTTTGCTCCTCATCATCGTCGACGCCCAGAACACCAGCAGTGTCTGACTGCAACAGTCGGACGAATCCCTCACGCCTCTCCTCTGTGCTTTGAAGGCCACCGTCCAGTTCACCCTGTGCCAAATACCCCAGCAACGCGCCACCCTCCTCCTTGACCAACACCAAGCCCGCATCTAGCAAGCCCCTCCTCTTCAACAGACCCAGCTTCTCCCTCAGTATTTTCTCCCTTACCACACCTCGCTCGCCCACCTCAACCACAATCTCCCTCATCGTCTCTTCCGGCGGACACAACTCCCTCACCACCCTGCCTCTGCCGTTCCTTACGACCTCCATCGCCCCATCCCCTTCCAGAAACGGATGGTCCCCAATCACCTGCGCCAAATCATACACACTCTCCTCACTGATCCCATCCGCGACCCACTTCGCCACCATAATACTCACCATACTTGGAACCGTATACTCCAAACTCCCCGTCAGCTCGAACATGATCACCGCCAACGATATCGTCATGCGCGACACCCCGGCGAGAAAAGCGCCGGCACCGACCATGGCGAAGACACCTGGGGAGGAGGTGGAGGCCAGAAAAGGCAGCTGGCCGAGAAGGCGGCCCGTGAAGGCGCCGGCTCCGAGAGATGGGATTATGATGCCTGAGGGAACCTTGATGCCGAAGGTAATAGTTGTGAGGATAAGTTTGGTGAGTGTGCCGTGGAGGAGGTGGAGGAGGTAGGAGGCGGATGGGGACGAGTCGGATTCGGAGGCGCAAATGTAGGACTCCTTGCCTGGAGCAAGGGTCGTACAGTCGACAAGGAGAGCTTTGATGGTCACGTCGCCGGGTTCGCGCGTCAAAGGGTTAGGGAACTGGAGAAGTGTTGTAGCTAGGACGATGAGGCTGACTTCGAAGACAGGGCGTGTCTTGATGAGTGAGAAGGAGCGGAACCAGCGAGACCAAAGGAAGTTTAGGCGGCAGAAGAGTCCACCAAAGATACCTCCTAAGATGCCGAGAAGGATGAAGACGGGATAGTGGTAGGCTTCGTAGCTGCCAGACCATTTGGTCTCGAAGAGAACGAGTCGGCCGGTCCCTGTGGGGTCGAGCCCGCGGAGAACCATGGCGGCGCAAAGGGAGCAGATGAAGGCGCGCCACATGACTCTGCGGGGAAAATAGGTCGAGATTTCCTCGTAGGCGAACAGCACGCCACCGATCGGAGCGCCGAAAGCGACAGACAGTCCGGCTGCGCAGCCTGCGGCGTAGATTTCGCGGATCTTGCGACCGTTGTTTGCGTATTTGGGAAAACGGTCACCGACAAGGTGTGCGACGCAAACGGAGATGTGGACGAAAGGACCTTCCTTGCCGAGATTCATTCCGGTAGAGACGGCGAAAATTGAGCGACGGCTTTGACGAAGAGAACTCTCAAGGACAGGAGACCGGGTATCACGAAGCCGGAAAGAATGGTCTTGATCTCGGGGATGCCGCTGCCAGCTGCCATATACATGAACTTCTGGGTGGGCGGCTGTTGGGCCACCTTCCCGTTCGCAACATGGGAATGACCATTGGCGACAGGTTCAGCCGCTGGAAGAGCAGCTCGCGTGAGCAGAGTTAGGCTACCGCTGATGATGCCCCATAGGAGTGCGAAGGCGATGTAGATGGCATACGATGGCCAGTAGTTGTCCGTCCACGGGTGCCAATCCGGGCAAGTCTCGACCACGCCGTTGCCGAGACTCAGAAATGGCGATCGATTTGAGCAGCAGAAATCCTTGCCAGCCAGCAGACTGCTCTTGCAATAGCCGACTTTCCAGTCGCTGACGGTGATGACGGCAAGGTCAACGAAGGCAGCAATAGTCGCTGTGAGGAATCCACTGATAGCCGCAATGATCCAGCCTTGACTTGCATCCCATGCCGTATGTACTCGACCTCGGATCCCAGGTTGGCCGCGGACCTCTCGGTGCTGGTAAGAGGCTTTGACCTATTGCATATTAGCGTAGCCAGTATTTGGTCGACGTAGTACAGACAAGGTCGTGCAGCCAGTCTATCGTAGTATAGTTATTGTAAGGGAGTCGTTCTCCGACAGAGGTTTCACCAAGTGCCTGTTCCTCCTTGCTCATATGTGAACCAGAGAAGGTCGAGAGTTTGCGGCTCGTAGCAAGGAGACTAGACCGCTCATGCGGCTGCTCCTCATCCTGTGTCATATCGAGCACGATTTGGGCTGTCAGAGACAGCACAGTTGATGCTGCACCGAGCAGCTAGAAACCTCGCCATATCTAAGTCGCCTTGTTGGGTAGGCGACGATGAGGTCAGTCTCTCCGAGGAGATGCAGATCGTTTCAGAATCTGTGATAAGCAGAGCCTACGAGCGTCTCACAAGTGTTCGGCTGGCTTCGCCGGTAGCAAAATCTGGGGCAGAGATAAGGACATGCAAGGTGGCTTGTAGAGATACGCTGATAGGCAGTGAAGTCTTGGCCTGGCGCGAAAGTGAGATAAGGGCTTATACTAGACCGGATGACTGGAGTTCTCCTTTAAGACCGGATGACAGTGGACGGATCAGACCGGATGACGTACGCTAAAGATATATGCTACGCTCGCTCCCACCGGACCCGCCTCCTTCGCATCCCCACCGCATTGTCCGCATTTGTCTAAACGATCAGCCATGTTGTCAATAACCTCTGCACTGTTGCACCTGTATACGACTGACTCTGAGCGCCGGAGGAAGGCCTCTGAAGCTTGTGCCAGGAGTCAGGGAGAGTCGCCTGCCGCCTCCTCGAAACGCGTCATGACGGTGAATCACAACGCTGGCCTGCCGGCTGACGATCTTCGCATCATGAACTAATCACACGGTCATGTGGATGCCGTTTGAATTTCGGCCGAAGGTGCCATCATGGTCAATGCAGCGCTGTAGCTTCAGCTTCTCTCACAACACTTTCATTGACGACGGGAAGTCAGTAGCATCAGGCCACCACCAGAAGCTTCATTGTGCGGGCCAATCCACATTGGCCCACAGCTTACGACCTACGAATTATGTTCGGCAGTCAAGCAAGAGCGGTGACAGTCCTCGTCCGCCGACTGTCCGCCTCGATGTCTGCCGACGTGAAATATATATGATCGCTGACCCATTAATCGAAGCTCTTTTTGACTCTGCTACACCAGCTACACTAATTACAATAGAAACATCATCAGGATGAGCGCACCTACCACCAAGCCAACAGTAGTCCTGGTCCCGGGCTTCGCTAGTGTCGGCAGCGTTGTCTTCGAGCCCACCGTTATCGCGCTGAAGAGCTTGGGCTGGACCGATGACAATCTGATCACCGTCAACAACCCCACCGTGGATCCGATCGCAACCAAAGCTGATCTCAGTCCACATGGCCTGGCAGCGGACATCCGCAACCTTCGCGGAATATTGACGAAACTTATCGAAGATGAAAGCCGCGACGTGCTGCTGGTGGGCCATTCGTATGGCGGCACTCCGTCAATGTCCGCAAGCCACGATCTTTGGAAGCACGTTCGCGAGACGCAAGGCAAACAGGGCGGCGTCATTCAGATTGGCTTGATCGCCTCTTCGCTCACGCTGCCTGGTCATTCTGTAGCCGTCGATCGATCACAATGGCAGCAGGCGAACAACATGCCGCCAGACGACGGGTCAGGAGTGGAGATGATCGATGGTGTAAGTCACATGGCTGTTACGCCGCACAGCACAAATGTCCATGACTGACGATGTACCATATAGCTACCAATCCTAGCTCCAACAGGTCTCGAGAAATACTGGATGAACGACATCGAGGACGAGAAATATCTTACCTGCCTTCGACCTACTGCCCTGACCGGCGCCTTCAGCACTGTGGCGGATGACATCGATCCAAAACAATGGCGACTCAACTACCTCATCCTCACGGAGCTGGATCTCGCTATGCCCGAGGGTCTACAGCAACACCTGATCGACGGCGGAAGGAAGGCGGGCGCCAAGATAGAGACGGCCAAACTGAAGTCTGGGCATTTTGCGCAGATCAGCCATCCTGAGGAGGTTGCGAAGTGGATTGCTGGACTGCAGTAATAGATGGATGTCATCCCAGCATCGATGGTTGCGCAGCCTGGTTCGCTAATGGCCACGGTTTGAAGACATGTGCAAGGTTTGCCTTCCCGTGGTACTTCCCAAGCCAAGACCAAATACTGTCCAGCTCACCACATGTCCTTTCAAGGCAATATGCTCGTCGTCATGTTTTCGGTTTGTCGTCACCTTCTAGACATCTGTTATAATCCCCATCATCGTCAGGTCTCTTTCATTAGTTATCCCATCCCATCCCTTCAATCGATTGAATCCTGGCTCCAGGACCAGTCAGCCTTCTGCAGTGTGCTCAATATGGCCAGCAAATGTGCGTTGCTTCTGTGGCTTTTTGCACAAATAGTCACCGCATTTCAGGATACCGCCATTCCAAAACCCCTGTCCAACGCTGCGCCATCCCCGTACCGTGAAGAAGCAGCTATACCCGCTTACCCGGCACTCGCACCAGCATTTCCACATAGGTACTCGTCCGATCCATCATCTTACACTGGCGCCACCTTCGTTCCCCGGGAAGAATTGCCTCCCTCATGGCATCAAGAAGAAGAGGCCCTCTGGTCGTGTATGACCGGCAACACACCTTACAAACAGTGCAAACAGCTGCACGGCAAGGACAACGTTAGGAAGTGGGAGAATATGCGCAAGGAAGATGGAAACCCGGGGGCTTACGATGATTTTCCGAAAGCGCCGGCATATACGGATGTTGGAAATGGTCATTTGGATGGCGGTAAGCAGCAGAAAGCTAGCGCTGATGATGCCTACAACGACGCCTCAGATCCTCAAAGACCAAGTGGGTTTATTGATCGAGAGTCCGACAAGGCGAAGGCGACCCACATGAACGACGTTGTGCCAAGACAGAGAGGTGGTGGTGGAGGAATGGCGGGTGGAGGACGCGGAGCGGGTACAGGAGGTGCGGCAAGTGGAGGACGAGGGGCGGGTGCAGCAGGACCGGCGGGTGGGAGAGGAGTGGCATCTTGGGCAGGAGCGGGACTGGCTTACATGGGGTTTAGCGGAGCTGGAGAAGCACGTCCATCGGTGACATTCGGTGAGCTGGGCATGTCGTGCCTTCTAGTGCTATCAGCACTTCATATCATGTAAACTTGTTCGATGAAGACCACCCTGTTCTCGTATAGAGAACCCATTCGCGAGACAAGTCGATCTTTCTTTGCATGCAGGCAAGCGCGTTGACTGACGATATGCACGGCCTTACTTCTTGTCTGTAGCCATAGTGCATTTTGAGCGCAGATGAGGTCGGAACAAGATCGTAGATCTGTCGTCTGCTGTACGGTAATAATGCAGCCGCGAGTCAAGTAAGGTCCACAGAGTACTTTCGCGAGCGCCGCATCTACGATCATCTCCTCATGTCACGCCACCGTCGCGGCGCCGTCTATCAACAAATGGTTGATCTTATTGACGGCACGAAGAATGTGCTTCCACGGCCCAAATCATCAACGGCCGCAAGACTTTTCGGAGCAATAAAACCAACATTCCTCCCAGAGAGGCATGTCCTTGCAACACGTGGCACCACGACTCTTCAAGCATGCAGTCAAACCCTGTTGCAGATTCGGTGCAGAATGATCGTCGATTTGGACCTGCGGTTGTGCCCGTAAGGCCGGGATTGATGATGTAGAAAACAGTGTTGTAGGGGACATTTCTCGGGGCATCAGTTTCTTACATCCTTGTTTTGGAAGCCCTGGGATTGTATGTACACGGAAAAAGCCGTTAAGGGCATCGATTAAGGCTTCAATAAACAAGACTTGGGAGAACAGCTTGAGAGCGAAATGGGCAGAGAAAGCCGGAAGTTGATTAGGGATCTTAGGGGTCATGCCTGTCTCGGTGATGCTCAGCAGAACCTCCAGCTGCGTTCGAGATGCTAGGTGGAAGTTCTCTACAGACTTCGTTCTCCCAGAGCAGGCAATGTGCGAATCAAGCAGTATCGGAATTCTTAGGGAACTTTGCACTCAAAGTGACATGCATCTGCTGCATGAGATGCCGTTGAGATGAAAATATTTGCCGTCACACACGCCTAAGGCAAGAAGATCTCGTATCATTAGTATTTATGGTAATCGCCTGCTGACTACGCCCGGCTTTACTCGTGTAGCGGCTATGATATCATTGTGCATCCCGGTCGCCGCCTCCCCAGCAGGGCCACTTGGGTGCAACTCCTTACTATCCACAATTCAATCACAACCCAACACCAACTGCAAGCCTTTGACTACGACTTCTGGGCATTTGCTTGCGAGCCCGCTCTGACCCGTTGAGACGCGGCTTGATCACATCTCGTTGCCTTTGCAATACCTTTCCGTCACCCTCCAAAACACGCACACGACCCCAACGCGCCTTTGTAGCAGTGACAGCGCCTCCGAAATCAGCATAATTCATTGCCGCATGATTGTTTGCCAGGAACTGGACCAAATGTTTGCTTTCTGATGGAACGCAATATGCGCCGGGGAGGCAGACCATTTTAGTTCATGTCTAGAGCCCGCCGAAAGACGCAGGGGAGGCAGAAGCAGAGGGCGCACTCACCACCATGAGGCCGGCCAAATCACCGCGACATGCGCCGCCACCACCTAATCGAACATCCTCACACCACAAGTCTTCCGACAAAGATGGCCAGCAGAGTACGTCAGAGACGAAATCAGCGTCGAAGACACCCACTGCGGGCACGAAAGAGACCAGAGTAATAAACGACCCCATACAACCCACCAATATACGGCGGCCGACACAGTCACCGTTGATGCAGGATGGCGCCGGGCTCGAAGCCATGCGTAAGAAGATGGGCGAGGCCCTGGCACAGAAGCAGCAGCGCAAGGCGTCAAACAGCCCGGAAGTACACCAGCCACCAACTCAACCAAGAGGGAATTCCAGCGAAGACTTGTCAGGGCTCACGAACGTTGAATCTTCTTCGGATGAATCAGTCGGCACCGCTTCCGCAACAATGTCCACCGACTCAGCGAGGACCATTCGTGCTGGATTCGTAAACACTCCCGGGTCTGTCAGGACACCCTCGTACCCGTTTCCTCGCATGCAGATGAAGCTCAACCGCTTGTCGAGTCATCGGTCCGCTCCATCGCATAAGCCATTCACGCTGTTGTCACCAACCGAAGGGCCTCTGGGCAATATCCAATCGATGAGCTCTGTGTTGGACACGTCTGATCAAGGCACGCCGACTGGTCGTACATCAGCCGCTAGTCAGACTGGAATGCAGGATCCCAACTACCCCATGCCTGATCTGTACGATACAGTATTGATGCTGAACGCTGAGCCTGGTCTCGACATGTGGTGGGCTAATGTATGCGACATCCTGAGCGAGGCATACGGTGCAGATCGAGCGTCTCTCGCCTTGCCTGGCGATATCACAGATCTCGAGAACGTGCCTTGGGGTCAGAAAGCGAGCTTTAATGTGGCTGGTAGTGACGGCTCAGGTCTGTCGCAGCTTGACTCCTTGGGCACCTCCGAGGTTGATTTTAGGTCAGCAAATCGCCAGGCAGAGGGCCAGGAGTCGAGTCCGACGACCGCTACAAGGCCGCAGCTGCAAAGTCGCCACTCGATCGCTGGTGCTCTGCCCGAGTTCATCTCTCGGTCTTCCCAGAGACCAAGCGGCCCCTTGAGAGCCAACAGCTCCATGGTTGCAACCACAGAAGAGCGACCAGCGCTTAACCCACCGCGACTGACTCGCCAGATGCCTACACCACGATCACAATCGACGATGGATGTCCAATCCGCAGCTCCGACTGATCTCGCATCCACAGAAGCATTGCCGCCACGATGCTTTGTCTTCAAGTCATTACAACCCCTGGAGCAAGAGCCCGATCCCTTGCTGGTTCGGACGGGCGTATCAGCGCTCTTCGGCAAGAGTCGACCAGTAGTTCTTACTCGAACTTACAGTGAGGAGCCGATAGGTCCTGAGCCGCAGACGCCCACAATCCCAGGTCGACCGTCGACTTCAGGGACGAGGATGAAGCGGCTGTCTTCCGAGCGCGCGGATAAGCCCATTCAGGCACTCAAAACAGTGATGAGTACGAGCAGCCAGAGCCGTCTTTGTGGTCGCAATCTCCTTCACCTTCGCCAGCAGCTCAGCCTGATCCGACCGAATCGCCGTTCTTCAATCAAAGCTCCTCCGTGGATGAAGGCGCTTTCCAACAAGATCCGCCGGCTTATGACTACGGCGCTTCTGCTAATCAGAGCTTGAATGCAATTGGAGTGGAAGGAGCGAAATCATTGGTACATATTCCTCTGATACAGCCGACTTACGCACGAGGAGCTATGGCGTCGACCTTGCGCTTCCCCATTGCGATCCTGTCCTTCACGACGGCGCTCAATCCGTATCCTCTCACGCTACGCCAGTCACTGCTATATCTCCTGCCTCATCTGGCGAGTTCCTTTTCACTCGCTCAGCAGTACAGCAATTTGCAAGATCGCGCCCGTGGCGGAGTTGCTCAGCGTCATGGTGCTGCGTTCGGTCTCGGAGGCACTTTCTCTGATGAAGGGTCCGAGCTTGAGTTGGTGGCGGAGTTGAGTGGCCAGGTACAAGAGAAGGACACATTCGCGGCTGGGCTGAAAGCACAAGGTCTGTTGTCTAACGAACGAGCTCTTCTGCGAGAGAGTCCTTCTTCGTCATTGGCAGGCACTCCATACGACCACAAGGGCTTCACGCCCGGCATGCCTCCCACGCCAGGAAGGTCTGGCGCTGATATGGTCGAAGGCTATTTCTCGCTAAGCGCCAGAAAGGCGGTAAGGCCGTCACGCCTGGAGGCCGGAAGCCATCCGAAGCTCGCGGAGAGACAGGCGAAGACAAGAAAGGAGCAGCTTCGAGAAATACGTCAGGACGTGCCCCTCAGAAAGAATCGACCATTCCCATCTCACCTCGTGCGGGTAGTCAAACATCGGAAAGCGACTATGGCGATGTTTCAGGAGCACTAGATCGACTGGAGCACAGTCTCCGCAGAACATCTCAGCAACGAACTGACTCCATGACCAAAGAAGACCCAGAGAAGCCACTGCCTGAGCTGATCGCGTCGCTGATGCTCAATGCGGTGCCAGTGCAGCTTTTCCTGGCTAAGCCAAATTCTGGCGACCTCGTCTGGACGAATCGAAAGTTCGACGCTTTCAGAAGTCAAGGCGAAGGCCGAGTACGCGATCCCTGGAAGAATGTGCACTCCGAAGATCGCAGCGGTCTGACGAAATTGTGGGGAGAAGCTATGAAGACTGGCAGTCAGTTCACTCACTACATCCGCGTGAAGCGATTCAACAGTGATTCCGACTTCCGGTGGTTTGTCTTCAGAGCGAGCACGCTGCTGTCGAACAATGGCCGACTGTTGTACTGGATCGGATCGTTCTTGGACGTTCATGAACAGTATATCAAAAACCTGGAGGCCAGTGAAAAAGAGGCATCGATGGCTCGCGATGCTAAGATTAGAGCGATGGCAGACGCCATCCCTCAGACTCTCTTCGAAGCTGTCGAGGGCGAGGGCATCGTGGCTGTTAATCAGCAGTGGCATACTTACTCCGGACAGACTTTGGACGATGCACGAGGTCTTGGCTTTGCACGGCACGTTCACCGGGAGGATCTACACAAATGCGGCGTTCTGTCTCCGGTCGACTCGCTGTCACTAGCGAAGCTATCGATCGAAAGCGATTCGAGCAGTAGCTCCTCATCGAACAAGACCATATCACAAGGTACGGCGGCGAAGAAAGGCCTTTTTGCGCCAGACCAGTCTGTGCTCGCAAACATGCTGAAGCAGCAATCAGTCAGCGAGGAGAAGGACGAGGAAGGCCGCTTATCGTATCTCACAGAAGTACGGTTGCGGTCAAAGGGAGGCGAATATCGATGGTTCCTGATCAGACTGGTTCGGGTCGATCAGGCCTTGCTGTCGAGTGGTCGAGCTTCTTGGTACGGAACCTGCACTGACATCGAGACACGTAAGGTCCTAGAGCGAGAGCTGAACCAGGCCAATCAGAAAGTGCACCAGGAAATGGAATCGAAGACGAAGTTCTTCGCCAACATGTCTCATGAGATCCGCACACCGCTCAATGGTATTCTGGGAAGTATGCCATGGTTGACCGAGTCTGCGCTGGACTTGGATCAGCGACGGACGGTGGACACGATACAAAACAGCGCGAACAACCTGAGGGAGCTCGTCGATAACATCCTGGACGTTACCAAGGTTGAGGCTGGCAAGATGACGCTGCTGCCTAAGTTCTTCCATGTCCGAACTCTATGTGAAGAAGTGGTGGATACCGTGTCTTCGAGGGCTATCGAGCGTGGTCTGGAACTCAACTACTCGCTTGACGCCAATGTCCCGTACAACGTCAAAGGCGATCCGTTCCGTGTTCGACAGGTACTGCTGAACCTGCTGGGCAACTCAGTCAAATTCACAGAACAAGGCGAAGTTTTCATGAGCTGCAAGCTGCGCGATGATCCCGAAAGTGTCTCTGGCAGCGCGCCGTCTGCTCTCCTCTGCTTCGAGGTTGTTGATACTGGTAGAGGGTTCGATGTCGGCGATTTCACACGCCTATTTAAGCAGTTCGGCCAATTCGGGCATGGAAGCAACCACGACGCAGGCTCTGGTCTTGGTCTCTTCCTGTCCAAGCAGCTTGTGGAGATGCATGGCGGAGAGTTGACGGTGACGAGTCAGACAGGCGAGGGTTCTACCTTCAGCTTCTACATCAGAGTCGGACTGCCAGCGCCTGGTGAGGAGACTTCTCCTCAGTCGACCGCACGGACGCCGCGACATAGAATGAGCTCGTCCTTGAGCTCACGATCACAGTCGGCCACGACAATGCTTCTGAGCAAGCCTGCAGACGGATCTTCTTCAGTCATACAGACACCAGGCTTATCGAAATACATCGCTTCGCCACCGATCCAGTCTCCGGACGTGCTACCGTCCAGCGTCGCGTCGCCGGCAATCACAGCCACGGCATCGGCTCAGCCCTCGCTGCGGTCCGACTCAATGAGCCACGTTCTCAGCGGCTCTCCAGCTTCGTCACTCGTTCCCACACCTGACTCTCAACGCGACAAGGATGCAACGCCCCACGGCGGAAGCACCACCACCACAACCACAGATCGCCAGGCTATGTCGGAGCAAGCGCTAGCCATGCACTCCGCCCTCCGACGCACTCGCAGCGACAACGACAGCGCTGCCCTGTCTCTTGCCTCACAAGCTCATCCCGCTACATACTCCATCGTCGTCATCTGCCCAGCCGAACACGCCCGCGTCGCCATAAAGCAACACATCGAACACGTCGTGCCTCTCCAAATCCCAACAATTGTCACCACACTCGCCGACATCGGCTCCTTCTTACAGCTCTTCAACGGACCCGCCGCTCCCACCTTCAGCCACATCATCCTCGACATCCCTGCATCCTCCGACGTCATGCTCTTCATGCGCCAGCTCGCTGCCCTCGCCACAACTTCGCCTGGCATACAGATCCCGGCACTCATCATCGTTACAGACCATTATCAGAAGCGAGACATTCAAGAAGATTTCAGCCTGCTGACAGCTCCGCCCATCAACCAGAAAGCGTACTTGATCCACAAGCCGGTGAAGCCTTCGGTCTTTGCCATGATCTTCGACCCTGCGCAGCTAAGGAATCTGAGTAAGGAGTCGAGTCGGCGTGGAGAAGTGGCGCAGACGAGCCGGGACGATTTCCGGAATATGGTTGAACGAGTCAAGGATGTGGTCGGAAATAAGGGTTACCGAGTCTTACTGGTGGAGGACAGTGAGGTCAATCGAAAGGTCATCAGGAAGTACTTGACTAAAGTCGGACTTGGCGAACTTTGCGTGGAGGCCCGAGATGGCGTCGAGGCGGTGGAATTTGTACGGGGTTCTGGCATAAGTGCTGGCGACCGGAGCGGTGTCGTGGCAGCGGAACAAGCGGCTAGCTCCGGCGGCTTCGATCTCATCATCTGCGACATTCAGATGCCACGCAAGAACGGCTATGAGGCGTGCATGGAAATTCGTGCTTTGGAGCGCGGTGGATCGGCGACTCCGGCAAACGTTACTGCAACTGCCGCCGCCACTGGAACGGCCATTGCCGTTCCTGCTGCGTCAGCCTCTTCGTACCACACTAACGTCACTAATAATCTTCCAAGAAGACCGCCGATACCGATCATGGCCCTGACCGCGAACGCGATGCCCGAGGAACGCGCAGCGGCGGCCGCTGCAGGATTCACAGACTACTTAACCAAGCCGGTCGAGTATGGTGTTCTTGGGGAGATGCTGGTCAGATTGCTTGAGGGAAGGAGACGAGGGGAGTACGTGAACTACTTGGGCTGAGTCTGGTGGTTGGTACGAGAGTTAGGTGCATGATATGGGAAACTGGAACGAACGCAATGATTTGCGTTACAATGAGATGCACTTTAGCGAAGCGTGTTTGTGCTCGGGTGTGGTAATGGCTGTGGGGAAAGGAAAGAATTGGGTTCGCGGACGGTGCGATGGCGTTCGAGAGGACTGTTCCTTAGAAGCATGACCGGAAGGCATGAATGACCGGTCAATCATGATAGGAAAAAGCGCGCATTCGGGATGGCATACAACTTGGGAAGAAGTCACAAAGTCGTCAGACTCAGGAGGACTGAAGCAAGGCTTCCAGCTAAAGCGAGGCGCCTCACGTGGGCAGGAACATGGATATGGGATATGGTTAACGGCATCCCATGGTTGGGGGATTTAATCGCGCGGAGGCTAGAGCATAGCGTCAAGGCATAGCAGTCCGTATGGGATTCATTTCTACGGCTCCTCGATTGGCATGCAGCGTGCTTCGTGTTGCGTGACTTCGTTCCTACAAGCTAAGCCTGCCCCTTGCTGTTGAACGGTCGGGAGGAAGGCAAGCGATCGCTCTCACCGGTTAGAAACTTTAGCTCACCCGGCGCTGCGGTGCGGGCCGCTGCTGCTTCTTTCGTTCTCTTCTGTTGTCGTCGTCTCATTTTCGCCTACCTTTCCTACCTCTATGATTATATCTAGGACGAGCGCTGATGGGTGCTGGACAATGGCCATGGCGTAGGTGGATCGGGGTAGGAGTCGAGCTAAAGAGATGTTGGTCTCCAGAGTGATGAGGTAAGTCACATGCAGCCAAAGCAAGACCACTGGTGGACATGCTTTGTCGTCCGTCCATGGTAGTATCAGGCCCTGGCAATTTGATGAGTTGAGGTTGTGCTGCTACTTGCTTGAATACTCGCACGATGTGAGCATTGGTGCTACGGCGGGCAGGTCGTCGATATGCTTGGAAGCAGCACTCCGTTCAGGGATGTTGGCATTCCCGTCGGGTTTACTGGGTCGTCACGCGAAGAGTTGAGTACCTGAGTTGTCCTGCTCAGTCTAGAAGAAGGGTTGGAACTCGCTGAGGAGTGTAGTGCTCAAGTGTCGCTGGGGTAGCGCCATGATGGATTTTCGGTATGCTGGTACAAGATGGTCACGCAGAGATATGCTCCGGATGATGTTTGATCGTTGAAGAGTGATAGAGAGGTAGTAGAGTTGGAGTAATGCAGGAAGAAGGTTCATATACTGACGTTACTCGTTGGGAAGTGTCAGATCGGTAGTACTTGCCTACGAATCGTGTTTCACAGGCGAGGTAGGTACAGTGCGGGCTGCGGTAAGATTGTCCTAGGTGCTACGATGCAGGTCCTAGGGGGCGGATAGAGCCTAGAAGGAGCACCTATGCCTGATACTAGGCGTGTCGGAGGTAAAGAATAGGCATGATTATGGACGTACTGATAGTCCTTGAAGCTGCTAGGAGAAGCCTACAGAAAGCACCGGCTACACACCCCAGGGAGTGCCCAGATCCCGCCATTGACCACCTGGAAGTGCCTGCTCATCTGAACCCCCAGAGAAATCTCAGCATCTCAATTCCAGCACACCCACAGGTACCAAAAGAGCCTAGAGCACACCACCAGCAGTCGAAAAGTTCGCAAACGAGCCAGTAGCCAGCACAAAGACACGCTTCCTTGCTCGCCACGACCCGCACAGCCGAACGCTACCGACCCAACCATTGCAGAAACTCGGTCCAAAAGGAACCCCTCCTGCCAGAAGCAGAGCAGCGCGCCCGCGACCGTCCCCTCCTTTGCAGGGGGCTCGAACCGACCAATGGCCGCCGCTGACAGCTGCAGACACCTCCCACCTTCGCACCTCGCGCAGAGAGCACTGCACCCTGCCAGAAAGTGGCTGCTCGACCATGCAGGGAACGGGTCCGGCTTGCAGGAATGGCGCCTCTGCGCGTCAACTCTTCGACCCAGCGATTCGGCAACGGACTCCACCGCTGCGCCGTCGATCGCGAGTGACAGGAAAACCGTCGGCCGCAAAAGCAGCAAGTCGATGCCCCACTTTCCGGGGGTGGAGCGGAAACTTAGCTTGCACCCCTTGCATCGTGAAACTGCCACGTCGACAGTGCGAGATTCGTGCCAAGACTTTGTTTGCCTTGTTTTCCCGCGCGAATGGGAGACGGCGAGGCAAAGTGAGATGCTGTGATTTGCTGAAGATCGACGTCGGGCTTTGATTTGCTGTCTGGTTGCCTTGGAAGACAGAATGAGATGCCTGTTGTTGATGAGGGAGGCTTGCTGTGCAAAGTCGAGAAAATTGGTTTTCGTACACAAATTGGAGAATGGTAATGACTGAAAATGCTAGAAATGCCGCCTGCTAAATCGGAAAGTCGTGAAGGAGATTCGTAGAGTCGTAAGTCGTAAGTTGGTCATTAAGTATGGCGAGATCTGCGATCTTTCGCTTTGGCGTAGGCCTCCGGGTACTGCTTCTCGCTGCGAGATTTCATCGAACTGCGAATTCTGTCAGAAATGATCCTCGAACTCATCACTGGGCACTTACTCGACTCCCTTTCGGCAATAATCGAGGTCGCGCCGAATTTCTTTCGCGTCCTCAACGCCCTCGTCAAATTTGACGCGGGCCGACTTCAAGCGTGCTCGCGCACGGTCTTGCAACTCCCTCAGCTGCCTTTCCTTGTCGTTCAATTTTCCAGAACTTTTTCATTGTCAGCAGAGGGAATCGGTGCGAACTCGACAGAACTCACTCTTGCGTCTGACGAGCGAGCGCGCGATCCATTTTGATCGGATCAAACGCCTTGTTCATGCGATCGCTCAGCATGTCATCGATGTCGCGAGGATCATGTCTGTAGCCGGAATCGTAGTCTGGAGACGAGTAGTCCGACGACGCATATGATGAGCGTGAGCGAGCCGAATACGATCCCGCTGAATGCCGGGAAGATCCCGTAGAAGAATAGTCGGAATACTCTGGTGGCGAGATGGCAACTCGCGATACTGGATGCGAGTACGCCGGTGACTTTGATGGCAGGCTGATTGGCAAGGTCTTCGTATTGACAGTATGCCGATTGCTCTGATGACGAGAGTATGTGGCGGCCATGATGTAGACTTTGGTAAGAACTATTCAGTGTGAGGTGATATATGGTCAAGATATTGCTTGGCAGTAGTGCTGTTTTGTAGGATAGTGATGAGAAGGAAGGAAGAAGCAAATCATCGAGGACTGGCACCAGTTCACAAATTTATAGGCGTGAGCGGGACGGAGTGTGGGTCGGCTCGAAGGTAGGCAGATGATCGAGGAGGACCTCATAGCAGCAACATGCCAACGCATCACCCTCCAGGGCAGTAGACTGAGCCAATGCCAGACCATGCGAATGTCTCATCACCACCTTTTGCGGACTGTCCGCGCATCTGTCTCCGCCCAGGAGGGAATATGGTCCAATCCTAGCGAAGGGTATGGGGTCGGCAGGAGATGAGGGGAGCAGGAAAAACAAGCCATCAGGCCATGTCAGCTCAATCGGCCGGGATTTCGAGCCAGTGGTGACGAAGCAGACGAAGGAGGGCCGGACGCGGACCAGGATGAGGGGGTGAGAAGCAAAAGATTAGAAGTGAGCAGAGTTTAGGATAGGGTGACGGCAGCAAGCGAGCCGATGAGCGGACGGGAAGCAACGGTCCTGAAGACAATCCGAGGGCATTGTGGACGAGACTAGTCTCGGGATTGGACAGCGGAAAGAGGAGCTGCGAAGCCAGAGTCGCATCAGTCTGCCGTTCTAGACGCTCAGCGCTGCGAACGAGGCGGTCTGGTGGGAGAAGAAATGTGAAGAGACACGCCGAGTGGTCGATTAGGGTGCTGGCGGGCACGGTTTAGCTCCCGCAATTCCACCACACCATCTGCGACTGGCAGATTTCAGGAAGCTGATGAAGCCGATGACGCGCAAAAAGCAGCGATGAACAAGGATTCTTTGGGATAAGCGCAGATTGGCGCATTGAGGATCTTTTTCGCGAGCAAAACCAGAAGGCCCTTGCTCGTGGTGAGCTGGCAGGCTCGATGCGAAGACGTTGGAAACAAAGAAGGCAACTCGCTGCACTTTCCCTCTGCCCCTCCAAAAGCCAAGGCCGTAATTTTGGTAATCTAACGCTGTATTTACCGCGCTTTCTAGATACCTAGGTATGCTCGGCCGGGATGGTTGGGGCACTGCCGGGACCCAGTGTATTGACCTCGAAACAGTGCTCCAGGGCTAGAAGTGCTTTCGTCCTGCTACAGGGAGGGCGCTATACTGTTGCGACTGTCCAGAGAGGCGCTTAGATGGGACGGAAGGCTTTACGCACCGATCGTACCAAGTCGAAGCCTGCTCCAGCTGTCATTTCCCCGTTAGGGAGAACTCTGTACTATTGAACTTACCCCAGAGACTTCCGAGAAGCAAGCTTCGGTTGACGAACATGACATCTCGTCGTGACGCTCAGATCAACTGGTCTCGATGCTCAGATCAGCTACTGGTGACGTCCAGGCCATTGTATGTTGGAGTTCCTGTCATGGCTACTGTGAGGAACAGTTCATCTCTATCAGCCTCAAAGGCGCGTTACTTCTGTCTCTAAAACTACCACCCCTAAATCTACATTTGTACCCCCAGGGAGGACTCTGCGGCGACGAATTCCTCTACCTCTGCGAGATCGCCCTTCCCATCACTCCCGCAAACCGACTGGCCTTATCCGCGTCCTGCTTCGCCGTTTCTATGGCCAGGAGGACTCTCTTGATTCCAACTCCAACGTCTCTCGCTCCCGTTATCTCCTGGATTTCGCGTATTGCGCTTTCGATTTCCGCTCCAGAGAACACGCGACTTTCCCTCATGACGTACTCCAGTTCCTGGTACGACGCGACAGTCGGTACAGCGATCTCTGCACTAAAGTCCTGCCATATGCCCAGCTGCTGCATGATGCTGCGGTCCGACGTTGTGGCCAGGATGAGGAGCTGACGGCCTTGGGGTGGCTGTTTGCGCAGCAACGTGACGAGGGTCTGGAAGATTGGATTCGAGAAACGCGGCCCAATAGGCACCCATTCCAGTATAATCTCCAGGGAGTCCACCACGATGGCAGATAACGTAGATTTGTATGCGTCTGTGAAGACCTTTGTGAGCTGCGCAACCTTCTGTCCCTCTGACATGCCGACCATGTCTTCAGGAGAGATGAGTTTGACGAATGGGTAGCCAGAATCAATAGCGATTTTTGCCGCCAGGGCGGTCTTCCCAGATTTGGGAGCACCGTGGAGACAGACGGAGAAGACAGGTGTCGAGCCCACATTACGGACTTGCGAAACGAACAGGGAGCCCTCCTGGAGGATATCCTGAATGTATGGCGAATAGTGAAGAATACCACCCCGGAGACAATTTCCGAGCTCTTCTTCTGATACACCGAAAGCGGGCTTTACTTCTTCCAAAGCATGCTCAAAGTCCGCCCTGTTGACTTTCATGTTGGTAACGTCGTCTGAAACGCCGGCCATGGTGCCAACCTTGACGTGGCGGTTAAAAGCGAAAGAGGTAGCGGATTTGACGAGACCACCTATCTCTGCACCGGAGAAGTTCTTGGTCTGCTTCGCAAGCTCTGCAAGGTCAACATCCGAGTCCATGACGCCGTTAGTGCGCATCTTTGTTGTATGGATGTTGAGGATCTGTTGGCGGCCATGCTCGTCAGGTAGCGATATTTCCATATGGACCTCGAGACGGCCAGGACGGAGCAGGGCGTCGTCGATCATGTCCTTTCGGTTGGTCATACCGATCAGGAGGATATTGTTGAGCTGGTCGACGCCATCAAGCTTAGACAGAAGCTGATTGACGACGCTGTCGCCTACACCAGTACCGCCTCCTGCTCCGCTTCCACGCTGCTTACATACCGCGTCCAGCTCGTCGAAAATGATGATGTGCAGACCAGATTCGTCTCCTTTCTCCTTATACTCCTTCTCTGCGTCTGCGAAGAGCTTGCGGATGTTCTCTTCTGACTGGCCGACGTACTTGTTGAGGACTTCGGGGCCGTTGATGACCTTGGGCTCTCTTGCGTTTAGCATTTTACCGATTTGACGTGCTATGAGCGTTTTGCCAGTACCTGGAGGGCCAAAAAGCAGCATACCCTTGACGTGCTGGATGCCCAGCTTCTCAACGAGTCCAGGCGGGAAGATGCGAGAGGCGAATGCTCTTCGGAAGATGGTGCTGAACTCTGCATCCAGGCCACCGATGCCCATATCTTCGAACTTGAAGTCAGGAGCAATGATAGCATTCGCCGCCGGCCGCCGCGAGGAGGCCTTTATATTGATTGGCGTCCGAGCATCCTTGAAGAAGTTCATTTGGGTATGTGGTGTCAATATGCCGCGTGCACGAGGATCTGAGGCGGGCGGACTCCCTGATGCCTTCTCGTTCAAATCCATAAGTTCGACCGTCTTGACTGTAATGTTGAGCGGGACACTCCGTAGGTCCATCAGGAACCGCTGTCCAGGTGCGAAGACCTGATTCTGGAAGACCTTGGACACCTCTTTCGCCAGGTCATCTTGGTCGTATGGTGTTTGTGGTGTCTTGCTCTTGGCCGCGAAGCCCACCTCTAAGTCCATCGAGCCCAGATATGCCTGTCCGCCCTGACTGAATGGGTCGTAGATCTCGACTTGTAGTTGATCCGTAAGCGCAATGCCCATCCATGATCGCTGTGGTTCTGATAGACCTATCGTGCCTGGTTGGAACTGGTCTATTGGCTTCGCAGACACCACAAACATGCCGTTGACCATGAGTAGGAGGTCGGAGCCATCGCGGGAGGGCTGGAACTCTTGTGTTGACACTGCGACGCTGGAGACTGTCAGATTACGCCAGGGAGGGCTCTGGATCACACTTACAGATTTCGAAATGTGAATGAATTATCCGGACTCTTGACCGGTGAAAGCGACCAGCGGCCTCCTGGAGGGCCATTTTGACGGCTACTGCGCATAGGCTGTTGCGGTTGTTGCGGATATTGCTGCTGCGGTCTGGGCGGCAATCCGCCTGTGGGAGGCCTCTGGTTGTATGAGGGTGGCGCTCTTGGGGGCGTGTCACGGCCCCTGCCGCCGAATAAGTCTCGTTCGTACGACATTCTTACGGGGAGGACGCTGTGGTATGACTGTTGATTGAGGAGGGCGCTCCGGGTATGAAAGGTGGGAAGCGCAAATATGTGACAAATCCCCCGGAAACACTGCTGAGGAGGACTCTGGGTTACTGTGTCTTCTAAGCAGGCTGCGACGTTTGGTGAGCAGGCTGATGCATTCCCGATCTCGAAGTGAAGTAAGTGCTAGTCGGTTCTTTGTTGCCGCCTGCGCGCACGTTTCCGCTGGGGGGACTTTGCGGGGTGGCTTGTGGGGGCCACACGATTTCATGTCCTTTGATCTGCCTGAGGTCGACCGCGAACTTTCCAGCACCTATCGACAGGATGCCTTTGTAAGTCATCACTACGAGCTGGTCTGTAATCTGTAGCTAATGTTTTCAGGCATCTACTCGGAAAGAAGTCGTGGAATGTCTACAACCCTGATGCTATCGCACGTGTCCGAAGAGACGAAGATAGAGCAAGAGCAGTGCAGAAGGAGGATGAACGCCGACAGCGGGCCTCGGAGTCAGACCGTCGGCTTGCATTGTTGAAGGGCGATGCAGCTCCTGAAGAAGAAGAAGCGCCGTCGACGAAGTCTCCTTCTGTGAGCAAGAAGCGCAAGCGGTACAACGATGACGAGATCATCTCTCGCGAGACCGCATCAGATCGAGCACAGCGGCTCAGCAACAGCGCTACTTTTGTAGAGGGAGATTCTAGCTTGGGAGATCGTAGTAATACAAGACCGGCGATGACTGACGATAGCCAGGTTGGCGTAAAGCTATCTGATGCGTACGGTTATGGCAAAGACGGTGGAAAGACATGGTACAGTACAAGCGCAGCGAACCTCGATGCGATGGCCGGGAAAGTCGCAACAGATGTATGGGGTAACGAGGATCCTCGACGGCAGCAACGTGAGAAGCAGCGTATGAACACTGACGACCCGCTGGCAGCCATGAAAAAAGGGGTCAAGCAGCTCAAACAAGCAGAGATACAACGAGCGGAATGGAAAGCGCAGCGAGAGCGGGACTTGGTCGAGGTTGAGCAGATGGCGGCAGCGAGTAAGAGGAACAGGCAATATCGTGACCTTGATGACTTAGACGGTTTCAGACTTGATGACAGTGAACAGCAGGAGGGACCTACTGACAAAGCTTCACGCACAGCTCACAGGAGCCATCGACATCACAACAGACATCATCATCGGCACGAACACGGTGACCGTGCTACGGCAGACCGAAGCGCGAAACGAGAGTCGTCTTACAGATCTCATCGTAATAGAGACCGGTAGAAAAGAAAGGTTCCGCAAACATTGAGATGAAGGCAAGCACGAGCCAGACGTAGCACCTTCCTAAGCTTCTAAGGTTGTAAGTAACCGGTGCTTCAGTGCTCCTGCCATTTGTTGCACATAGGTAGGTGCGACCGACTACGAGGACGGGAAGGAGCGCCCACGATCTCTTCATCTTCTATCCAGTTTGATCTCCGTCTACCTGCATCATCTCACCCAACATCAGAATTCATCACGCTGATCCTCACAACTTGTTCTTCGCACTGTTGGTACTGCATAAGTTACACATTTCATTACCCCTCCAATGGACTCCGACGACGGCTCCGAGCGAGGGACTCGTTCCGATGCCGAGCGTCCAGCCTCATCAAGACAGAGCTCTTCCAAGCATGTCCACACCCACGACTCCCGTCACAAGCACAGCAAGCCATGGACTGCTCGTCTCTACCGCAAGCATGATCTCAAGCACCACAACATCACCGCAGACCCTGCCGACGCAGAAGCTGCCCCTTTGCTTCGCTCAGAAGAGCCGGAAGAGACCGAGGACGAAGCTGAACAACGTCCTGGTGTAGACACCCGAGGCCATCGTCACTCCCATTCTCACGCTGCCCTCGACGAAGGCAGTCGTATCTTCCATGGAGCCCGAGATGCGTCTCGAGATTGCCTCAAGTCCCTGAAGGACGCTGCTAAAAAGGCCGGCCAAGCTGTTGCAGATGGTGCTAAAAAGGCTGCTGAGGGAGCCAAGAACGCCGCTCAAAAAGTCGCAGACGGCAACAAGAAGGCTGCTCAGGCAGTCAAGAACAACCCAAAGCGAACTATGGGTGCAATCATCGCGGCTCTTCTGGCGACTTCGATAGCTCTCGGTACTGATCTGATCATCGACCACAAGAAGTACCATCATAATCGAGGCGAACTCTGCACGACTCCGGCATGTGTACGAGCTGCCGAGTCCATTCTTTTGTACTTGGATCCAGTCGAAGTTGACCAGGACAGCGACGTGGCTGTTCGACGCACTATCGACCCCTGCACTGACTTTGACAAGTTTGCATGCGGCGGGTTTGACAAGACGCACACCATCCCTGCCGACATGGGTGATATGTCTACGTGTAAGTTCCTGTGGCAGCATTCGTTCCGATACTGACGACGGTAAGTCACTGTTCAGGCAGAGGCAAATGAGGCCGTCTTCAAGCGCATCCTTGAACAGCCCAAGGCCAAGGTTGCTGGGAAAGACATGGCACTCATGACCATGCTCAAGCAGTCTTACGATACATGCATGAACACCGAACAGGCTCAAGACGCCGGTCTGAAGCCTCTGAAAGAGCTCGTCGGTCGTATCAAGGACTTCATTGGTCCCAATGCCATTCATGGCGGACCACGACGTCTGTCCACCGTTCTCACCACTGGCAGCCCTATCAAGGGCCTCAATGATGCTATTGCCTTTCTGGCACAGATAGGCATTGACGCATTGGTAGAGCTCGACATCGTGGTACGTCACTCTAGCCATATAGAATCTTTGCTGACATCCTTCCAGGCAAGCCCAAGTGACCCCAAGAAGGACACGGTCAAGGTCTCCCCAGCTCTGGCTATCGGTCTCCCAGCTCCTGATTTCTATCGCGATGCCACGCTTGTGGTCGAATACCGGCGTGTCGCCGCGATCACGCTTGACATCTTCTACGACGTCCATCTAAATACAAGCCGGCTTCTTGGACGACACCGTAACATTCACTCCTCCGTCCTGAACCTTGCCCAAGGTGTAATCGACCTCGAAGTCAAGCTTGCACTTGCTCTCCCGTTGCCAGAGGAGCTCACTCGTCCCTCGACCAGCAAAGACGAGATACCTATCAACAGAACGGCTTCTTTGCTCCCACAGCTTGATCTTCAGAAACTCATCAAAGACATCGGTGCATCGTCGTATCAGCCAGGGAAGATTGTGGTGCCGTCCACCGAGTATCTCAAGCGCCTGTCCTTTGTGCTCACTGGCACCCCAGTTGAGGTCCTTCAGGCATTCTTGTCATGGAAGGCCATCCAGAAGTACGCGGATGGGGTTGATGATCCTCGTCTCGATGCTCTCAAGCAATTCAAGGCCAAGGTTAAGGGCGCGGCTCAAAATCTGCCCGATGGACGACCACGGCATTGTGTTCGCGAGACCAACAACATGCTTGGGTGGGCAATGTCTCGCTTCTATGTCCAACGCAAATGGAATGAGGACAAGCATGATGCATCTGCAGCTGTTGCCCGTTACGTCAAGTATGCTCTATCAGCTCTCATTGGCAACGCACCTGGATCACAGACGATGACAAGATGAATGCAGTCAAAAAGGTCTTATCTATGGATGTCGAGATTGGTTATCCTGAGGATCACCCGTCCATTCAGAATCCCGCATCTATTGAGCAATACTACAAAGGATTCAAGCTTGGCGACTCTCACTTTGGTAACAGACTCGAGGCTGCTCGCTTCAACACCATGAAGAAGTGGTCAGGACTCGCCACTGGGGATACGACTGAGTGGCATCTCTTTCCGGATGAAGCCGACTCCGACTACGACGCTGGATCTAACAAGGCCATCTTCCCTGCCGGCCTGCTTCAAGCTCCTACATTCTATGACGGATCGGTCCCACACTATCTGAGCTACGGTTCATTCGGTACGCTGGCAGGACATGAAGTTTTCGAGAGTACGTTGCAGATCAAAACAGTGGACCCAGACACCTACGAAGCATACGAGAAGAAAGCACAATGCTTCGTCAAGCAATTCAGCCGTTACACCGTCAAGGGACCAAAGAAGGAGCACAACGTTGACGGCAACCTCACTCTGTACGAAAACTTGGCCGATTCTGCCGGGCTTGACGCCGCTTTCCAGGCGTGGCTTGCAGTCGAGCTCTTCAGCCCGAGCAAAAAGCTACCAGGTTTGCAGAAGTACACCAAGGAGCAGCTGTTTTTCATCGCTTTTGGACAGGGCCTTTGCTCGAAGACATCGCCAGAGAAAGCTGCTCAGCGCATCATGACCGACAAGTTTGCTCCCAACCCAGCCCGTACCCTGGTAAGCAGCGCTTTCTCCTTTCACCCGTCAATCAACACTAACATCGATTAGGGAACATTGGCCAACTCCAAAGAATTCAAGAAGGCTTTCAATTGCCCGGTCAAAGAGCCGACTTGTGAGTTCTTGTGACGAGACTCGCCTCAGTGGTGGACGCTGCGCGCGCCTGAAGCATAATCATTTTCAACATGGAATAAGAGAACATATATACTGTCGAAGGCGAGCATGGCGCGTGTTTGGGCTGCACACCGAGTGTGCAAGTATTGATCATGAGCATGAAGTAGATCGGTCTGTATGAACATGTACAAGTAATGATCGGACGGCCCTGATCCCCTCATCGTCATGTTGCACTTGCGTACGTGAAGAATGATGTTCGATTGTGTATCCGCCTGGCTTGCGTGTCAAAAGGCGGCCTGCTTCGCCTTCAACGGCAGTTGTAATGACTAAATTAGATGCACCATGCGGCCACCTAAGCCCGCCAGGCCCGCCTTGTAGCCATCAAATGACGCAAAAGGGGAGCAGCCTACTTCAATCCTGACATCGCTCGCTCAATCTGTCCCTGAGCACTGTCCTGACTAGGTCGCTTTCAACCATTCTTGCGCAAGCACAATCATGGCGACAACCTCGACCAAGCTGCCGTCGAATGGCACAAATGGACATACGAAAAGCTCGACTTCGCAGCACGGGAATGTTGGCATTGATGAGAATGGCAAGAAGACTTTCATTCCGCTCGGTAAGTCCAGCCTGTCTCTTGATTGCTGTAGGCTAGGAGGCTCTCAGAGGCTTCTCCGCTACCGGTCCACGATAGCGTTGAGATAGAGTGATGCAGGTCATTGTCATACCGTTGCAAGTCTCCCACTAATGCCAATGCCATATCTCCTCCACCGCCTTCCCTCCTTAGCTAATTGCAGAACCCGCCACTAACCATCCCATCTCCAACCAACAGAAAATAATCCCGCCCTCCTTACTCCCCTCGCCCACCGCCTAGGTCTTCACCCTAGCCTCGCCTTCCATGACCTGTACTCCTTCACCGAGCCGGATCTCATTGCTATCGTACCACGGCCGGCATTGGCATTGCTGTTTGTGTGGCCGTGTACGTGGGGTGCTAACGAATGGCATGCGGAGGACGTGGTGCGGGAGAGAGAGGGGCTGAGCAAGGAGGCAGAGAGGTTGGGAAAGACGGAGCAGGAATTGCTGGGGGAGGTAAAGGCGGGTGTGAAGGGGGTGCCGGTGTGGTTCAGGCAGGATGTTGAGCATGGTAAGTCTTTTCCGCTTGGTGATGAAATGTTGCTGGTGAGGGCGGAGGCCTTCACGTGGGAACCGGAAAGAAGACCCGGGTGCAGGAGTTCGCAGTAATACATCCTGTCATGGAGTATAGACGGTCTCTGCCATTTCCAGTCACTACATTTACATTCGATCGTAGGCAAGCGACTCTGCACAGCAGCTAACAAGATGTCCAGCATGCGGCCTGATGGGCATCATCCACTGCGCTCTCAATGTGCCCGCCGCCCTTATGAACCAGCTCGCCCTCGATACATCCTCCGGGACCAAGCCAAACGGTGAAGGCGCCACCACAGTCGGCTCACCGATCCTCGCACCCGACTCCATCCTTTCCACCCTCCGCTCAATCTCTCTCCAACATCAGCCCACCCAGTCCCCAGCCGACGTCGACGCCCGCGCTGCCCTCATCAGCCAATCAACCGAGATCGAGAAGCTACACACAGAGGCCGCAATCTCAGATGGTGGTGGCAGCAACGTGCCGGCGTTGGGCGAGGAGCCGGGACATGCGTTCATTGCCTTTGTGCGGGATGAGGAGGGTAGCGTGTGGGAATTGGATGGTGCTAGGAGTGGGCCGAAGCTTCTGGGGAAGATCGGGTGAGTTGTTGCGCACCCTTCGGAAATGGAGCCTTCCAGACTTGCTGACGATTTTGACAGACAGGATGAAGATCTTCTCTCACCAGCTGCGTTGCAGCTGGGCCCGCTTCCGTACATCGAGCGGCAGGCTGCGAGGAAGGAGGAGATATCCATGGAGGGTGGGACGGTGGTGAATGCGGTGGAGTTCAGCTGTACTGTCCTGGCTCCGAGCGAGTGAAAGCTCAGATGAAGTCATCCGGCGTGGGTTCATGCTGATGGAGTCATCCGGTCTTGTCTACAAGCCCTTCCATCTCTGTCAGCCGATTTGACTTGAGTCTTCAAGGCAGACTACCGTGGACAGGGATGCGTCCTGGGGCTGTCATCCCGTCTATAATTACATTCAAAGCTCAGCAGATTCAACCAGGATCAGGTAACACAAACCTCGTCAACCGGTCTACTGTCAGCTTTCAGCAGACCCGTCGACTCATCAGGCACCCGCTTCGCCAGACAGTCTCTGCAACACCGCATGAGCAATCAGCCGAAAGCATTCGCACTTGCCTGTCCGTAAAATCGTGGGGCAGGCGCGTCCAGCTAACGCCCTTCGCACCTTCCTCTCCCTTTATGCACCTTTCACAACAGGAGCGACCAGTCAACAGCAACAGCGCCTGCCTGCCTGCCCGGAGGAAAGTCTGGAGCGCTGCAAGAGCGATGGACGATTGACATCCCCACCTGCCTTCCCGGACACTCTCTCTGACGCAAGAACATCAAAGCCGGTGACAGTCGCACATGCCGCTCTCTCTGGATGCTCTCTGCGGCACTGCAGGAGCGATCCGCTGTCGGCATTCACAACTACAGTTGCCTCGCTATACGCTTTCTGAGGCAGAGGCGAGCATTGATGGAGCAGCGCTTTCCTGTGAGAACTACCTAAGTGTGACTGTCACCGGCGGATGCAGGAGGGTCCATGGAGATCGTGGGAGGACGACGATTCAGGGGAGGGTTTTAGGCCCACGTCGACGGTACGAACTAGCTGCTCCGCTGGAGACGAGCGGACTGATGACCTTCAGATTGCCAGCAGGAGGACGCTGTATGTTCGACTTGCCGTGGGGCTAGTGTATTGCAAGCAAGGCGCTTCGCACGATCAAGCCAACTTGTCGTGACGCTCTGATCACCTGGTTGCAACGCTCATGTCATCGCACTTGAAGCTCGAGTGAAGAGTATTATGACGATCGAGTCATTCCTGTCGACCTCATGGGCACGTCACTTCTAATTCTAAGACGGCTAGTTCTGCTCGGGCTGCCAGGGGTCTACGACTTCGTATTCGCCGCCTAGATCGAACCATTGTGGGGTGTGCTTCGGATCGTTGATGTCGAATTGACCTTCTTCCATTAGGCCGTGGATGTAGCACTGTCCGACAAGCTCGTAGTCGTAGGCGTAGGTTTTATTGGTGTCTGTATGCCGAGGTCGGAGGACGAAAGGGAAATCTCCGCCATAGAGTGCCACGACGATGTCGCCGACTTGCGTGTACGGGTTGAACATGCCCATGTATCCTGCTGTCGTCACGCCGAAGATCTTGTCAATGTTGTTGTGAATGTACGCGTCTTTGAATGGTTCTATGTTGGATTGTGGCAAGGCCTTGCCGCGCAGCCATTTGCGGTGAGCGGCGTACGATGTAGCATATGGCTCTTCTGGCGCCCGCTGTGCGTCTACAGTGACGCCACAAATCAATGTCTTCCAGAGCGCGGTTTCCGGCGTTTCCTCAGGAAGACAGAACAGTGTTGATAGGGATGACGAGATGATAGAGTCGCACTGCTCGAGATACTGAATTTGTCGCGACTGAGTTTGCACCTGAACAAAGCCATCCCAATAGTGGACAGCGGCTGTACCAACTTCCAGATGGGTGTTCGCTAAATGCTTGATTGTGTCGATAACGATCCCCCGGAGCCGAAGGATGGCGGTATCCGCTGCATCTTCCATTTCGAGGGCGCTGCCTCGTCCGATGTTGTAGAAATCGGGCCGACGCAAGGGATTCCACGGGCCCTCCGGGCCTGGCTCACTGTATGCCAGGATCCCTCCGTGCCAATTGGGCACCCAACTCGGCGCAAGAAGCTTTTGCCCGTGCAGACCAGCACGGTAGAGGACCTCCAGGCTGTCCTTTTGCGCTAAGAAAAATCGTGCATATCTCAGACAAGTGCCAAGTATGGTAGCTGTCTCGTACGTGGGCTTCAAAGTCAGATCGTCTGCATCATTGGCAAGGCCCAGCAACGCGAACAGATGGTCTCGCAAGTCCGTTGTTCGCGCAGGCTGGAACATATCAGCTAGTTGCATAAGCGAAAACGTGTGACCAGTTCTGAATCGGAATCGGGACTTAAACATAGCGTGCGTCTGTAGAAGCGCCATGCACAGCTGTGCTCTCCTCCCGCTTTGGGAGTAGGATGAGTGATCAAGAACTCCTAGAGCCTTGTGGTAGCTCGTTGACATGAATGCGAGCAGGTGTTCCCATTCGGCTTCCCACCACCCGCAGTAGAATCTTGCCCTGGGCGGCAGAATACATTCCTGAATTGTCCACTTTCGTGTGAACCACGGCCGGCAGAAGAAGTCTTTCAACGGCTCCCACGTCGTCGAGTCCTCCCAGGGAGGCAGGTTGTGCCTATCTGTCCATTGTGCAGAGTCAAGCTCCTCCCAGGACTGCTCATCCCGCGCTGCTTCGTAGGTGCGCGCCATGAGATCTGAGGCGGGCCCCAATGTGGCATCTGGCTCACCAAGGTAGATCAACACCCTTTTCGTTTTGGTGTAGATTCTGTGCATAAGCATGATCTGATCTGCTCTTTCCGCTGCATTTCCCTGATCTATACATATCGCATCGACCCACAGCGTCCGAGTCTCGGTCTTTAAACGAAACCTTTTCAGCATGTGGAACGCGCTACTGGTAAGCGGCAATGCCCTGGATTTAGCATCCCCACTGCGAAGCAAGATCTTATGAGTCTTCTCTGTATTGCCTACACAGTACGATGTGGCCTCATAGTCGATCTGACGCGATGGTGTGTTTATCGCTGTGGTAGATGGCGCCCTTGGCTCGCCTCTTTGAGCTGTGTCACTGTCTTCTGAAATGACTCGCTGAGCCAGGTCATCATTGTATGACACATCGCTCTGAGGTGCTTCGTCGTTTCGTGACGCGTCTCTCCGATCTGCTTCATCGGTCCCTGACACAATACTTTGATCTGCTTCACAATCGCCCGGCTCCATCAGTCCCGGAGAAGGCGTGCCTGGGACGCCGGAATCAATGTCGGCAAAGATGAGTGAGCCCACCAGAGAATCGTCGCCTTCTCCGCGTTCGAGAATAAGAAGTCTGATCCATTTCTGAGAATCTGGTAGCGAATCCCAGACACAGCTCGTCAGCTGATCGGTGATGGTATGGGCCGTATCCATGGTGAAAGCTGAGAAGCTCGGGTGTTCTGCAGAGGTTGCCCAGATCAGTCTGATCCGTTCTGGTCAGGCGTGTATATCCATGGTGAAGTGCGCCTTCGATGTCAGCGACGCGTGCCAAACAGTAGCTGAGCAGTCTCCAGCAAGGTTTGCTCACAACCAGACGGAGTATGTCGAGGATCAGACAAGCGGTTGACTGGAGGTGCGAATACGGTCAGACTGTGACCAGAGGCTGGAGGTGAGGCTGTCCTGGATGCGCTTCTTTGAGAGCCGCATCGTTAGGCAGCACGGTTGGTGCAGAACAGCGAAATCTATGCGGCCTTCGTGACAGTTGCAGATGGTTCTCTATGCTGCATGAGCCACTCGCTTCCCAAGAAAGTCCCTTCCGCGGGACTTTTGGTGAGTCAAACACGAGGTCAAACGTCAGTGGAACTTTGGCAACCGAAAGTGGCCGAGTGGCTATGGCGCTAGGTCTACCTCTCGCGCAACAGACAGAAGTTCTAAAGAGGCAGGACACCTGCTTGTTCCAGAGATGTTGCGCTACTTCGTAACCGGTTGGCCGTAGCTTTTTCAGACAAGACTCTGAATCGGTTGACCAAGAACCACGGGGCATTAGGCACAGGATGATCATCATATTCAGCGATATACCAAAGCTACACAGCTGCACATGTTATATACTGCTTCTTAAGTCATAGCCATAAACCGTGGACTTTTGTCCCCCATCTCCGCCACCTCCTCTTCCTTCATGCCCTCAATCTTCCAATCCTCTTCTCCCCGCATTCTCCTCGTATTCTGTCTCTTCCAGAATAAATGCAGCACCACGAACAGCACCATGGCCAGGAACATGATCCCGATCATCGCCCCATAACCAGGATAGTACGTGGGTCCTGTCCCGGTCGAGAACAAGCACGGCGCCACAATACCACCGACCGTGCCGACCGCCAGCTGCACACCGCTGACGTACGCCCTCTTCCCGTAGCGAGGCATATTGGAAGTAAGCCACGCTAGCGGCGTGCCAATGGCGGAATAGCAGCCCGCTGCCACCAAGAAGCAGCCTGAGAACGACATGCCGGTGTTGTAATTCGGCACCAGAAGACAATATCCGACAATCGTCGTAGTAGCGCCACCGATCGCAAAAATCCCTCTCCGTTGGATCTTATCACTGATGCGTCCCGTGATGATATAGATGACCGCTCCCGTAACATAGACTGGGATGATGAGCACCTGCACCTCCGCCGTCGACCACGTGCCGATTGACCTGATGATTGTCGGCAAGAAGATGCTGAATGAGTACAACATAGTATTGGTGCAGAACTGCGCGACCGCAAATGCATACACCTTCCAGTCCCGCACACCCTCCATCACATCCGCCTTATGCAGTTCCTGGGCAGACTTTGTCTGGCCCATGTCTGTAGTCCTCAGCGTCCGAAGATCCTGCTTCTCCTGCTCGGTCAAGAACTTTGCGGCTTCGAGACTGTTGGGCAGGACGAATGGGATGATGAAGGCGGTGCAGATGGTGGGAAGGCCGACGATGAGTATCACCCAACGCCAGGCACGCCAGCCGGCCACATTGTCCATGAAACCTACGCCGTAGGCAACGAGTCCGCCAACGGCGCCGGAGATGGCGGCTGTGGCGAGGAAGTAGGAGGTCCGGAGGCCGATGTTGCTGCGGTTGTAGAACATGCTGAGGTACAGCTTCGGGAGTCAGTGGTTTTGTGGTAGGATGTGGTGACATGAATTCGACTCAAAATGACGCCAGGAAACATTCCTGCTTCGAACAGACCTAGTAGAAGACGGCAAGCCACAAGTCCTGCGAAGTTTCTGTACGAAAGCCGTGAACGTGGCGACCAAACCCCAGCACAAAGTTAGGCCACAGAGATAGTATGCTGGCTGGAGTCGCTTAATGATCATGTTGGATGGTGTTTCGAAGAGCTGTGAACTCTCGTTAGGCTTTGAAAGTGTCTGAGCGTGCCATCGGGACCTACACAGTAAGTGATGAAGAGCACCGATACTGCGATTTGATACTGGTCACCCACAAGCCCAAGGTCGTCCTCCATACCGTACAGGCGAGCATTACCAATTGCAGCTGTAGTTCACGTCAGTGAGTGGTGAAGAGCGCACAGAGCAAGTGTGAGACTGACCACGATCGAGAAAACTGAGGAGATACATCCACATGACCATAGGAATGATCCTGGCGTCGAGCTTGCGCATGATCTTCCGCTCGGTGACCTTGTCAACGGCATTGCCGTCCCTAGCCATTTCCATCTCTTTAGGAGGAGACTGCTCATGGTTGACGACCGGCATTTCGTCGTACGCCTGCCTTGAAGACATTTTCTTGGTGGCTGTTAAAAGCAAACGTCGTGTAAAGTCGAGTCTGTATAAAGGAAGCTTAAGAAGCTGCAGCGCGGATCTGTGGACAAAACCTCTATTCTGTACTTCCACATCCCCAGATGTGTGCTGCATTTATGACGATCATCCCAGAAGATCTATATGGCCCAAAGCCACGCGACGCCCGTGGTTCTGGGGACATGGGATGCCACTAGCGTCTCGAAAGAGCATTCATGACATGGAGAAATGGACTCCGAGACCGCTATGAGTACCCCCGGGACAAGATCTACTGTACAATCGAGAGATCGTGTCCTTCATAATAGCCTTGGCAGCGGTTGATGGTGGTGGCGGATTGCACTAAGGGCTGAATGAAGATCTGATCGACATCATTGCGAGCTTGGCGAACAGCGGGGTCCCGGTCCTGAAGAAGATTCTTCGGGTATTGGAACGGCCAGAAGCAAAGACGGGAGGCAATTGAAGTTGAGGGTTGTAAGGTCATAGATGCCCCTGTTGTGCTGTTCAGATTTTCCAGACCGGAGTGCCAGTCCAACGTGGTCAAATGACAGCGCTATCGGTCAAGCACATCTTCCTCAGATCTATGTCGACTTTGCCGAGCAGAGCGCTTGAAGTAAATTTCTCCTCCCGATGTGCCGAGGAGACGGGTCGTACTTTCATCTCTCTGCAACAGTATCGGGTACAGTCTGATTATGATGCATCGACTCGGAAGCTTGCAGATTCTCAGCAAGCATGAATCCACTGGAGGGGCTGCTGCAAAAAGGGGCGGGCGACCAAAGAGGCAAGTCTCCTGCCTAATGTGCACTTCTATCGGGCCTGGGAGATTTCAGTCAAACGCCTTAACCACTTGGCCATTTTCTCTATTCTGAAACGTCTCTCATCAAACGTCAGGACTTCCCTCCCATGTCTATCACACTATGATCGTAATCACTCGAGTACTCCATGCGTTCCTTTCACTCTGCACTACCTGAGCTTTTGCCATTCCTGGAAGTGCGGGCTGCCGATATGGTTGGCTGCTCCTCTGTCTCGGGGACTTGGCCTGAGCTGCTGCTGCAACGGCGTTGAACTCTTCACGAAAGCAAGCCAAAGCTACGAGATCGTACTTAGCTGCAATCTCGAAATCGCGACCAGGCCTGAGCCGTCGGTTCTGATGGACAGGGTCGTAAAAAATACGAGGTTTGATCAGTTCGTTATGTTGTCGTCGTATTCCCTTCCCACAGCAGCTCTTCTTGCTGTGCTGCCACTCGTTCTGCTGCTGCTTTGCCAGTCATTCATTTGCTTCCAAGGGCTTGCTGAGCTCGTCCGATCGTTTTCAGTCGTTCTTTACAGACACTCGTAAAGGACATCTAGTTTTACCAGAAGCAGCAGTGCTGCACTTCGCTTATTTTCAAAGCCAGGACAGAACAGTCAACTTCTCACCCCACAACACCTCTTGCCGACATCGCAGCATCATCACAACATGGCCGCCTCATCACAAATCCTCCGGGCTGCGCTGACCGTGTCTGTGTTGCTCTTCAACCCGGCAGCAGCCCACATCGCCTCCTTCGGCCCAGGGATGTACTGCCGCAACGGGCCAGACCCGTCATCCCCGAATCTCAACTCCAACGCTCCCGTCAACCCATTGTACAACCTGACCCGCTCCCAGTGGTGGTTTCAGCACGACCGCGGCTGTGATGCAGTCCCGCCACCAGATGGCGAGTTTCTGGAGCTTCCTGCGGGCGAGTCCTTCACTGTCGAGCTTGCCAACAATCAAGCCTTCACGACCTTGAGCTACGATGGCAAGATGGTGAGCGATTGGCCCGATGGAGCACAGCATCCGGAGGACTGGCATGGAGAGGTCGGCAGTGGCCCGGGAGGGGAAGGGTGTCTTCCTGGTGACTCTGGCGGCTACATGCATGTTCAGAATGAGACGATGGCGCAGTGAGTGTCTCCCAATCGATGGCCCGCGAGACTACCTCGAATCCTGCATCATGGCTATAATGAAAACGGACTGACACGCTTTTCTTCTGATACAGAGGCACTGCATGGGCGATTGCTTACGAGAGCGACCTAAGCAAAATCCAGATGAAGGATCTGGTAGTCTTCTCGGTGTTGAAGCAGTACGTTTCCTTCCCTATCCTCTTCCCTTGATCCGGAAGCACTATACCTTCCGCTTCAGGCAGCCGTGTGGGGCGTGTTCTAGCAATGCCGCTCAAGCTGACATCACCCGCCTGCAAAGCACGCCCTGGCACCGCCTCGCGACGTACGCCGTCCCCTCCTCCCTTCCCGCCACCTGTCCACCCGAAGGATGCACTTGTGCCTGGCTCTGGGTTCCCCGTGGCTGCGGGCAACCCAATATGTACATGCAGCCATACAAATGCCGCGTCTCCAACAACGGTCCGGCGAAGAAGCTCGCCAAAGCACAGCCACCCACTTACTGCGTAGACGACGCCAGTAAGTGCGTCAAGGGCGCGAAGCAAATGATTGTCTTCAACCAGCTGGAGGGTGACAACACGGGTTTTAATGGTGGTTGGGGTTGGAGTCCGGGGTACAATGAGCGGAATGGGTACGAATCTGGTGCGCAGGAGGACATTTTCGAGGATGCTGCACCGGAGCAACCGACGCCGACGACAAGCGTTACACTTTCGTCTTCATCCGCGATAACGACGGAGAGTCCAACTTCAGCTTCAGCGTCAGCAGCGCCGGCAGAATCTTCGTCAATAACGACTACAACACTCGCACAATTGACGCAGATCTTCGACACCAGCAGCAGCACCGCCACCACCATCGCAGAGACCAGTGTTCATTCTTACAGCACGACCGTGACAGGCAGGATCGGAAAACCGACCAAGTTCGTGTGCTATGCTCAGGAGGATTGACACCTCCGTCAAGGCAAACGATTTGGGACGCTCCTTTTACCTTCTTAGTGTGCTCCCTACGGGCGACACACCCACAGGGTGTTAAGTCCCAGGTGGTGCTGTCGGCTTCCGGGAGGTACTGTATTCGCTTACACTTCTTTTCACTTCTCACTACGGCAGTCCAGGTGGCTAGATATTTGGTTTGTAGCATCACGTCCATGTGGACCAAAAGTTTCAGGTCTAACATCTTACTGTATGAACACGTCTACTTGAACCTTTCTCGACGACCGTCTCCGCCCACGCTTCCCAGTACGCGCTTGTCAACCGGTCTGACCAACGCTTCGCACGAGACCGGATGACACGATATCCCTTCCCACTCGCGACCGCCTTCCCGATAACTCCTTCGGTCTTGCCTCCGTTTTCGGTCTCATCTCCTTCTTCGGGCCTGCCTCCTTCTTCGGGCCTGCCTCCTTCTTCGGGCCTGCCTCCTGCGGTCCTGCCTTCTTCTTACTTACCTCTGGCCCAGCCTGAGGTTTGTGAAAAAGCATACCAAAATCTGCTCCATGACGTGCCACGATCCTGCTTTTACGCTGAAAGTCACGAATCATCTGCGTGTGAAGCTCGATCTTGTGCCGTTCTGCCTGATCCATCGTGATGTTTCTGGGATTTTCTGAGGCACTGGGTCCGAGAGGGTTTTCTCGAGACCCGGGGGCCCAGTCTGCAGTCGACCATGGGTAGTGTCGCCTGTTCCTCTTGTTGCGTGACAGCCGCGCATCTTCTTTCAGAGCCTCTTCTCTGATCGCTATTAGCGCCTGATAGCCGGTGCCATTCCACTTTTGTGGCATCCGCGACAGGTAGACGTCCAGAATTCCCATGAGACAGTACGCCATGTCGTAGGGTTTCGTAGTCTGTCGGTTCATGGCCCACGATATGCGTTCATCGACCGAAAAATTCAATAATCGCTCCCCAAGGAATGCCTCCGGCGGGATATCTGTGGCTCTAGTGATTGCTTGCTGTAAAGCGGACTTATCGCCCAACCGGTCGTGCTCCGGCGAGTAGAATTCAACCTTTTGTGGTGCAATGAGCTCCTGCAGTGTCCAGCCTCGAGTGAACCATCTTGCGGCGATGAAGTCATATACGGAATACCAGCTGCGTGGACCTTCTTTGGTGACCTTGACATCTGCCAAAAGGACGTAGCATACTGCAGATCCACGGTAGTACTCAAACATGGATTTGACAGCGCTCCGGTACTCATAGTCGTCAGCTCTGTTGATACAACATGTGTCGATCCAGAAGTACTTCAGCCCGTCTTTGCGTGCCTGGTCTAGGCAGAACTTGAGCTTACTCACGCCGGGCCTCTTCATTTGAGCCATCTTCAGGTTGCCCCGACAAAGCTCTGTGAAGTCATCGAAGCTGATCTCGTCTTTTTCAGGGCCCCATGTGTGCGAGAGAATGGCGTATCGAGGAGCGTCACCAAGTTTCATGTATCCAGTGCGACGCAGTCCACCATCCTTGCGAATTTCGATGAGCCGCATCCCTCAATTGCTGCACTTTGGTCCGAACGGGCGAGACTTGCCTGCCAGAGGCGGCTTCATCGTCGCGGCCCCAGCAGTGGTCTGGTTAGGGAGCTCGAACGTGTCTGTTAACAGCTGAAGAGTGAGCAGATGTATATCAGCCAGCGGAAAGACGAAGGCCAAAGAAGCACCAGCTATCATGACCCTAGCGCTCTTGTGCCAAAGTGCTGGCTTGTGCTGCATGAGAACGTCACAATCCTGCTTCTGGAGCCAATGACAGAGGAAGACCTCGTATTCATTTCGCCGTTACCAAAGTACCTCAGTGGAACGGAAGGAGTAGGAACTTTTGACTTATGACATGCGGTTAAAGGGTCTTCCGGGGGAGGTCGATGATGCTGATAGAATGCGCGATACCTACCTTAGTAGCTGCACATGTTGATTCGTGGGGACTGCGATGAAAAAGAAAGAGGCACCTCTCCTAACCCTGTTGCACTTCCATCACTCCCGCGGCTGCAATCCCAGTCCTGCAACTCTGGCCCTTTTGTCGAGTCGAGCCCCGACGGATGTGGCAGCTCTCCTGCCAGATCCGCACTTCTATCAACCCCGCGTCACCTTTCTTCGTGCGACGTGGGACCTGCAAGCCTGAAATGCAGTCCAAAAGCCCTCGACCACTGAGCAATAGCCTTCGGGCCACCAGGTCCGAGAACAGCAGCTCACCTTCCCAGTATAGACTTCTATCGGTTGCGCAGCTCAAGAACCCGCGTTAGCGTCCAGCCAAGCCACCATCCAACAATCAGTCGTCGAAATGAAGCATCTCTCCTTCCTATTGAGAACTTCTATCGGTCGCGCGCAAGAACCCCGCATTAGCGCCCACCCCCCTGCGCAATCCAACAGCCAAATTCTGAAAGAAGCAGCTCTCCTTCCTATCAAGAACTTCTATCGGTTGCGTGACAGGTCGGCGCACTCATCCAGCGCCATCCGTTCTGTGAGAAAGAGCAGGTCTCTTGCCTGTCGCAGACTTCTATCTGTTGCGCCACTTGTGCGAGTAGCGTGACGCTAGGCCATTTCTTGACAGGATCTGTTGCCAGTGCGTGGTGGCAGCGACGGTGTGGCTCCAGAACTGGTTCAATTCTTGCGATAGTTCAATTCTTGCGATCTGAATAACGCATTTGCTTTTTTGGCTATCCAGAGCAATTGATGTACGTTTTTGGTTGGTTTGGGAAAATTGAGCGAGTGTCTCTGATAGATCATCGCATCTACACTTCTGCCCAACACATGACACACATACATGCAGATGCTCACAGGGCCAGCGCTATCCATACAGGCCAAACTCCTCCTCCCAAGCGCTTCCTCGTCGCCGAACCGAAGCACAAGAACAACGACACAACCACTCGTGTCCGCAGCCCCATAGACGCATTGCAGCACACTGAATACGTTCACATGTAGCCATACACCGCACCTTATGCTACCACCCGTCAGCCCTGGCCCAGACTCTTCAACTCCCCCCTGACACTGTCCTCGCTCTCAATCTTCCGCATCTGCGTGTCCTCCAGCTTCTCCCCGCCCGCCAGCCGCATCTTCAGATCGTCAATCGCCCGGATCTTTTTCAACAAGCCCCTAACTTTCTTCTCGGTGCTGTTAGCACCGCCTCCTGGCGTCGTTGGTGTGGGTAATGTGATGTCGATTTCTGGCGCTTCGGTTTGCGGGATTGGTGGTGGGATTAGTGTCTTTGTATCGATTGGTGCCGGGGCGGATGCTTTGGGTCGGGGTAGGCCCGGCGGATGCTGAGGTGTTGGTTGTTGGTGATTTTGGTGGTTGGTCGAGCCGTTCGGTTGTTCTCGTCGGACATCTGTGTACTGTGACTGTCGTTCGCGGTGAGGTACGCCACTACCGTTCACATTCGACTCTCCGCGATTCCTCCGCACATTACTCCTGCTGCGTTCTCGTCGCTCTTTGCCATTACCACCCTCGCGTGGCGGTTGATAGCCTTTACTGCGACTCCTCTGACCATCCTTGCTAGGACCCCACTCCCCAGCTCTATTGGGACTGTGGCTCCCGCTGCGCGATCTGCTTCGGTTGCGACTGCGTTTGTCGTCCGGTGCAAGTGCGTTGTTCGTAGGTTGCTCCTTTGCAGCTGCTGCAGCAGCTTTCTTCGCCTCGCGCTTCTTCGCGTTCTTCTTGGCCGCTTTGGACATTTCGCCGTCGGCACCTTCTCCTGTCCCAGTCAGGCTCACTCCGCCGCCAGGAGCAGCACCGGGAGGAAGCGGCTTGTGATCCTCGGCAGGCTCGGCGCCGGGCACGGTGCGACCGCGTCCCTTGCCGAAGCCGTTGACGGGGTGCGAATATGATGCAGGGTCGCCACGGACATGAGCGGCGCCGCCTTCGTCTTCGCGCTTGAATGAGAGTGGCGTGACTGAGCCACGAGCTCCTGGTGGGCGGTAGGCTCCCACTGGCTTGCTAGGAGTCTTCTTGGCACCCATGTATTGCAGCGCACTGGGTTGCGGTGCCGGAATGGGAGAGAATGGATTCGAGGCCACAGGGTGGGCGGAAGTAGGTTGTGGCCGCCAAGTAACGTGATACAGCTCACTGAACTCCTCGTTGTACATGAGCGGGCCCCCGGCGTGCCAGATGCGGACTCCGTTATCGACTCGTAGACGAGGAGAGGTGGTGGCGGTAAGAATGTGCAGCCCGTCCGGGGACCATTCGCAAACACTGGCGTTGCTCGCTTCAATAGTGCAGATCTTGTTCATGTCCTTCTCAAGGTCGTAGATATCCATCTGACCAGCCAAGTTTCCAAAGCCGGCAACCAGGATGAATCGACCATGAGGGGAGTAAAGAACAGTATTCCGGGGTCCAAGAGCAAAAGTATGGACTGCTTGCGCGCGATTGTTAAAGATGACGGTCTTGGCCGGCATGTACCCGTACACGACGGCAAAGCTGGTAGACTTGGGCGACCAAGAGACATCGTGGACCGGACCTTCTTTGTCGAGATCGATGCGGGAGTCAAAGCCGCCATTCGCGCTCAGCAGGTACAGAGTCGTCTCTCCGTAGTAGCTTTTTCCCGTCTTGTCGACCTCAGTCTGGGCCAGAACCAGGAGCGAGGTGCCGTTGTCGTTCCATTTCAGCTGTACTTTGTCACCCTTGAAGAAGTTCTTCTGCGAGACGGGCGTGGTGAACTCGGGGACGTTGTAGATGCGGACGGCAGCCGGTTGACCCTAGATGATGTCGTTAGCACAGAATTTCGGCCACTGCCTGTCATATCATCTTACCTTCCGCTCCGGAATGAAGACAGCGATCGAGTGATGCTCTCCAGGAGAGATGGCAAACTCAGTGACACCCTCTACACGCAACTTGTTCCACACCTTGCCCAAATCATGACTCTCGTAGATCTGGACCTCATTCGTGACCACCCTCGCACAGAACTTCTCGTCAAAAGTATACTGCAGATTCCAGCCCGTCTGGGATTTCTGCACGAACTTGCCGACGGTCTCTTTCTCGACGCCCTCTGAGATTGCCTTGTTGTCGATGACCAGCCATACTTTCAGGTTCTTGGTTGCATCGCCATTTTCATCTTTGGAGGGTCGCTGCCAAGTGATCACGTAGGTGCCGAGCGGGGAGAAGCCAAGTTCGTAGACGTTCTCGGCGGGGAGGGTCGAGATGACTGAGCCTGAGTCGGCGTCGATAATTGAGACCCTGGACTACTTAAGTAAGAACATGGGCAGAGATGGGTGAAACGTACTGTTCAGGCGATGCCCAGGCGAAGTATCTGCCGCAGGGTGAATAGGTGCAGCACCGCAGATTGCCCTCTGGTCTGCTAATTGTTAGCTGGTCGTCTTCTACCGGCTGCTACATGGCCTTACTTGGCGAACCCAGGCAGTCTCTCGTACGCAGGAGCAGCATTGAGGATTTCGATACTCTTAGGAGTGCGGACTGCGAGCGGTTAGCGCATTCTACTTGGACCAGGTGTCTGCGGACATACACGCAAGCTGGGTCGTGGCCATCTTGTCGGTCTCGAACGGGAGTGTTCGAACTTGTGTTCGCAAAGGTCGAGTGTCTCTCGAGAACAGTGTCCTCGAACTCTGCGTGCTCGAACTTGCGGTCAGATCAATCGAAGCGGTGGAGAATAACTTTGCGGCCTCTTGCAGGGTCGAGGAAGTCAAGAATAACTTGTCACAGCCACTTGCTGTCGTCTCAGTAACTAACCAGTCAAGGTGAGTTATTGCAGGATCTTGGAAGACTACAGGTAGACTGCCTGGGTGCGGGAGCTGAGGGTGACGAAGGGGGAGGGAAGAGTGAAGAAGTTGTTCTCCAGGAAAAAAGTCGGAGTCGTGAGTCTGGAGTACCTCAGCAGCCAGCAGCGCCAAGAGCTTACATGCCCTGAGTTCCAGGCGACACAAATAGCATCCTGATTTCAAGTGTTTCAGCTGTATGCAAGAGGCAATATGAATTCCGTGAAGCGACCATGAGGTCTTGCTCGATATTCAGTGCTATCCTCGTGGCATAGGTATCTAATGTAACATACGAGGCATTCCAAGAACGCCATGCCAACTGCATCCCCTTCATCAGCCAGCAGGGACAGCAGTATCATCACCTGCTTCCTTAGACCTGCACCCAAAACTCCAATTGCTCATCAAGGAACGAGTGTAGCGCGTTCATTCCGCCAGCTCTAATCTCGTTCGAACGGAAATCTTCCCAATGTCTGAGCACCGTCCGGGTCGTTCATGCGTGAGTCACGCCCGCTACCAGATTCATTCAGACGATTGCCCATGATACCCTCCGCCATCTCTGCGCCGACTCCACTAAAGCGATTGCTCGGTTGTGGCTGACCGACCGGCGGTCCAGGCTGCATAGTCGAGTCGACAATGTTCGCATCATACGAGATGCCATCCATCATCTTGGGATCGGTGCTGCCAGCCGCACCACTGGGCACAACACCACTCATAGGAGTGCTCTGTCCAGAAGGCGGCAGCGGAAATCCAGATCGTGGAGTAGAAGGGCTCTGCATGGCTCGCGCTCCCATTGCCCGCGCACTGGCCGTGGAGACCGGACCACTGACTGTGCTGCCAGCACCCTCGCCGAAGCCCACCAGACTGGCCTTGTCCTCGTCGCTGAACCCACCCGTGCTAGACACGCCATCGTCTTGATCTTCACTCATCTTGTCACCATCGTAGTCTACACTGCCACTAGCCCAGGTAGTCCTACCACCAACGCTGCCAGTAGCACTTGCGCTGCCTACCGTGCTGCGCTCCTTGATCTGAGGGACGTTGTCGAAGTAGCTGGGTGGGGGATGAGCGGCTGTTCCGGCATGTCCTCCGCCGCCTTGACGCGCAGTAGCGACACGTTCGAGGCCCGCTAGACGGGAGATGCGATCTGCGCGCTCGGCTTCGAGGGTGTTGGCTGAGTTGCGGGTGCTGGGACCGTGGCCGTGACCGACTGCGCCATCTTTGATCGCAATGACAGAGAGGGTGGAGAGTGACGTGGTCGTCGAATTGGGTGTGCCTGGACCCAGTTCGCTGGGAGTGGCAGGGTCGGATGGTGGTGGGGGTACTGCACAGTGTTAGGAGGGGCTCACGGTCATTGTGAAGCGCTGCTCACGGTTGATAAGAGTCGGACCGCGTCCACTCATCGTGCTGATACGTTCGGAGATGCGATGGTTTGAGTTATAGTCGGCGTTCCTGGCAATGCGCCCAGCGTAGCGATCGAAGTCGTGAGCAGGTGTATGCGCACTCACTCGTTCGAGGTCGAGTCCTCCGCAAGGGTCGGACTGTTATGCTTCACAGAACAATGTCACTTCCTGCGAGATGGAGTCAGAGATCTGACAGGACGTTACTGAGAACGGTCTCTTCGCAGTACGGACTAGATTTGATCACATCGGGTCGAAAAGATGCTTGTCGAATGTTTCAGGAACCAAGGAAGTTCCGTCGATCTGGGGCCGCAAGTCTTTTCCGTTGGCAACTTGAAGTCCCCACACTCAAGCAACGTCATCCCGTGCACAGCCATACACCGATTGGTTCAGGCTTGCATGCCCCCACTATCAGAAAGTCTGCTGGCAGCTGGCAAGGCAACTCCTGAAGATCGCTGATGAAAGTGACAAGGTGATGAACATTCAGTGCACATGTGCATTACTTACTCTTCTTGCGCAGGCCTGTAGTCGCGCCCCATCAAACAGCAGCATATGCTTTGTTGACATGGCATGCGTACGCCTTTCCTGTACCTTGGCTGATTGGAGAGGAAGATGTAAACTGTGGTGTGCAAAACACCTATTTATACCTTTCCAGTGCAGTGAAGGCATGGCGAACACGGAGCAGTCACGATATTGACTCGTGTACAAGCGCAATTCACTGTTCACTGCATGCCGGTGATGTAAAATTGTCCCAGAGTCACGAAAATACGTCATATGCGCTATCCTGTACAGACACGAAGGCAACGCCTCGTACGAATATCTCCCCTATTTTCCCGCGCTAGCCCTCGCAGCATCAACCTCCCTCTGCAGCGCTTCCAGATCAGCAAGAATATTGTGCGCCTTCTCCGTCGTTCCCGACGCATTGCGGCTCTCACTCCCCGGCCGGCCATACTCTGAGCTACTACGCGCAGAGCCGCTGTTCAATCCCAGCGCTGACATCGATGGCCGATGCTGACTGTCCATGCTGCTCCGACCTGACGCTCCTCTACCTTTTCTCGGCGGAGGAACCGGCGGTGGTGGTAATGATGACTGTGAGATACGTTTGCTCGCTGCAGGTGGACGCTCTGTGCTCGTATCGTCTTCGTCTTCTTCGTGAGTAGCTGGTAGCTCCATAGACTGTCGTCGACCGTATTGTGAATTAGGCCTCCTTGACGGCGGTGGCGGAGGCGGAGGCAGGGCCGTCTTGCTTGTAGGTAGATCTGGAGATGGACTCGGCGGCTCGCCGCTCTCGCTGTTTATCGAATATCGTGATGATCCGCTGCGGGCCAGATCCGGTCTGGCATATGTAGATGTAGAGGCCGGTGCAGATTTCTGGCTCTTTCGCCGCGCTATTGGCGGAGGTGGCGGCCTTTTCGAAGTGCTCGATGGCTTCGCCGGCACTGCTTCGACCTGCTCGGGAGAGTCGGGTTCGTCGATCTTGCCGAAGTCGTCGAACCTTTGCATCTGAGCCGCGAAATTCTCCTTCACTCGCTCTGACTCTGTTCTTGTATCTGTGCTCGATTCTGCACGTAAAGATCTCGGTCTTGGTGGAGGTGGTGGTATCTTTGCTTCCTTCGATATCGAAGCCCTTTCGTGCTCTGATGATGATCGTGGCGTCGCCTCGGTGGGTCGTGCTATCGAGTCGAACGTAGATGGCTGCGTCGACGCGGTGTCTGTGCTGGATGCACTGTCATTCCCAGGCTGGAGTGTACTGCTCGGACCTGTGCATCTGCTCCACCTTGACCCGTCATCAGCAGTCTCGTGAATGCATTGACGTCCATGCTCGGCTTCTTGTTCTCCTCCTCCTTCTTCACCGGTTGAGCATCCTTGCGACCTGCACTCGAAAAGCGACTCAATGTATCCCTGACATTCGCCTGCCTGGCCGTAGTAGCCTGTTTCCCGGCGGTCGCCGCTTCGCTGTTCATGCGGGCATTCTGTAGAGCCTGCGCAATAGCCATGTCGTCTTCGTCGTTCAAAGTATTCTCTTGGAATGGGTTATTGCCCAAGGCGAGGCCATCACTGTCGCCATGTACATTCGAGAAGCCTGCTTGCCGTGTACTCTCTGGACTAGAAGGGTAGGATGCCGGGCTGATCGAGCCTACCGCCGGCGGACTCGCAAAGTTCACATGCTTCTGAGAGGTCGGGACTGTCTCTGCGTCAGTCTTAATCTCCTAGGCTCTTGCGCAACGAGCAGCTGACCTCTAGTATTCACGAACAGCGGCGGAGTCGTATGTCCTAAACTCCCGGAAGCCTCCGGAGCAGCCTGGGTCGGGTCGTTCTTGTGTCTGGCACGGAATGGATTGGACATGGGTGACGATGCCCGCAGAATGGCCTGGGAACGACCATAGATGCGATAGTGTGAGGTCTGAAGGTGTCACCAGCAAGTTTGGAGTAGGGCCCTGTGTATCAGTCTGCGAGACCTGTCAGCAGGCGACGCCAAGCCAGGCGTCTCGGACGAATGATTTTGTATCGCCATTGCTGGACTTGCGACCTTATACCTTTATGAATTGCCGACGTAATGGCCCTGGCTGCAGAGAGGACTCCCGGATTAATACAAATGCATATCAGGAAAACGCGGGTAATCTGTGGTTGCCAGTAATATTGACAACTAGAATTAGACTCTTATCAAAAGAGTATGGGTATGTACAGTGTCGCATATGCATCTTCAATGATGAGGCTAGACCAGCCGATGCTCGCTTCGTATCTCTTCAGCGCCCGCTGATATGTTCATGAGCCCTTTATGCAAACCCGAGTGATATTGTCCATCTGTGGACAGCTGTTTCAGCCACTCCCAATGCTCCTCTAGTAACGCCTTCGTAAATGCGTGTGTCGATTGTCGTTGTGACAATCAGTCTATGTCCATCTCTCATTTTCCATCTTTCGTCTGGTGCCAGCCCTTTTCGAACCATTGCCAGGCTTTCGCTCCTTTCACTGGATGTAACAGCATCGGTCGAACAATTGTTCTCCCGTACATGTCTTCCCATTCGGAGCCACCCGTCTCTTGTGCTGATATGCCTAGCATTCGCTGGAAGATAGGCATCGCTTGGGCGGAGCTGTAGTACCACGTCATGTTGGTCCATGCGTACTCGTTCCATTTGCTGAACGTGCTGTTCCAGTGGCCTCCTGCTTGACCAAATGGACCTCCGTTGAATGTTGACTGTAGTGCATCCGCAGGCCAGTGGCGGTCAGCGAAGACTGGATGCGGGTATGTGGTTGATTTGAGGCCGTGATGCAGACACATGGTCTGCGGAAACATCTCCGCATCAATGTGGTGCCCGTTTTCTGCATTCTCATAGTTCATGATCTCCAGTACTCTTCGACTGACTCGGCCTTGTGCAATCAAAGTCGCTCTGCGTGGTGTGGACTTGCCCTGAGCATACCCCCAGAGATAGTTGCGGAACCACCATCCAGTGCCTGTGACGTTGAAGCTCGGAAGGAAACCGATCCAGTCCGCATCCTCACCAACACCCCAGTCATAATCGTCCTCGATCTCCTTGTGAGGCGGCTTGGGTCCTCGAGGTCTGACACCCTCTACTGGCACCGGTCCCCAAACGTGGTGAGGGTCTTCGTGCTTGGTGGAAACTCGGAAGTCCGTGTCGTAGTCTCCGTGGACAGAAGGAATGTAGACGCGGCCAGATCTCTCCCAGATACCCTTGCGAGGCTGCTGTCTGCCGAAGTTCGAGACTCCTTCGAAGAAGTCCAGATAGTGGCCCGTGTATCGGACGTCGAATTCCCATTGGTAGAAGAAGTCGAACTCGGGATGGTTGCGAGCGAACCACTGGATAATCATCCACGGAGACCGACCGACAAAAGCGTGCTCGGCGATGTTGGAATACAGCGATCTTATCTGTGCGTGGTTCCAGACTTCGGTGATCGAGTGAAATTCTGGAGGGACGTGTTTCTTGATGGTGGCTTCAGGCTGGTCTTCTCCGACGAACAGCGGCACCTTCTCATCTTTGACATGCAGAAGAATGAAGACCTGGTATTTGCCTCCACTGGCCAGAGAGGCTTCGGCTATCATCGCTCGGATGTTCATGACAGCATCGGCGGTCCACTTTGCTCCGGTCCAGATACGAATGAGGATTGCTGTTCGCTTGACTTTGTTCTCGAGGCCAGGGTCCTTGAAGTCGGCCGGGACTTGTTGCACATCGCTCTCTGGCGTGGTTTGTCGAATGTTCGAGTACTGGATTGAGCTGTCCTTGCGCTCTTTCATAGGCTTGAAACGTCTCTTGTTGGCGCGCACACACGCATCCTGCAAGTTGCCCCATTCAACCTTGTCCCATTCCACATCTGCGTTGTCTCTGAACTCTTCATGGTCGGCGGCGTCAAATTGCGACAGACCGTATGCCTGAAATCGACCTATTCTGTCGAATGAAACGTCACCATCCAGACCAGCAGCTTTGTAAGATCCTATCGTGGGGTCGACAGCGCCTTGCGCTACCCCAGCATAAGCCCAGATGGCATCGTCGTTGCTCTCGTTGATCGGAATGCCTCGAGGGCCGACGCACGAGACAATGTCAGTAACATTTTCTTGCAGATGCTTATAGCCGTCGTATCGAACGAGTTGCGGAGTGTCATCCTTGCAGTTTGGATCTGATGTTGTACTGCAGGTAAGGTGACGAAGCCCTCGCGTGAGACCGAAGTGGCTAGAACCGGGGTGTCAGTGCGGTACCTGCAGGTAAATACGAGGGCGACCTACCGATCAAAGTTCTTCCAGATCCAGTCCTCCTGTTTCGACCGCTCAATCATTTCTGCTTCTGTTGGTTCTCTGAAGTTGTCCTCGGGGTTATCGGGCGGCTGTGCTGGTCGAATGGCTGAATTGTCTCGTGGTTGTGGTGGACCTTGACTGAGTATTCGCAGGCCCATAGCCACGAGTATGAGCGAACCGACGACTTTGGCGATGAATCGTAACCGTGGCATGCAGATCTGCCATTTCGAAGGCTTGCGCCAGAATGTCTCTTGCTTGATGGGTGTGGCCTCACCTCCCACCGGAGGTAGGAAGCCGAAGTCTGGACGGTCAAGCGCACCCATGCCTGCCTCTGTGATAGTCAACCGCCGTGTCATCTTCTCTTCTATGATGATATGGTGTAAACGAGCGTGTTTGGGCGAGCGATCAGAATCGTGAAGTCGTCGTCATCGAAGCTCGACGTGCCGCAGCACGAAACGTGTCCACAGATGTAGCAGAAGTTGAGAGGGATGCTCCTTTCTCTTGGGCGCAAACGATCTGAGAGGCGGTGGAAAGTGCAATGGAGGAGATAATGCAAGCTGGCCTGTTACTGATTATTTGCTCCAGCTGAGTACGAGCACGTGGAATTATGGCAAGATAAACGAATGACTGTGACAAGAGAAGCAGAGGAAGAGTATGTGAATTCCAGATGGCGTAGGATGCGTTAGTAGAAAAGTAAACGGAGAATAATCTAGCACTTGCATGTGGGTTGCAGATGAATCAATACTGTCTTCATGGAATCATCAGTGCTAAGTGCCACTATCTCAATAATTTTCAAGGAAGAGACCACACCACATGCACCAACCATGCACCCAAATCAACGCCTAAACTATAACCTAGCTTAAGATCTTTGACCATCTAACATCGCTAAGGCTCAAGCGAGTCCACAGAGAGATTGATTGCGCATACCTACCGCCACGGCGGATATCGGCCATCCAGCCCCCTGTCGCCGCTCGTAATGAATGGTACAAATCAGAGGAAAAGGTATTCCGTGCCGCTGTAGCTAGACCTAAATTGTTGGGCTGAACGGCTCTTTTCAAAAATTGTTGATCGTTTTGGTTGCTTAGCTAACAGTTGTGGTGTCGCAACTCCAGCTTTTGCACTTGAGGGTTGCACGGCACGAGCCATCTCCAGATAATCATAAGGAAGCAGTCACGAGAGCTCGAGCAGCTGCGACGACGGCAGTACACACTCGCACCTACCGAGACACTCACTTCTATCCACTGATTATCATCCTGGCGTAGCGACGACTCGGATCCTCTTCAACGAAGATCACAGTCCCAAGAAGTTTTTCCGATGCTTCTAATGCCCGCCATCTGAGTCCTGTCGTCATACAAGATACTGCCGACGCTCGGAATGGGCTCTTATCAGCGACTACACTATGCCGAGTATGCCTAGACTGCGCTAAGATCTTGTACAGCGTCAAGTCGACCATCTCGATGATGCCAATGTCCGTCCAGCGAACCTGCATGCACTGAATCCTACTGTGCATGCGCAGGAACCGCTTGCATCTCTGTCTCACCTTGCCCGTTGTTGTCTACAAACTCAAACCAGCTTCCAGAGCTGCGCACGGCTTCTATCGCGGTGTGCTGCGGCTGGATTTCGCCGAACTTTCGCAGATGCCCACGCGACGCCCGAGAAGCTGAGTTGTCTGCTTTCTCTCCCGTTCGAAGCCGCGTAATGCGCAACATCGCCAAGGGTCAGTGCATTCGCCATCAAAATTGTCAAGCAGGGAAGCAAAAAGCTTGTACCAGCCCCACGACGCCTATACCCAGCCAATGATTATACTGGCTCGTGCGCGCACCCGACTGCAGGTAGCTACTGCGGCCAAAAAGGTTGCTTTATTAGCCTCTGGTTTTCGACGTCAGCTATCTCTCGGCTTTGTCACCGCACTTGTCGCTGGCGCTGAAATGCGAAATGTTCAGCTCGAAGGCGATAAGAAGCCTTTGGCAGCTTGAAGTCGTGGTAACAGCTCACACCTCCTGAGGTCTTCATCCTTGCGTGACTCGTATTTTTTCGGCAAAGATGTGGTGTGTGCCTGCTGCCTCTCCTCGCATTGTTGCGCATGTTTCAGGATCTGTGAGGAAAGCATGACTTCTATCGAGAGCGATGGCAGCGTACTCGCGTGCCGACTAGCCTCTAAGCTTCTTAGAAAGCCAACATCGCGGTGAATGATGTCTGGCGGATGCTGTGGACATCAGCACTCGCCATGTCAAGTTACAGCATCTCAGTGGCGTACGTCGAGCACTGGCTCACATCAAGGTCAAGAGTAAGGTAGGAGATACTCACATTTGCAAATCAGCCGGAGGTGAAGTAGCGGCATGGCGTCGACGGGCTCGCTGAGCAAGTCCTGCCCTTCACGACTGCTGGTGAGATCATCGCTAGGTGAGCGGTCGCTGAACATCGCAGGGAGGCGACCTCCGCGAGCCTATGTGAGGCCACGAAGCAGCAGAAGCAGCCGAAATTCTGGAGAGACCGTGAGGCAGACGCAGTACAGCCGCCCGCAAGCACGGGACATGTTCGAGCACTTAGCTCTCTGTTACCACAATGGAAGCCTGGAAGGCGCAGCTGATCTCGTCCCATCAAGTAGCGGTAGGTTCTATCTTGGCATGACAAGTACAAAGATCTCGCAGATCTCTTTGCAGAAGGATAAGAAGAAGCAAGGACGCAAACCTCGAGGACCACGCGGCTACTTATACTTCCATAAAAGATTACAGACTAAGGGCAGACACGGAACGAGTACCTGTATTCACTGTCCGTTGCATGAATCAGCGCCGGCCCACTCCCTGGTGTAAAGTATCCAAGTCAATGGGCACGTCGACACCGAGCACGCGGTCACAATAGTCACAATACTCATAATATCCGATATGGGCTGCCGGTCACCGCGGCCTGGGCTAATGCCTACAACCTCGCGCCTGGCTGACCATCTCACAGAGAAGTGCGAGCGCCGCCTTTTTGCAGGGTTCACGGAGCACACAGAGACGCAATACTATTATCTGCAAGTACAGACGTTCGAGCAGCCAACGCTCCTCGAGCGTGATGGCTTCCTCGAAGCAGCTAGGCTCGCCCTATCAAGTAGCAGCAAATACTACCTTAGCATGACAAGCCAGCTAACAAGCGTCCTTCTCGGACAGACGATGGATAGAAGAAAGGAAGAAGCCAAGGGCGGGACCATATACTTATACCTCATCGAGGTGAAGAACATCGGCAGAACACGGGACTTTGACTCTAGTGACTCGGCGAGGAGGTGTTCACAGTCCGTCGCATGAGTCAGAATATGGCTGCTTTCCGGTGTCAGGTTGACTAGTCGAACAGCCATGATGAGAGTGATAGGTGCATGTTGACAGTGATTGAGCTTGGACTAGCTTTGGGATATGAGTTCGACATGAAGTCAATCGTCACCGTTACCGTCATCTATGGTGGCTACGACCATGCGCTTGCGCCAAGCTGACCAGCTCGCGAAGGGCATGAGTGACGCCAACAAGTACTCATCGCGTCCAGAAGTGTTGTCCCCAGCGAGAAAATTGGGCGATGTAAAGACTGAGGCTGAGGCTGCAGCGTTTCTTGCCTCAGCGAGCCCAAAATGCTCGACCACCATCAGCGATGGACGTGCAGTGCATGCCTTCTGGCCGGTAAGTGAAGTGATTGTTGCCGGTTCGCACCGGATCTTGACATTGTTGGTGAGGTACAAATATTTGTCTCGTTCTCGATCCCATCTTCCTCTGCTTCATCACAATGAGCACACCTTCCAGAAGGAATTGATGATTGCCATGCCTGCGTAGCACCTGCTGCTGCCAGGTGGGACGAGCATATCGAACGACTGGCGAATCCAGCGATTACCGCAGACAACGCCTGATTGCCGGCGGTGTGGACTCACGATGGTCCTGACAGGACGATTACAAAGATGGTAGGTTTGCCCAAAGGAGCACGAGCTGGTTCAAACTGCTTCGTCGTTCGCTTTCCTATACACAGGCGGTGTAAAACTACACATTCGCTCGCTACCTTGTCTTTGGCTTCTGCTCAGCACCAGCTACCTTCCACGTCGTCAGACAAACCATCTCGATGATTCCGCCTCCGTGCTCCGTCCACTGCGCTCTACGCAAGTCCGTCTAACCACGAATCGCTGCGACATATGTATGACCTCGCTTTATGCCAGCTCGGTGTACTGCTTCTTATTGCCTCGTAGGCGTCTGTGCTGCTTGTACAGAGTCTCGAAGAAAATGATAGAGCTTGCTCTGCAAGTCTCTCGTGCGTTGTATCCAGCTGCTATCCTTTCTGTACTGTATGTCCCTCTAGAACGCGCTTCGTTGTGAACACAGGAATGCTGAATCGAATCTAGCCACCGCGCGGCTCTTCGAGGCTTCATTCTCCCGGCAAGTCCTCCGGCCGAAATGTGTCCATGCGTGATGATCAATACCCTTCAGACCACGTGGTCTTCCACCTCGGACGAAGTCTCCCACCCATCAACCCTATCCAGGCTCCTAGTCCTCGATATAAACACCCCAACCACCCTCACCCCTATGCTCCTCGTCCTCAAACCATGCCGCCGCCAAACCCCTCCCCATCTCCGTCGGCTGGCTGAACGCCACCTGCTCGCGCTTAATCTCCATTCCGTAAATGAATTGGTTGACGACACAATCCAGCAAGTTATTGGCTATGCCCTTCCTTCGGAAAGCCTTGCTCGTCCAGATACGCGACACGCCGACCACAGCGGGGAAAAGTTCTCGCGAGAGGGTCAGCGCGTGGTCTTCGATGGGGCTTGGCGTTGGGTATTGCTGTGTGTTCTTTTGACCGGGTGTGGTGTTCAGTGGTTTTGTGTCCAAGTCCATGCGCGTGTAATCAGCATCCAGACCGTCTCGCTTCTTCTGGACGCGGTAGAGTTTGGAGATGCGCTCGGCTAGGGCAAGCGCAACGCATTTTCCGTCGATGACGTGCAGGAATACCTTGTAGCGGTCGCATTTACGAGTTTCGTCGGCGTCGCCGGGCACGGGCCGCTGTGACCATAGCTCGTCTTCGGGGATGTCGATGCTGCCCAGCTCGCGGTTGACGACTTCGAGCACCTTATGAACGGTTTTGCGCGAGGGAAGGGAGATCTTGCGGTCGACGACGACAACGGAACCCGGGATGGATGGGACTTCGTAGCACCATTTCATGGCGGATTTGAGGAAGGGTCTGCCCAGGTCGATGCCTTGGGAGTGGCGATTGTGGTACATGTCGTGGAGGGTCTTGTCGGACTCGGAGGATGGGCTGTACGTCATGGCGCAGTCGGGTTGAGGGCAGGTGACGGGAGCAAGATTTTGCCCGAAGTCGAGGCGCGATTGTGTAAGGACTGGTGTGGGTGGCTTGACGAGGCCTGGGAAGGTCGGTTGAGCTGCTGGTCGCGTCGTGCTGGTGGTGTTGATGCTCAGAGGCACGGCGGAGGAGGCACGTGCTGAGCTGTTTTGGATTTCGGAGAGTGGCTCGGTCTGCTCTCGTCGCGATGTTGACGCGTCATGTTTGCGCTTCAGAGGATTTGGTTGGGCTTTCTCTTTCTTGGACTTGTCAAGGAATGAGAAGGTCGGTTTGTGCACCTTTGATTTCGGTGGCGTCAGCTGCAAGGCAGACACCGGTGGAGGCGACGAAGGTGGTGTTATGGTGCTTGACGCGTCATCGCGATGTGATTCTCCGGAGAAGACGGTGCTGTTCTTGCGCGACGGTGATGATGAAAGTCCTGCGACGCTTGTTTCGCGGATGGCGCGTTCGAGGTTGTCCTCGATATCGATTACATTTTCTTGGTTGGCGGCAGGCAGCTGCGATTTATGAACCTGATGGTAGTCGTCGTCGGTGCGCAGGCGCTTGGGAGGCCGGTAGCCCTCGCCATCCCACGCGCGTCGGACATTTCTTGTGTATTGTCGCATGAAAAAACCGCTGTGCTCGAGGTCAGTGACGTGATGACTTGATTGTTTGCGTGATACTCGTGGTCGCAACTTACCCTTTGTAACTATTAGAGACGGTATAAGGATAGACGATGGCCGACATGGTCGCGTCTACCATACAACGCGTAAGTTTGTTGTGACGATGAGATAGACCAAGAATATGGTGTGTCGAAGTGTGGTTCAGGTGCGGTACGGCCCTTTAGGAGGGAACGAAGGTGTTTTGGTGCTGCAAGTTTGGGTACTAGGCACTGGAATGGCGGCCCCACTTGGCTGCAGTTCGTGCCTAAACCACCCAACACAGCATGGGTGTCGCCTTTTGCCGAGCAGCCTAGCGAGGTAACGGCCGCTATCAGAGGCCTTTGCGTTTCGCCGAAAGATGGTCTGCGTCTGGTAAATCCTTTATGTCGGGTTCAGGGGTTGCCAATTGGAAACGGGTGGGATGTCAACTTAGGTGGTTAGAACTTGAGAAAGAAGTCCAAGAAAGTCCCTCTTAAAGCTTGATGCAAGGAGATGCTGATCTTTTTCACTTGAACAGCTATACAAAACAATGACAGCACTGATTGCCGAGATATAGCAACAAGCTCCTGAAAACAGTGCTGAGGAAGACTCTGGGGCAGCGAGTCTTATTATTTGTCCAGGATAATGGATCGTAGGCCTGCGTGTCTCGCCGATTGTCTGAGCGTTTGTCTTGCCGGGGTCTCAGAGTCAGGGGATTCTGGCCCTGCTCGCTCTGCTCAAATCACAAGCTGCTCAGATTGATGATGAGAGGAGCCGCCCCGGTTTCGTCAGCAGATGCCCAGCAGCCAGCCAACAGAATAGGTGGGTCACAAGCTCGACACACACGGTGCTCGAATCACGGGGCGACAAAATTCCTGCTTCCGCGTCCAATCAATCCTGGTTGTTCAAGCCGATCTCCTGTTCACCACCTGACCATCGAGGGCATCGAGATCGAGCATACCAAGGTACTGCTGTGGGCTGGCTGTTTACTGATGAGTGGTACGTATACGGCCATAGTCAGAAGTACGCAGTGAGGGTCTGGCGGGCTTTGCGTTAGACCACAGCTCATTAAAGAAGCACCAGCTGCTTCGCCTCATTTGAGGCTTTGTTCGTATGGGCCCCAAAGGTCGTCTGGAACAAGGCACATGCGAGTATTTGTGGTACCGGGCGTAGTCTTTCCTGCCTGTCCGGGCCAGTCAATCCTCTCGTCTACTCAATGTTTCGAGCCTCAGGTGCTGAAGGAAGCCACTGTGAAGACTTCGGTGACAGGAGAAGTCGAGCAAATTGTGTGTGCGGCAACGGCAAAAGACCCTATCGGCTTGTGCTACAGCTGACCGCTTCATGTCAACAAAGTTCTCGAGCATCTACCCGACAAGATCAGCGAATAGCGATACGTGCTTCAACCGTATCGACGCCAGCGCATAGAGAGCCACAGCAGTCAGCGAGTCATGATGTATGCCTTTCTAGACATATCGCTTATCCTAGGATCACAATAAGTACGACCGATAGGCGATGATTTGGGTAAGCACCAGTCAATGCGGCGGGCCATTCTTGATGACACTCACCAAATTCTGGCAAAACTGGAGCCATGGGCACCAATCGACTACAAGCTGGCAAAGAAGCCGGCTGCTTACATTCATCAGTATGTCCCAGACACTCACTTCCGGACCTTACCTCCAGCAGACCGGCGCTGTTAGGTCCCTAAAAGATACATTCTACTCTGTGAGTCTTGGCTGTTGCTACAGAGCTTACAGTACGAGTGCATGACCCGTCTGCGAGACGACGGCGCAGACATGTGAGCATGCGCACCGGAGCATCACAGACACGTTGACGTGGCATCTTGGGCGCAGAACAAGATGACAACAGTATCGTGCAGTTAGACATGCTGCTCATGGCCCCAATCACCATACTTTCACGCAGATTGTCGATTCCACGAGAACAAGATGTGCAGAATCCGGCTCTTTGTGTTCCGCTGACAGCGGATCCCGATGCAATCAAGAGCCCACGCGATGCGTCGTTCCCGAAGCTCGGCCAGATGTCCACGCTAGAGATCTCAAGGCCCTCCACGTGGGAAGTCTTATGAGCAACAACCTGCGGAAGTTACTGGAGAGAGACTACTGCGCAAGCGCTGTCCTGATAGACCAAACATTGATCAGTTCATCAGCGACTTGAAGATGCGAACCGTCCAGGCCTTGTCAGCCACTAACCTGCTGTACTCCTGGCGGTCCCTTTTGGTGAGTACTAAGCACGGCAATATCTGCTTGATCAGTCCGCGATGACACTGAGTTGCCCTTGCGATGGATCCGCGGCCTATGCCTTGCCTTGACTCCGAGATTCCAGGAGCCTCAGATGTGCTGATGTGGCAGTAGCTGCGTGTGGCCAACGTCATATGGTGATATTGGGGGACTCTATGGACGAATACCCCGACTCACTACACTTTCGCAATCGTGAAAGCCACAAGTCTGCGGAAACCGTGTTAGGTAAGTGCTCTGGAAGTGTCTTGACCACGTTGCCAGCATGAGGCCTGGGCGGATGTCATTGAGCTGCGGGTTACGAGCTACCGGCAGCTCAAGGTAAATGCTCGGAAGCGGCGATGGAGTCCTCTGGAAGCACCCGTTACAACACAATGGGGGTCAATGCAGGACTTTGATAGCAATGGGAAGAGACAGAAGTATTGCCAACTTGTTTGTACCTGCGTCGAACCATTTATATTCGCCCACGTCCTTGGTGTCGTGTAGCATGGAGGGTCGAGCACACGGAGGACGCACGTCGTGATAGACCAAACAAAAACAGTGCCGCAACTATTTCATATACAATCACAAACCCATGCCTCTGATCTCTGTAGCGTAATGTTGAAGCCAAAGTGAGATAGTGCTCAGGATCAGCCGGTGAGGACGATGATGTGGCCCGCGCCGCCGACGAATCCACAATGACGGCAGCTGCACGTCAATTGTTTCGTTTCAGCAGAAAGTTGTACAGCCTCAACCCTGACTTTCCTTCACTTTTCCTTGGTCCAAATTTACACTCAAACGGACCCCGATAACATGAAGGCCTAGTCTGCAAGATGTCTGCTGTGTGACTCGTTGCCATTGCAAAGTCGACTGCCTGACCCGATCGGTACAGGCATCACCATTGTTTTCCGCTCCGTGAAGAATTAATTTTAGCCGGTCTGGCGACCTTCGATATGCCATTTTCGCTGCGGCGTAATCGCATCGCACGTCTTGTCGTTCACTTCTCGACTGGTTACCCATGACCACGGCCGCGGTAGAAGCGCTTTCGTTCGCGTCACTGACAGCACTCCTCTCAAACCCGCCGCAGTATCCTCGAAACCCTACGCATGAGGTCCGAGAGCCACTGGTGCTGTACATTGTACGAGTGCCGGGCAGCAAAGATGTGGTCCTGACGCCGCTGAAGCCGCCGACCAAGGCCTCGATCAGCCTGGATGCAATACAATCGAGCCTCTACTATCTTCACGTCGAGAGTCCAGAGGATGAAGTTGTCAAACAATCTATGGAAGCCGAGCAGCTGGTCACAGATGAGAACAAGCCAACAGTGACTCCGATCCAGCGCAAGCCTCTCCCTCCTACGAGCTTCGCCAATTATTTACCATCTCAACGTCCGCCCACACCACCCAAGAGTTATCCACACCATCAGCCCAGTGGCCCCAATGGTGACAATCAGCATGACCGATACGCGGCCAGAGGAAGCAATGTGCGCTTGTCAGCAGACAACACAGGTCGGCCACTCGGAGCGAGACCCATGCCATCACAACAGACCTCTTTCGAAGACAGTCGCCAGCACAATGGAGTGCCAGAACGGGACACAGATGCCACAGATCCGCTCAAGCTGGAGATTCCAGAGCGCCCAGAGATGCGACCTGTCCAATCGTACACTGGGGCGCCCGACCAAATGATGCCAATGCCCATGGTGGGTAAGAATGCTGCGATGAGCGTCACATTGATCAGACGAGACCCAACATCTGGAGCGCAGTGGAATGTGGGCACAATCCGCATAGGTCATCGCAGGCACCATTTAGCACCTCTCGAAGCGGTTGAGGTGACGCTGAAGGCGCCTGGCTACAGCAAGTTCGCAGGCACTCCTGACAGTGCTTCACCGCCCGGTCGGCTCACTGACATGGGCGACACAAACCATTCTCCAATAGGTGGTAGGGGCTTCACACGTACTTTGGGATTTCGGATCCTGCCAGATGAGCAACGCACGAGCCTAAAAGATGTGCGGACGAAGTCCAATGACTTTACGCCACGTCCGCGTGGTTTCTCGAACCCTAAGAAGCCTCGACAAGTATACTCATTCTCTTCACCGTGGCAGGGAATGTGCATCTTCAGCAATGGTGTTGACGGCAAGAGTCTGAAAGTCCGGCACTCCGTTGCAGCCCATCGGTCGACCGAAGCAGAGCAAGGCAACGGCGTCGCAGAGCTTAGGCTGAATTTGCCGTGGTCTGTTCTCAAGATGAAAGATGTAAATCGTCAGACTGAGCCAGAGCCGGACAAGCTTCCAATCTCCCAGTTGATCGGGCCGACGAAGAAGGAGAGATTCAGAAGAAGCATGCAGACCTTTAGAAGCGAGTCAAAAGAACTCCTACGCAGCCTACGCGACGACAAGTCGCCTTCGGAAGAGACACCGCCTTCGCTACCACCTCGAGCATCAACACAAGAGCCTATACAGGATGACTACCGCTTGAGTCTTCGCTTGGGGCGTGAGAAGGCTGGAGGAGGCTTCAAGGGTGACAGTGCGAAGCTGGGCAAGCTGATATTGGAGGATGAAGGGTTGAAGATGGGCGATTTGGTTGTGGCATGTTGCATGGGCGTTTTCTGGCAACATCACGAAGGATCTTGAACTAGATAGACACGGCTGCGAATACCCCTGATTGAAGCGTTCTTGTTGTCTAGGTACTGCATTTGATAGCAACACTGATATATCTCACGATTGTAATGATCCGTGATATGTACCCTTAACATAGATGCCGTCTCGCGCAGTCCCTAATTATGCCCTCTGAGACCCCCCCTTAGAGCGACCCTGGCGGAGATGGCAGCCGACGGCGGAGATTCGTTTGAGATGAGATGAGGTGGAGAGGCCCGTTCTCCACTGACCATTTCAAGGTCGCGACAAGTAAACGTGCATGACTGCGTCCATCGTAGTCATGGCATGGCCTTGTTTTGTACAGTCATCCCCTCCCTAAGCATCATTCATTTGCAAACAATTTTTGGGCGTCAACTCGTGCCGAAGATAGCACGGAGCATTGTACTCGGCTAAAGCGTCCGTCACTACCTCCGGAATACATTACTGTACAGACTACCCCCTCAGCCGCTTTGCATGTGCTTGGACGCAGGCCCGGATTCCTGTGCTGTCCGCCTACGCAAACCTCCTCGCGCTTCCGCTCTTCACAGCTTCATGGATCTCTAGAAGAGGTTCTACAATACAACAACGCCCAACTCGGGCATGGCAGAAGCCACTGCCCAATTCCCGTTCCCAGCAGTCACAGAAACGCCTCCGCCTGAGCTGAAGGTGGATACGCACACCAACGATGCATCAAATGCCAATGGCCTGCCCTCGGCGCGTCAAGAGAATAGGTCCGCAGATACCCTGACAGCGACTTCTGCACGCGAACCTGCTACGTATTTGTCACCGACACCACCCAAGGGCACGCCCAAGGATGAATCACCAGATCGCTGGTCTCCCCGAGCGTCCGCCTCCCGACTACCTTCCTCGTTGAAGAATCCCAGTCGATCGAGGCTTGCCGGTCAATCGCCCATCAGCCACTTGTCGGACGAGATCATTGCGGAAGAAGGTCCGAACGGGACGGCCAGTCCATCAACTGCGAGAAAAGGTGTACAATTCTCGAACCACAATGACGAACCTGACGCAAGAGATGCTGGTCCAGAGACACCCGTATCTGCCGCCACCGATCGTGGCGAGAAGTCACAGACTCTGTACTCCAGGTTGAGAGCACTCGCCTCTTCACAGGGCCTCGTCCATACCCGTTCCGCCAGCAATGTCAGCCAGCGATCGAGCGATGGCAAAGAGTTGGACGGCCACCTAGCTTCAGCTACGCCCAGGCAAGGCGCTGGGTTGTTCGCTACGTTGGAAGAAGGTGATAGTGACGCCGACGCGGAGGAGAGCGGTGCAGAAGCTGCCACCGAGCGCAGAGCACGACCCATGCGACGGCATAGAAAGCCCCAACCTAGAAGAGTCGACGACATTGATACTGCTCCATCGTCACCACACAGTCCGATGCGTACCGGTATGGCCAGTGCGCCTATGAGTTCCCCACCACTACACGCCGACGGTGACCAGCCTCGTCCGCTTGCACGAGCCGCTACGGATATCGAAGCACCCCACGATCGGCTAGGGATGTCAGAAGACGAAGGCCGGAAACGAAGTCTTGCTTCTAGTTGGACACCGCGGCATCCACTCCGGGGACTCAGTTATGGCGGCCAACGGAAGACTAGTGATGCCGGTCAGGAGCCCCATCGCGAGGGTCGACAGGGTCTGGCCGGACTGCGGATGCTTACTACGTTACCATCAGCCCGGGAAAACGATCCCAATCGAACTGGCGAGATAGTAGACACGCCAAAGACGTCGAGACGGAAATTGCTTACGGAGCGAACAGGCACTCTCAGTGCGCAGAAATGGCGGCAATTGCGGCAAAAGCTACAGCAACTAGGCCAGACGAAGAAAAAGGAACGGACGCAAGACCACCAGAAGTCGGCACAATTGCTTGCTGAGCTTCAGGCTGGAGGTCCAGCGGCATTGATGATTGCGAGTATGTTTCAACGAGACGAGAACGGAGCGCGAAGAATACCAGTCCTTCTGGAACAACTCAAAGTGCGAGTGACTGACAGTGAAATCGATCGCTCGAAAGATCCTGACAATCCAACTCCTTCAGATCGGCATATTGTGTTTCGCATCGAGCTGGAGTACGGCAGTGGCGTCAATCGCATGAAGTGGATTATTAATAGATCGCTTCGTGATTTTGCGAATTTACACGGTAGATACAAAGTCCATTTTGGCTCAGAGCGGTTGAAAGGTCGAGGAGATGGCGGCAAAGAAATGCCCAAATTTCCTAGAAAGGCGTTCCCGTACCTCAAGGACCTGGGTTGGGGCATTGAGGACTTCAGCGATGACGAGGACGAAAATGAAGCTCAACGCGCAGCAGATGGACCAGGACCTGAGACCGATACTGAGCGACCGAGACCCAACAACAGACCGTCGTTCGCCCTTATGCGGAGACGATCGAGTATAGATACCCCGAATCGTGATCCCGTAGTCACTGAGCGAGAGCGGCAACAGGCGCGGAAACGCCTGGAGGTCTACCTGCAGCGCATGATCAATTTCATGTTGTTCCGAGCAGACAGTAATCGACTATGCAAGTTTCTAGAGGTGTCTGCGCTCGGCGTGCGGCTGGCAGCAGAAGGCAGCTACCACGGGAAAGAAGGCTTCATGCTTATACAGTCAGCCAAGGGCCTCGACTTCAGGAAGGCATTGACGCCAGATAATCTGAAGACGCTTACGAATCGGTATTCACCAAAGTGGTTTCTGGTACGCCACAGCTACGTAGTCTGTGTCGACTCGCCGGAGGAAATGCACATCTATGATGTCTTCCTTTTCGACTCCGACTTCCGGATACAGTCCTACAAAAAGCGCGTCACGGAGGGCTCGAAAGCGCATGAGATTGCCGAGGCTGCTCGAGAGACGGCTAAGCATCCCCAGCATCATCGTCTAAAGCTGTACAACAGTGAGCGAAAGCTGAAGCTGCTTGCGAGGACCGAGCGACAGCTCCATCAATTCGAAGCATCTATTCGATCGAGCATAGCTACTTCAGGATGGTGCCAGCCGACCCGGTTCGACAGCTTTGCTCCTGTCCGCCAGAAGTGCTTCGCACAGTGGTTGGTCGATGGTCGTGATCACATGTGGGTTGTCTCCCGAGCGATCGATCAGGCGAAAGATGTCATCTACATTCACGACTGGTGGTTAAGCCCTGAGCTGTACATGCGGAGACCTCCTGCCATCAGCCAGAAATGGCGTCTAGATCGGTTGTTGAAGCGGAAGGCAGAGGAAGGCGTTAAGATCTTCGTCATTGTCTACCGCAACGTCGAGTCTGCGATTCCGATTGACTCCCAGTACACCAAATTTTCACTTCTCGACTTGCATCCGAACGTGTTTGTACAGCGTTCTCCGAATCAGATCCGGCAAAATACCTTCTTCTGGGCTCATCACGAGAAGATTTGTGTTATCGATCACACCGTCGCGTTTGTTGGCGGTGTCGACCTCTGCTTCGGTCGGTGGGATACACCTCAGCACACCTTGGTCGACGACAAAGCGCCTGGCTTCGAGCATACTGAAGAGCCGAAGGATGCGGATCATTGTCAGCTATGGCCTGGCAAGGACTACTCAAATCCTCGTGTTCAGGACTTCTATGCGCTGAACAAGCCCTACGAGGAGATGTACGATCGTCAAAAGACTGCTCGAATGCCTTGGCACGACATCTCGATGCAAGTCGTGGGTCAACCTGCTCGAGATCTGACGAGGCACTTCGTTCAGCGATGGAATTACATTCTACGCCAGCGGAAGCCAACGCGACCAACACCTTTCCTGTTGCCTCCTCCGGACTTCAATCCGGCTGATCTGGAGGCTCTGGGCTTGGACGGTACATGCGAAATACAGATTCTGCGTTCTGCTGGTCCGTGGTCTATGGGCACCCCTGACCGGACCGAGCACAGTATCATGAATGCTTACGTCAAGATGATCGAGGAGTCCGACCATTTCGTGTACATTGAGAATCAGTTCTTCATCTCGAGCTGCCAGACTGAGCGAGTGACTGTGCACAACAAGATTGGCGACGCACTTGTCGAGCGCATCACTCGCGCCCACAAGAAAGAAGAAGCTTGGCGGGCTACGATTGTGATCCCGCTGATTCCTGGTTTCCAAAACACGGTTGAGCAGGAAGGTGGCACCAGTGTTCGTCTCATCATGCAGTACCAGTATCGCAGCATCTGCCGTGGCGAGTCCTCGATTTTTGGTCGCCTTAGAGCTGCAGGAATCGATCCAGAAGAGTACATCCAGTTCTACAGTCTGCGCCAGTGGGGTCGCATTGGTCCGAACAAGGCTCTGGTGACTGAGCAGCTGTACATTCACGCCAAATGTATGGTCGTCGATGATCGCGTAGCCATCATCGGGTCGGCCAATATCAACGAGCGTTCCATGTTGGGTAACAGGGATTCGGAATGCGCGGCAATCGTCCGCGATACCGATATGCTATGGTCTCGCATGAATGGCCAGCCATATCAGGTCGGACGCTTCCCTCATACCCTGCGCATGCGTCTGATGCGTGAACATCTCGGTCTCGATGTAGACAAGATCATGGAGGATGCCCAGGCAATGGAGCAGGAGCACAATAAGACGGCAGATGCGAATGGCGAGTCAGCTCGTCCACTATCGTCGGATGGTGCCCATGAGATGCCTCGTCCGGGTACTGGCAAGGACGGCGGCCGCACTCGCGCTGCTCTCGACGCTGCCTTTGGCGGACCTACCGAACACATGCGGCAGGGCGAGCTGCGGGAAGAACTGCTCGCACGACAAGAAGGTCTTAAGAGCTTCAACCATGATGTAGACTGGGAGCAGGCGGGCAACCCGAACCTGAAAGCCAATAGGAAGCTCACCGAAGATTCTCGTGTCACCAAAAATGAAGCTCACAAAGAGGACGTCGATGGCCACGGCTTTGATCACATGGTCGAGATAGCCAAGGCCGGACTTGGCATCGGCAGAGACAGCACTCTGACAAAGTCGACCAAGGAAGTGCTCGTTGCCGACCTCAACACAGAAGGACGGACAACACTCGGCGCACCTCGCCCACGTGAAGACAGTGCTCGACTCCCCTCCTATGTCGTCCGCAAGGAAACGCCAAACCCACCTATGCCACCCCGCCCAACCGCTAGTCGCATGAACACAGCACAACTCGGTCTGCCCATGCTCTCGCAACTTCCCGCCCTGCCCGTCGAAGACGACACCGACATTGGCGGCCCGCCACTCGTCACCACCACGAGCCGCGACAGCACTTTCTCGCGCCACCCGCTTATCAACGAGATCCGCCAGCCACTGCTGGACCGCGACTGCATGCTCGACCCCATCCACGACGCCTTCGCCGACGACACCTGGCATGCCATCGCTGAAAACAACACCAAGATATATCGCACCGTTTTCCGTTGCATGCCGGATAACTTGGTGCGCGACTGGGAGGGCTATCAGCAGTATGTAGCGTACGAGCTGCGCTTCAATCAGCAACAGGGCAACGACGCCGCAGACGACAAAGCGCCGAAGGGTGGAGGCAGCGATCGTCGTACTGGACCACCTGGAGCGGGAGGTACCGCTGGCACCGTTGCCGCGGCGGGTACCGTGACTAACCTGAAGAAAGTGCCAACGGATATGCAGCAGAATGTCAAAGATCTGAAGAGGCGGCTAGGCGGCAACAAGAACGAGGAAGACTCGCATCGTGAGAAAGAAAACCTGCGGGCCTGGGCCCGCGAAGCGAATGAGAAGCAGGCGGAGCGGCAGTATGGCAAGGGCTCGCCGGGCAACAACGCGGAGCCATTCCCGGGGATAGAGGAGGAAGAGATCCACGATGAGAAGACAGGCGAGAATCTACTGCCGATTCCCGATGGGGACGGGACGAACTCGAGCTGCAGACGCCGAGCGATAACGGGACGACTGTGGTTGCGGGTGACGGGGACGGGAACAATGGGAAAACCACGCCGTCGAGTGGCGCAAGGACTGAGACTGCGGATGTTGCAATCGTGCCGGAAGGTGGAGCTCGAAGCAGCGCTGAAGCCCACGACCGCACCACCATGAACACAAACAACCTTTGCACCGCAAAGACCAACGCCAGCACGACCTCCACCCCACCCGTCGTCGCCCCTCTGGTCAGCGACACGCTCAATCACAACGCTGGCCAAGCGGCGCTGCAGCACCACGGGACCAACAGCGTGAGTCAGGCGGCTCTGAGTGCTTCAGGGACGGGGACCACGAGAAAGAGGAGACGGGGAACGACGAGGAGTTCAAGAAGGGATTTCTCCGCGAGTGATGATTTACTGAGTACGGAGGAGGCGGAGGAGTTGTTGGGGATGGTGAGGGGGCATTTGGTTTTGTGGCCTTATGATTGGTATGTTGATTATCTCCTCCTCTTGAAAGCGTGTGCTAACGATGGTGGTGTAGGCTCGAGAAGGTCGAGGCAGGAAGTAATTGGCTCTTCAGTTTCGATCAGATCAGTCCGATTGAGATTTAGTAAGTTCATTCCCCTCCTGGCCGTGCTCCACCTTGAACGATGACTAACATGTTCGTCTTGCAGCAATTAAATCCAACCTGTTGTTCATGTGTTGGAAGTTCTCGAAGTCATGGGTATACCGCGCCGTGTCGTCGACAGAAATTATTGAAGAAGATGGAGGCGCATTCAAGCCTTGACGGGCTCTTGCATGGTTGCATTATTATCATTCCTCTTTGGGAAATCTTTTCAGTAGAATCGTTGCGTGCACAGAACCGACTTATTGGGATAGCATAGCCGCAGGCTTCGTTAGGTATAATCACAGTGCGTCCGCATTAGACGAGTCGATCGCCCCATCAAGTAGCAACCAAGTGCTATTCTGGCATGGTAACCGATATCCAAAAATTCGCCGCAGCGATGAGCAGAAGAAAGAACGGGAAGAGGTCAAGAGCAGCACGTCTACTTATATCTCTTCAGCGAGCCGGAAGCCCGCGATCAACCGAAACCGTTACTTCACTGAATCGGGTAGAGAATATTCACTGTTCATTGTATTGTTCGATTTCAGGATATCTCCGCTTAGGATCGTTATTCGGCAGAGTGGTGCAAACATTCGCAATGGACTGATCACTAACGCTGTCGTTTGTCTTTCTCTTACCACTCCTGCTCTTCACGAGAAGGTACTCGCGAGTGACGCAATTGAATTCGAAGCGGAACAGGAGTCTGTCCGGAATGCAACTGCCTTCCAAGTCCTTTCCGTCAGTAGGCAAGTCTGTTTCGAGAGGTATGTTGGCTTTCTAGTGTCATGCGTCAATACTGGCTCAGTTACTTTCATCGTGTCGAACACACCTGTGTCCTATGCGCCCAAGGATAAACGTCGACCCTCAGCTTGGTGTGCATCCTGTTCGGCTGGTGGCTTTGTCGACTGTCAACCGTTCGGTCAGTTGGGACACCAAAACGTTCCTTGGGTAAACTGACATATAAAGGGCAACTCTTTCTTAGGATCGCTTTTGGCTCGGCAATGCAGTCTACTGCAAGCGAAGTCATCGGTCTGGTTGAAGACAACGCGGGGTGCCACAATCGTCTCCATGTGACCTCTATCGACGTTGATCTCGAAGGCGATTTCCTCGTCTCCCTGGTATTCGAATCCTTCGTGAACGTAGAGATCAAAGAAAAAGTATAATCCGGGTTACGATCTCTACCTGCCGGACCGTCCTCGCGGGCTGCTTCAAGAGCTCGACGTCATCTGGAATTGTCTCTCCCTCGGGCTCGAAAAGACCGTCCTCTGTGTTCTTCATGCGCTCAACGTTTCGCTCGTAGACCTGCTTGGTCTGTGACCGTAAGGTGACCTCGAAGAAGTCTTTGCGAGCCATTGTCGACAGAAGTTGATTTCGTCAGTGGCGTTCGACAAATCTGAATGCGCTTTCGTCGCGATGGGCAGATTGAGCATAAATTTCGCAAAGGATTCGGATGTAGCAATGGTTAGGAGTTTATAGATGATCGTCGTCGACGTCGTCTTCGCATTGCACTGTATATGTTGTTTTCCTTCCATGTTCCAGATGACTCGTCCCAAGGATGGTTAGATTGAGCTCCAACCGTGGTGCAGAATAACATGATTGCAGTCCTCTGTCATCCGCGTGGGGCTTGTTTGACAAGCGGCGTGTCAGTCTGGTTTTCAACCCGGCGTTACACAAGACACCTGTCAAATATGACCTATCGGAAAACACCCAATGGAGCGATGGTTGATCAGGTATACTTTAGAAGCAAAGGAGGCGGTAAAAGTGATAGGACTGAGCTATCGGCTGTTGCCGACCCCAGCGTTTTGCCTCAGCGCGCCTTCAAGCCCAGCAATCGTTCTGCATTGCCAAACGCAATCTTCCTCAGACCCTCCTCATCCAGGAGCCCACTCTGTTCGAGCTCCGTCCACCACTTGAGCCCATCTGCACTTGAAGCAAACGGATAGTCCACACTGAACATGATCCTGTCCACACTAGTGTTCCTCAGCAGGGTCGCCATGGGTGCCACTCCCCACACTCCAGCTGTAGTCACCCAGACGTTCTCCCTCCACACTGTCTCAAAGTTCCGCGTGAACCCGACGCTCCACCGCCTGCTGAGATTGCAGATCCGCTCGAGCATGAACGGGATCATCTCCCCGAAATGACCAAGAATGATCTTCAGTCTGGGAAAGCGCTCGAATACTCCAGCTGCGAAGAGGCGGAGGAAGGATGTAGCTGTATCAGAATGCCAGCCGAAGGCGGAGTGAGCAATGCTGATGCTAGCCGCCGTCGAAATGCTTGGCCCGGTGTAGTGAGCCTGCAGAGCCACATCGCTGGCCCAAGTGGGATGGATGTAGATTGGGACATCGAGCTCTTGCCCCGTTGACCACAAAACGTCGTATTCCGGTCCGTCAAGATATGTCGCATCTGGCGTGTGATTGTCGATAAGAGCTCCGGTGAATTGCAAGTCGGTAATACATCTGCGAAGTTCCTCCGCGGCAGCTCGTGGGTTCTCAACGTCAAGAGTGGCGAATCCGGCAAACCGATCGGGATGCTGCATGATGGCAGTGGCTAGTTGATTGTTTGCTTTGATGCATTGAGCAACGGTCTTGGCTCCTGCGCAGTGTGAGATGACCTGGATCGCTACATTGCCTTCGTCCATTTGGGAGATACGTAGATCAGAGAGGTCGAGGAGCTTGTCCATCATGCCGGGAACGTGCTTAAGCTGTTCGGAGTACTTGTCCAAGCCATCTTCGGCGATAGCGGTCGCCAGGAAATGCTCTTCGAGAGCAATCAAGGGTGGAGGCATCGACGTACGATCTGTAGCGCGATCTTATTTTCATCAAAGCAGGGCGGCTCGATGGTGTACCACTGGACTTGAGGGCGCGCAGGGTTTGATGTGTTTCTTCTACTTTCCCTGGATGCTGTAATGATCAAGAGCCAAACCTTTTCGGTCGACTTCTCCCGTCCGATGCAAAAAGCGACAGAATTGGTGAAGCAATGATATATCTGTCTATACTGTGTTCTATCAGCAACTCCTTATTGGTGGTTGGACGAAAACGCAGCAATACCCCAGATGACTCAGCTGTAATCGGACCCCATCAGAGCGTCATCATCCAGCCAAAAATGAAGATCCTAAACGAGCTGACGAGTTATAGTCGGCGTGATCTCTACTCTATCCATTGGCCGAACCTCGAAATGCCTGGAAACCCGCGAAACCGCCAGCCAGCTCCGCCAGCTCACCAAGACATCATGCCGCGCGCAGTCCATGGTAAGTCTCGTCAATTTCTTCTTTGACTTTGTCCCATGACTTCACACCGCCATCGATCCCGCTCAATATCCCCGCTGCGCCGTCCGCAGGCAGCCTCATCGTACGGTAATTTGCCCGCTTGACGTTGACAAAGTCATTCCTCTTGGGGAGAGTAAGCCACATCTGCTCCAGCTTCACCGCCAGAACACCCTCGGTGTCGTAGTCCGTGCGGTCGATGATGAGGAACATGGACGGGTGGAAGTCTCTGGTCGCTGTAGGTACTGACCGTGCCTTTTCGGTTGGCTCACCTGATGTTGGTGGTGGAGCGGAGGTAGGTGCGGGATGTGCCGAGAAGTAGTTGGCCACTTCGGTTTCTCTAGGCGTGGGAGGAGCCATGAGGTGGTCATCATCGAAGTGGAAGCGGCGGTGGTATTTCGCCACTGCTTCGATGGACTGAGGTAGCGCAGAAATCGTGCAGAACATAGACGATGCGACAATTTCGGCAAGTGGTCCCTCGGACTCAGAGCCAGCAGAAGCCGGACTCTTGGACGGCTTGGTGGTAAGCTGTATGAGGCGTTGAATCGATGTTTGAGACATGACGGTGTAGACTTGACGAAGTACGTAGATGGCGAAGATGCTGTGAGGAGTTGAAGGTGGTGGTGGCGGCGCTGGTTGATCGAGATCCTGCGACAAGAGCTCGTCGTGGGGACTGCCAGTCCAAGCAGACTTGTGTGTTCTTCGTGCCATAACGACAGATTTCGGTATGGCTGTTGAAGTTGTTGCGGACCAGTCGTTAGTGGTCAATGCCACCTGATGAACGAGTATCATTCTGCTGATCTTCCGACCTGTCTTTTA